CACTGGGCTATCCAGCCTGATCTCAAGAGAAAATGTAAGTATTTTGCGTTTTGTCAGTTTAGTGGCTAATTCGTACAAATATGAATTCAGTTGTATGAAAATGTACGATTTGAAAAAGCAAAAAAAAAAAAAAAACAACAAACAAATGTCAAATATATTTATGTATTTTTTTCAAATGTAATCTACACTCAGAATAAAAAAGTGTCATGGGGATAGTACATTTTCAAAGAGATTTCTTTTTTTGTATTTGTTTTGTGACTGATACAGCAGTGTTTCTCAACCACGTTCCTGGAGAACCACCAGCTCTGCATGTGTTTCCTTAACCAAACACACCTAATTCAGATCATCAGCTCATTTGCCGAGACTGAAAGACCTGTAATGGTTGTGACAGACAAAGGACATGTCCAAAACATGCAGTGTTGGTCCTCCAGGAACATGGTTGAGAAACACTTTGAAACAGCATGTACACTTTAGGTGCTAATATATTTTAGCATGCCAATTTGGACCCATTAAATACAAACATACTTTTGTATTTGAAAAACCAGCCCAGCTGTAGAACAGTTTTTGAGTTATAATAGACGGCCAATATTGTTACTGAGACTTTTTGACTTTTTTCACATAGAAAATCTCCTCTAAATGTTAAACTAAATGAATTGCTAAATACTATACTCTTGACACATGAAAGTATAAATCCTGCAGACTACAATAAGTGTGGAAAATTATTGCGTATTCTTTAACAAATCGTTTAATTTACTTCAAATTTGATGTCATTGTGGACTCGGAATACAAAAGTAGTATACAGATTTTAAATCCATTAGAAAGGATTTAACACCTTGTTGCCTACTGACACCCTTACTAATGCTTATGATAGATATTTAATTGCTATTCTTGACATAAGGTGCATTCTTCACAACTGCTAGGTTTATTGCTCAGATGTCAGCCAAACGTGTGTCAGCTGAGCACATAGCTTTAGCAAGCCATGTCTGTTTGCACCCCCACTCTTTCTTGTCCTCCGCCAGCTGTGTTTGAGGTGGAGGTCCAGCATCCGGCTGTTCTAAAGCCATTCTCTTCACACCAGGATGAAGCCTTTCCTTAGGAAACTAGCAGATTAATGCAAAAGTGATATGCCTCTAACATCTGCCATGGCCATAGCAGACAAAGCAGTGACAATACGTTACCATTTAATTATATTGTCAAAGTGCATTTTAGGTTGTCAAACATTGAGTTGTTTATTTATGATTAACAACAATCAGTCACAAAGGCTCATCCTCATGTTCTCAGCAGCCTGTTGTTGACTATGTTTTTGCTTGTTTTTTTGTTTTTTTTCATGCAAAGCACCATGCTTTTCTTCCCTTCTTATGTGTTCACTCCAGCAGTTTTAATTGAAATCCAACTAGATTGATTTGATATGCAATAACTGTAGTGTGAGACTCCAATCTACACCCCAAGCAAGCAATGGTTCAAAGAAGACAGTTATTATGATTTTAATGATTTCCCATTACTTTTTTTATGTAAACTTGCAACACTGGCATCTTTGACTGCTTGTGTCTTTTCCATATTGTGCATGATGCAAAATGCACTCCATGTGAACTATGATATCTGACATGAATGTTTTAAAACAAAATGTGCTGTTAGAAATATTAAAGACTCTCAGCTCTGATGAATCAAACAATGATAAATATTTCTCACTCGTAAGCATCAGGCTAATAAATGCACAAATTATCTATACATGGGTGTATGAACATTTCCAACAAAATGTGGCCTGACTTATTTTAAATAAATCAAAATGACAGTTGAGCGACACAGTGGCTCAATGGTAAGCACTTTCGCCTCACTGCAAGAAGGTTGCTGCTTTGAGTCCTGGCTGGACCAGTTGGCATTTATGTGTGGAGTTTGCATGTTCTCCCCATGTTGGCATGGGTTTCCCCAAGGTGCTCCGGTTTCCCCCACAGTCCAAAGACCTGCACTACAGGTGAATTGAATAAGCAAAATTGGCTGTGTGTGTGCGTGCACGCGTGCGTGCATGTGTGCATTCCCAGTACTGGGTTGCAGCTAAAACGGCATTCGCTGTGTAAAACATATGCTGGATAAGTTAGCGGTTCATTCCGCTGTGGCGACCCATGATGGATAAAGATACTAAGCCAAAGGAAAATGACTAAATTAATGAAAATGATGGTTTGACAGACAAACAAAAATGCATAAATTTATTTTGTTATCCATACAAAATGGGTACTTTGTCAATTTAAAAAAATAGCCAATATTTGTTTTGACAGTATGTAAAATTGTTATTTCCTCATGATGTTGGGCTGAAATGAGTCAAAAACTCTTAATTTTGTCATTGTTTATGTTTTATTATTTATATTCCCTAATACCCATTTCAAACCATTTCGAACCAGTTGTGTAAGCTTAGCCCTTGTGTTAAGAACTTGGACCAAATAGCAATTAGTCACAGACTAACCAGTCTTAATTTTTTTATTTCATAACAGAGCTATCAATCTTTTTTGTAATTGACTTAAAAAGGCTTTGACAAGATTGAAGAAAAAATGCCTCACTTATACATAGGGACTAGTCAAAGCATTTTATGTGACTGCACTGCTATAACATAGTTAGGTCATACAGTGGCAGTCTCCAGTCACACCTCTGCTCTGCAGTTACCAGAAAATGACTCAGAGTAGCAAGTCTTGTTTCTAGCACTTGAGTTACTTTTTGGATCTGTGCCATTTACATTTAGACTGTCTAATTATATTATTTGTACCTTGACTGCTTTTAGTTAAAGATCGCTTGTAATTACACCCAACAATAAACAATCATTCTAGCTGATACATTGTGTTTGTATGGAATTTTTTTTTTTTTTTTAGTTTCTTAAATAAATACACTGTTGCAACTTAAATAATCATGAGAATTGATGTGAAAATTGGATATAATCTAAAGTATTTTGATAGTATATTTTATATAAATGTAGAGGGATTGGGAGCTTGGTCCCAAATGAGGCAACATGTGCTAAGCACGTGCACAGCTCATTGCTTCACAGCTCTGACTAAAACTTTTTTCTTTACGTCCAAGTGTCAGTTTTAACACTTTCACTCCTAATGGTGTTTCATGGAAAATGGTAAGTGGAAAACCTGAACTGGAGTACTGTAATTACTGTGTTGAGAGGGGGAGGGGAAAATACGCTTCACACTCCACATATATGCTACTCCAGACCAGCTTCCAGGCTCTCTGTTCCTTGATACTGCACAAATGTTGATGCTATGTCTATTTTCAGACTGTTTTGTTAGCTGCAGAACCAAAATATCTAACTGGTCAGTTGTTTTATGTTACTGAAATATTGTAATCCAGATGTCTTGTTTATTTCCCTAAACAGTCATGTATTTTAGCTCTACGTTTAGTGTCCTGACTAATTGAAATACAAAAAAAGTTTTGTCCTGTATTTCAATATTCCTGAGTGCTAGAAGAAGTCTTGTGTCATGTAAATCATTGGTAGACAGTCATGTCATTAGGGCTGCACACTATATCGTTTTAGCATCAATATCGCATTGTGATCAGTCACATCGCAGGATTTGCAATGTTAATTTTGTATTATAATTTTTTTTATTTACATATGTATTTGAGGCCTGTGGCTGTATAAAGGTTTTAAAAAACATCCAGACATAAGAATTGTACCATTTGTAACTTTAATAATGATTAATTTGACTGTATTGTTTATGTTATACAGTACCTGAATACAGTTAGACTCGAAAAACAACGAATCATTGTTTAGTTTAACTGTATCTGTTTCTTTATTGTATTTATAGAAATTGTTTATCACATTTTTGATAAATGTGATATCGCTCAGCTGCAAAATCTTCCCAATTAATCTAAAATGATCAATTCTTTCTTAATATAGATATTGAAGTCATCTGGTGGAATTGTATTCACATCGCAAAATTCAAAATATTGCAATGTTAGATATTTCAATATCGTGCAGCCATACATGTCACTGTAATGGTTTTCTTCAAAATATAGTTTCCAATTTCTAAATCAATCAAGTCGCAGTTAGTGGAGGTGAGCCTTGCACCATCTGATGTCAGACCGATTCCAGTGCCAGTGATTGAGAGAGCACAGATTGAGAGCAAATTTGATTTATACTGCAGAATGATGTCAATAAAGCATCTTATAGAATTGTTTGTTTTATAAAAATTATAGTAAATTTGTAGTAACGTTTTTGCCATATGGATTACACTCTATAAAATCTAGTCACTCCTGATTTATTTGTTTAACTCTCCCGCTGCTTTGATTATTTTGAATGTGTACATCTGATAACCACATTAAATTCATAAAAATAATTTAAAATATGTGTGTTCAGTTATAGTCCATTCATTAAGAATATATTGTAACAATAGCACATGCTATAGTTTCCATGACATAATCTAGCAGATTGTTAGGTTTTAGCAGACAGATACAGGAACATTAGATAGATAGATAGATAGATAGATAGATAGATAGATGGATGGATGGATGGATGGATGGATGGATGGATGGATGGATGGATGGATGGATGGATGGATGGATGGATGGATGGATGGATGGATGGATGGATGGATGGATGGATGGATGGATGGATAGATAGATAGATAGATAGATAGATAGATAGATAGATAGATAGATAGATAGATAGATAGATAGATAGATAGATAGATAGATAGATAGATAGATAGATAGATAGATAGATAGGGTGGAAAACACACATCCAAACACTAAATTAGAGCATGCAGACAGTGTGTGAACAAAATGTCTTTTTAATGCATTTATTTTGTAATCGTGATCGTGCATATAATTAATTAGTGCTAATATAATAACCTGGAAGAATTTCAATAACCGTCAGGGTCGAAATAGGTTTGGTTTAGCAGGCATAACCCTGAATTGACTGTGACAGTGTGGGGAGTTGGAGTCTGCAGCGCTGATCATTGCGCCTCACACACTTTCAAACTCGTCATTTCACAACACCGAGGCGAGGAAACGAGCCAGCGCTATCAACACTGCTGCCCCGAGGGCTCTTCCTACTCGGTCCTGAGAGCCACAGACGAATCTGGGAATATCACGGCTAAACCAATAGCACTGTTGATTCGAAAACATGCTCGAGGTTTTCTGTTTTATCGTGTGTGTCTCGACAAACTGGCTGACGGATCATACTTTCATTTCCAGATCACGACACCGATGAAAATAACATCAGACACCGCAAGTAGAGTAGTAGCATTGAGATAAAGACTAATCTTTACAATTATCGGAACAAGGGACAAGATGCAGACACGAAAGCAACGGTTGATATAGCTTTACAGCGATGTATAGACTTAAATTAATATTCTCGGATTACTGATACAAAGCACGCGCTTCGACCCACAATCTTCATCCCGGTTCCGCAAAGAAACTCAACCCAAAAGTGTTGAAGAGCTCCATGCATTCAAAAAGGTGGGTGATTTCGTTACAAATAACTTTCATTCTTTTGCAAATTTAAGGCTAAATTATGCAGAGACTTCCTCTCATGTGTGCTTTACATCTCTTGCAAGATTATAGAAGATTTTTGAGTCTGCAATATATTGTATGCAGCCCAGTGTATGCTTCATTAGGGGTAATAATGGTAATAATGGTCTTGATTGTATTTGATTTTAATAATAAATTTATATATTAGAAAAGGAAAATTTACATTTTACACGTTTTCCCTCTGTAGCTAATCACCAAAGATGTTTCTCTACTTTTAAATTGTAAAAAAAATAGCTTTGCCGAGCTGAAAATCATGCACACGCTTTGATGATTAATAAACTCCCAAATATAATTGGGATAACAAATCCTTAATAGGCTATCAGAACGAGAATCGTCATTATGACAAGGGGATGTCATGTCATGTTCTGGATTTTAGGACCTTCATTCAAATTAAATCAATAGAAAAAGAAGACATCCAATTCAACTGTAAATAAAATAGCATGGTTCTTTCAAACGTTCTTGAGGACGCATCTCTGGAGATATCATTCATTCTCAACCACTGTGCAAGCGCCATCTGTTGGACTGCAACAGCTGACCACTAAAAACAAAACATAAATAACATATCCACCTTTCCCTCCTCCTCTTTCAGAACTTTCAATTACCTTGACCTGTCAAGGGTTGGACAGGACTTTATTAATATTTTAATTAATAGCTTTGCATTGCAGATGAACAACATCCTTTCATATTCCTTTTCATCTGAAAAGCTCAGAAAAACTTTTTAAAAATGTAATGTAAACACTAGTAAGATCTGAAGTATATTTTGCGTCCTGTGTAACATATGGGAAAGCAATGTGTCAGGGAGATTGATTTAAGAAAGTGTAGTGAGATAAAGCTTGTTAGACCTCTTAATCTGTGTCACATCCCATATTGGCTATATAAACCCAATGCATTGATGACAGCGGAATGGTTAAACGCATTTATGTTGACATGCTGTATGTATCAAGTGATCATAATTATATTATTGTGAATTTAGTTTAACGTATTGGCTTTTTCTTCAAAATAATCTACTCGTTTTGTTTAGCCTGCAGTAGTGTACAAATAAAGAATTAGTTTCCAATGTAATTTAAATCAGAAATCGATTCTCTCTTACATTTAAATGGGCCTTTAACCCAGAGGTGTCTAATCCTGCTCATGGGAGGGCCACTGTTTTGCAGAGTTTAGTGCCAACCTTAATTAAACACTGCAGCCAAGGTAATCAAGGTTTTTAGGATTACAACATTATTTGGAGAAGTTGGAGCTTTCTGCTAAACTCTGCTAAAAACTAAACTCTTCAATAATCATGAAAATAAAATAAATATATATGTTAATATATTATATCATAATATTATATATTAAATATTATGTTAATTATGTAAACAATATTGCACCCATCATGTAAAAAACACAATTATATATATATATATATATATATATATATATATAATTTACTTAATTATCATGCATTTGCTTATTGTGCTAATACACTTGTAAAAATAGAGATTCCAAAATGTTTGTCTATTTGTAATAGGATTCCCACAGAAGAATACTTTTAGGTTCTTCAAAGAATCAATAAGCATTTCTTAAAGGGAAATAAACATTTAAACTTCTCCCCTTTCTAAACCTTTTTTGTGGAATTCATTGTCTTTATCTTTAAAAGTATAAAGGTTTCTTGAATCAAACGTAGTTCCACTCTTGTTATGATTCTGTCCTAAATGAAAATCCAGCGGCTACACCCCGAACAGTAAAGTATTATTTACACTTGATGTAGCCTGTTAAAAGAGTAATGCGCTCACTTTCGTGTTCGTAGCCTACATTGCAAGCGGGTGAAGTACTTTTCAAAGCCCAGGCGTAATCTGAAACTAGTGAGGGGTTGGTGGTGAAACAGTGACTCCTTATTGGTGCTCTTCGCGGTGTAGGCTGCACCCTCTTGACACTAGCGAACTGGAAGATCGATGGCACTTTTCTAGTGAGGGTTGGGAATGTGTGAACACGCAGAGTACCTGACAAAAGCCGTGATATTTGTACGACGGAAGGGTGGACGGCATGAATTCTGAGTGTGGCGGTTTTTCGACAACTTCAAGTGGAAAGTCGCAGCATTTCTTTAATTCGCATTTCTTCACATTGCTGGTGTAAATAGGGAGAGGAGAGGAGCGCTGTCCCGTGCTGGATGGATGGTTATGGGGAAAGGAGCAGGACCATCGGCGCTACAAGTCTGCCAGTTCCTTGCACTGTTTCTCAGTCTGTTTCCAGCAGGTAAGAAACAAAACCTTTCCCCTAACATTTCTAAGTTGAGGTTTGGCATAAGGAATGTGGAGTCGCGTTGTGTTTCTTTGTATTTAATTGTCGAATAAATGATGTAACATAATCGCTACAAAACAGCTACAAACACCCAGGGCATGTTGAAATAACGCACACTTTGTTACTTAGCAGCAAATTAAATGCAGTTGGGTGTAATTTGTTGAGTCATGACCCAGTTATGTCTGCTAAAAGATATTTATCATATAAAACATTTCAGTGTGCGTTCCTTAGTAATGTAATTGTTTATAACTTTTTAAGTTTTTGCTAAATAGCGTTTAAAGTTGACGGTGCTGGACTCTTTTTGCATTCGAGTACAGCCAGTGCTATAATGCGGATTTTAGTCGTTTAGATTCCTTGCTTAAACAGCAAGATTAAAGCGCAATGGTCCGAAGACTCGGTTCGATCCTGCTGGCTGCACTAGCGCAGTGTTTCCCACAGCTCTGCCGGAGACGTGCTGTTGTGTTTGGGGGAGGGGAAGCGAACCCTCCACATCTAGCATGCCTTTGCTGGACTTTTGGGGGAAAAATATACAAAAGATAAAGAGCGTATTCTCTATGGTAAAACAATGTTCCTGAACGAAGCCAAACATATTACTTAACATTTTTAGAAGTTGACTATAGATATATTTGTATGCATGTAATGTATACAAATATATAAGGATGAATTCCCACAAAGCGATGTACTGCATACCTTGACTTCACAGTATGAAAATAAAGTTGTAGTGCTGTGTTGTAGAAGTGCATACATTTTCCTACAGTTTTGTTTGCACATTAACTGTAATATTTTATTGTTGACACATTCCCAGCATATCAACTGAATGCAGTTGTTTAGGGTCATTTTGTAAATGTTTTACCTTTGTTAATATTTTTATAATTTAAGTGTTGATGTCAGTCACAGCTGATAAAATCCTAAAAGATCAAAACCCTCTCAGGTCACCCTTCCCATAATTGTTTATGGGTCAACTGTGAAAATAAAATACCAAAATCATGAGAGAAACAATGTGGAAATAATTTAATAATTTCGATTTCTACATATGAAAATACATTTTATTTTGTAAAAAATTGTTGTAATCAACTCTGCTGTCAAATAGAAAAAATAGTGTTTTAAAGGATAGTTGCAAAATATGAAGTTTTAATTTTCAGTTCATTTGTGGAGGCTGCATTTTATTTCTTAAATATATATATTTTTTTAATATAAGCTAACAAACTATTGTTAAATGACACTGTCGAATGACATTTCAGTGTGTTCTGTAAATAATAGCAAAAACTTATGCATGTATTAAACCAAACACTTCAAAATAAATAAAACAAAAAACGTTATTACATCTTTCTACAAATGCAAGTTGTTATTCACACTAAAATTCATATGTGTTTTGTAAGAAATTTCTTTTAAAACTTGTTCAATTCATAAAGTGTACAGTGCTCAGCATGTATAAGTACACCCCTCAAAAATCTGTTTTAAATTCATATTTTTAATAGGAAGCTATACAATATTATTTTTGTGCATATACATTAAATTAGTCAGTACTGAAACCAAATCTGGAGCTTATCTAACGAAATAACTTACGAGAATGGTCCAAAAACTAGGACACTCAAATTTATGTTAGAGAAAAATATTTAATACAAACAAAAAAAAGAGGAAAAATCCAGAGAAGCAAAAAAAAAAGTAAATTATCTGTTAAAATGTTGTTGGTTGTACTTTTGTTTTGCAATATTTTGCTTAAATGTAATTGTTTTATCTTTCAATTTCTAGAGATGTTTGGTGGCTAAAATATTATTTTAATAAATATATCTGTTTAATAAATCTGTTTTGTTTAAATGCACCAAAATACAATGTCTATATTAACTGAGAAACAGATAAAAATATTTATTTTCAAAATGGGGTGCACTCAATCATGCTGAGTACTGTATATTAGAAGAAGAAGAAGAGTGTAATCTGTGATGTGTTGAAGAACGTAGGCACATTCACATGACTGTGATAATTAATTGTTGTGTATCTTAATATAATAACGTTACTTACAAGTATTGTTTTGAACTGTCAAGATTCTGGTCAGTTGTATGTAGCGTTTAGTTTGATTTCACACCCAGTGCTCTGTCCGTATTCCAAGTTATTTAATGCCAAACAAAAAGCAATCATGCATGCTCTAGTCATTGACATCTTAAATTAGCCTATTGTCTCTTATCAGATGGATGATAAATGCTCTTTGTAGCAGGTAGGTGGAAGATGTATGTGACTGAGAACTAAAAAAGATAGATGTGTGATCATTTGAAAACAAAGTCGGCAGTTGTGTCTAGGTTTGGCATGTCCTGATTTTATCAAACGAAAGAGATCATCTTTAAATAAAGAAAACCACATGATTCAAAAGCCTTTGCATTGCAATTCAGCGCTTGTAATCCGAGGAAGGGGAATGTGCTTGAAATTGCTTTTGCCTTTGATTACGGCCTTTTGCTCTGGACAGGTGGCTATCTCATATCCAGTTTGACCTGTGGAATGGTGAGACCTACTCTATGTTCCGCCCACTGGTCCTGGAGCCAGTTTCTCTCCAGAGATCCTGTTTCTTTAAGGCTGTCCTCATCCCCCCCTTCCCTCCTGCCCTGCGTGGCTGATGAAACTCTACCTAATCCCTTTACACAGGGCTAATTTATGACTCTGCTGGTTTCTTCTCAATGGCAAATTGCATTGTCTTCATTCAGAGTCCTAGGACTACACCCTCCCACACACACACACACACACATACACACAAACAGCTACCCCCTTCTGTTTAAACCCTAAGTGATTTTTTTTCAGATGTGCATTTGCCCTCGGTCACTGACACCCACGGTGCTTTACTCAAAAGCACCCCCACTATCTGCTTAGCAATGCAAAGAGACAGCACAAGGTGTGAATGAGTGTGAATTTGATATGAGATGATTAGCACTTTTAAATTGTAGACTTTTGTTGGTGCGAATATCAGTTTGAAAGCTTCCTTCCCATTTGTCTTAATGCTATTAATTTGTGTTACACCTTAAACAGTGTGTAATTGCCAGATATCCAACTGGGATCTTGGAATTTTTCGATACAGCATACAGCCTTTTACTAATATAAAGTGATGTCATTTACGGTGAGGTAATGAAGTTAGATAAGCCTGTCGAGAGTTCATTACTTTGTAATGATGTCTATTTAGATGCTTATTGCTTTACGTTTTGTATAACAATAGCTCTTAGGTCTTGAGCTTTTCTCTCCTGTGATATAAATATAATCACAATATTCCATTAATATTTAAATTTTACATAAAACCAATTAATTGTCGCTGATTAGCTTACAATGTTGATTGGTCTACTTCATTTTATATAAAATTTTAAAGGCGACAAAACAACAATAGCCTTGCTGTGTACTACATTTAGAGAGCACTTGGCAAAATGCAGAAACTTGGAACATGGTTGGAATGTTGTTTTTATTACTGATGAAATTAAAGCCTCACTTTGTCCAGATGTAGAGAGAATTCATGTGTTGTTATGAAGGCCTTGAGCAACTGCCATTCTTGAACATAACATTCTAAAAACCTGGAGTTTTAAAGGGATAGTTCACCCAAAAGGAAAATGTTACTATTATCCACTCGCCCATGACCAATTAGATTTTTTTTCTGTTGAACACAAAAGAAGAAGTCAACAAAACAAACAAAAATTAATAAACCCAAACTGTGGGGAATAGTCTAGGGTGAGTAAATCATGGTATCATTTTCATTTTTGGGTGAACTAACTTTTTAAGTTTTAAGTTCAATAATAAATAATAATTAAAAAGTGTTGCTAAATATTTTTATAATGTTATGTTTAAGTATGCCAGTTTCTTAATGTATTCATAACAACTCACAAATTCTCTCCTCAATACTGTCTTAAATATTCATTTTTAAATTGCAACTTTTTAACAACAAACAAATCAGTTTTGTTTATAACTCAGGTTAATGCTTATTTCATCTCTGTTTCATGTTAATTTGGATATAACCTCTCTATGCCCTTGGGTTTATGCTTTCTTTTCTTTTGCTTTACAGCCACTCTGCAGTGTAAGATCCTCAAGTGTAACTCAGAGTTCTGGGCCTCCACCTCCAGTTCTGGCCCAGAAGAGGAGTTTTGCACTGCTCTGCGAGCATACAACAGTTGTGTACGTCGCACCGCTCGTACATGCCGGGGTGACCTGGCCTACCATTCAGCCCAACATGGTATAGAGGATCTTATGAGCCAACACAACTGCTCCAAAGAAGGGCCCACTACCCAGCCTCGTGCCCGCACAGTCCCACCCCCAGTCTTGTCACCACCCCAAACAGACATTCATATTCCCTCTGACGAGCCAGAGGTATGCCATTACGAGCGGAGTCTACCACATAATGCTGCACCTCCCAATTACACCCATTGTGGCTTTTTTGGGGATCCACATCTTCGCACATTCAACGATGACTTTCAAACCTGTAAAGTTGAGGGAGCCTGGCCACTTATCCACAATAAGTACCTGTCTGTCCAAGTTACAAACACTCCAGTTGTTGTTGGATCTTCAGCTACAGCTACTAGCAAGGTAAAGACACTTTATGCCTCACATAAAAAAGCAAAAATCATTCCTGCATCAGTGTGTGGTCTTATTTCACAAGTACTTTTTGGCCAACTCAACTTATAAGAAACTTGTTTCAGCAAGGAACTAGTTAATGGTGAAAGTGGTTTTGCCAGTGGGAAGAGAAAGCAGACTAAGTGCAGACTCTAGTTAGCATTTGGATCTGTTCCACGACAGATAAAGACGTGATAAGAGGAGCAATTGATGAAAGCCTGATACTTTTTGTATCAGGAATGCCATAAACAAATGGGAGGTGATAACTTACAATTCTACAAGGCTAAAGCACTTATTTTTATTTAGAAAGTTCAAATGTATGTTGCTATATCAGTCTTTGCTATTGTTTGTGTGATTTAAAAGTCTTGTTGTTTTAACTAAGTGCTCAGTCCATACAGGAAACTGCCGATATTTTTTCTGAATTAGTTGGCCCTCATACCTCATAAATTATCATTGTTTTGCTTTACGGCCCATTGGACAAACTAGGGAGCTGCCTCAGAATTGGCCAGCTGTAGAGCCTAAGGTGAAAGCACAGGACTACAAATTTATGTGTCTGATTGCTGAATGCTAATTTTACTATGTCTGTTGTCCTTTTGGCTGCTGTAATTGTGTGACCAGGGTTGAGTTTTTCCTCGTGGCAGAAAAACACAAGAACTTTGTACTTATTCACATTAAGAAACAGGGCAATTTTCCGCCATCAGAAACCTCTAATGATTCCCCATTAAGTAGACGGACGCTCAGTTCTTTCTTGCAGGAGGGAAAAGGATCACAATATTTTTTTTAGGTTGGCTGTTTCTTGAAATAAATGACAGTGACTTAGAGGTCATTCGACTTGGACAAAAGCAAAAACAGGTCTGCGGGCAGATGGCACCTGTGCAAACAAGACACCCCTTGTTTATTGATACTCCCTTTTTACTTAAAACAAGCTCTCAGTGTCCTGTGAAAGTTAGCCTTGGGTGGGTGGTGCTAACAGGGGCCAGATCACTGTGTCATTAGTGATTATGGGTTGGTTTGGGCTAAGTTTTCCCCCACATAACTTGGACGTAGACACACACTCTTATGCATCATTTGCAAGATCAGAGCAGCCTGGACATCTCGAGGTCACTTATGTGTCAGCAGTCCATTGGCCTCCTAATGGCAGCTTGCTGGAGGAGTCAGAGGTAGGAGCAGCCTTCTCTAATTAGCCCCTGCGCAGGCTGTGCTCTCTAGCTGGCGCGAGTCCACTCCCTGGAGCTGAATCCGGGGTTCACAGGCAGGCTCTGAGCAGCATGAATGGATTGCCTTTGTGTCTGCATACTGAGGCCTGCTGTAACATAGACTGGACCTGTGTTTCTGCAGAGTGCGTTTACATTGGCCCCCTGTATCTTGAGCTGCTGCTGCTGAAATGTGACATTACGAAAGCTTCTGGGCATAGAGGGTCTGCACTACACAGTCTGGTTTTATGAAGACAAGGCTCAGTTATGCAGAATGAAGTACTTAGTCAACATATTTTGCCATATGCAGTGGTGCATTAAACCGTTTACTTCTATGGCTGCTGATTGTTAGCTTTGTTTTGATTGAAATGCTATACCTTTTTAAACATGGTCCGTTTGCTTTTTTTTTGTTTGTTATTTTTTGCCTTAAATCTGATTCATTAATTATGGTGTTAACTAGCACAGTTCAGTGAGCCTACTTTATCTCTTTTGTTCCTAATGTCTTAATGTCCAAACTAATAATTGTTATTGTAGATGAGATACAGCACATCTTTTAAAAGATTTGTTCTCACTTGTTACCCCCTTTCTTGTTTTACCACAGCTAACAATCATCTTCAACAGCTTTCAAGAATGCGTAGACCAGAAGACGTACCGTGCAGAGACCGAAGATCTTCCTGCTGCATTCATTGATGGTTCGAAGAATGGAGGTGAGGGCCATGGGGCCAACACCCTACGTGTGGTAGAGAAGGTACCTGGACAACATGTAGAGATCCAGGCACGTTATATTGGCACAACAATTGTAGTTCGGAAAGTTGGCCACTACCTTACCTTTGCTGTGCGGATGCCAGAGGAGGTGGTAAATTCAGTGGAAGACCAGGATAATCAGGATCTTTACCTCTGCCTTCATGGTTGCCCTGCCAACCAGCGAATAGACTTCAGGACCTTTAAGGCACGAGCAGCAGAGAGCCATGGTGTAGGCCGGGGACGTCCAGGGAACCCTTCCCATGGCTTCACGTACCAGTCAGCCATGGCCAAGTGCAAAGAACGTCTACCTGTTGAGGATTTGTACTTTCAATCGTGTGTTTTTGACCTGCTATCTTCCGGGGATATCAACTTCACTCTGGCGGCCTACTACGCCTTTGAGGATGTTAAAATGCTCCACTCCAACAAAAACAAGTACCATCTCTTTGAAAAGGATACAATATTTAACTCTGCCTCCAGAAAATTGGCATTTAGTGTTCTAATCTTCATCAGCTTTGTCATTGTGCAGTTATGGACTGACTCGTGTTTCATTTGTCTGTAGTTCCCATTGGACATCTGTGTTAAATGGATGTAAGATGCTGTATGCATGTGAAGTGCTGCTCTCACCGTGTTGTATTCCATCTACCAGAGGCTGGGCTTCTCAGCTAGAGCATGAGCTTCTGCCGAGGGCTTTCACACTTGTGTGTCTTGTGTCACGCCATGGACTCATCTCTCGTGTTCATCGTGTATGTTCATTCATCGGGCCGGAGCAGAAGCGTTCCTGGAGATCCATTCTGCAGTCACCCTGCTGATCTCATAACTGCTTAATGACAGAAAAAGGCAGTGCTTAGAGGTCCTGATACTCGGATCAGATTAAACCATCCTCGTTTCAACCAGGGTGATGTGCCACTGACAGAAGTGAGAGGGGGATGATCCTTCGCAGAAAGAAGAGTTTGGAGATGTTCTTCAGTACACTTGATGCCAAGTGAGAGCTGAAGCATGTCTCCCAGAGACAGGTTGGAGGACATGACAAGAGCCTTTATTAATGTCTTCAAATGATGGAAGGGCGGCAGGAGTTCTCTCTTTGAAGAAGCTCCAGCTTTGGAAAAATGTTAGCTTTCTAAAGAAAGCCCCCTGGCCAAGGCCATGTCAGACTAGTAAGTCATGTTATCTACAGAGGAGATTAATAGGCCATAACATCAGGCATTTTGTATAGTTAGTTTATGTGTGAAAGATGAGTGTTACTGTGTGGGTGATCGTATGAATGGTTGTGTATGTGAGTGAAGTGTTTCATAATAGCTGTATATTGCACCCAGGGTCCCAATGTAGCTCTGGTGTGGTGGTTCATGGGTCAGTAAGAAGTTTTACGGCCTGCCAAGAGCTCTTTCCTACATTTTATATAAAAAGGGTGTCAACCTTAGTGTCAGTCAGAGTTTAAGTTACACCTATACTGCTTAAAATATTTACTGAATTCTCTCCATTGTCAAATTGGGCATTCAGCCGGAACAAATTTTCAGGCACATAGAGAATTACTTTCTTTACTTTGTTCAGTCAAGTCGAAAGACAAACAATGCAAGCCATACTATGGTGTGGCCCATGACAGAGTTGTCAACTTGCTTCAGATAAACATGTTATGGAAAAAAAATGAATCATGTCAGTTTGCAGTAGGTAACACAACAATCAACGTACATATCCAGGAGAGAGCCAAGTTTCTCCATACAATGTGTGCAGTTTGAGATGGGACCCACAAGGCAGATCCATCAATCATCCTTACTGCTTCTTAAAAAGCAACGCCTTGCTCTCCATTTCAAAAGGGTGTCGACGTGGCTGTGCTGTAGGCCTCGTTTAACTCACGACTCTGTAGATCTGTGAATTTATGGCAGAGGCGTTTTGCCAAAGAACAAGCCATGGTGCCAACAATTTCCCAAACAGCTGAATTCTCTCTCTCTCTCTCTCTCTCTCTCTCTCTCTCATGGGGCCTTTGTGGTTCACTTAAGTATTTGGGCTCAAACCAGATGTCCTGATTGTGTTTAATATTGGAAGGTGCTGCTAACCTACAGTATGGTAGATGGACCAGTGCAGGAGCTATTGAGAACATCTGCCATGCATTTCTCGTGATATTTGAAATGGGGGCATTCGCTCTTCAGCCATTAGCAGGCTCAGGATTACTGGCACTCAGTGTTGTATATAGCAGTAATAGTATTGGCGAGCTAGTCACACGTTACATAGCACCACTATTTTGAAGAGTGAAACTGCACCCTTGGTAGAACAATAGTTTTGTAGGCCATGTCTAAAGACTGTTGGAAAGGTCTCTGTTGAAGATAAAGCCCACGCAGCCTAATTTCCATGTCTCATTTCTTCTAAGAACATCTGTCACAGCTGTCTCTTATCAGTGTTTCTTTTCTGTTAGTAAAAACTATGAAACTATGGTTTAGATATTAATTATACTTACAACGCTTTCACAATGACTTCATGGTAATTTATTCTTACACTGTAAAGTTTTGCGAGCCTTACTACTGCTAAGAAAGCTTTGTGTTGGTGCAGTTAATGGCTTTAAAGAAACATTTGAAAGCATACAAAATGATTGTAATGACCTTTGTGTTTAAGTGTGATTGTGTTGTCAGTGCTTTTTGAATTTATGTGTAATGTGACAGGTTTGTGTGATATGGCAAATAATATTTTGTGCAGATTTTATTTGGTACATCAGAGGGTGTGGTAAAATCTACCTTTAAATTTAAAGGGAGTTTGTGTACACAAATGCCACAAAACATAAGATAAGGGATTTATTCAGATTTAATTTAAAACAGGAGTAAAAAGCTGACATTGTGTCCTAAATGCTAAGTAGGAAACTTGTGACTTGCGGTGTTTATGTGTTGTTTATTACAAAAGCACTTTATGTTTTTATTCTCTTAACCTAGCTCTTACTTGGTTTTAACTTGATGGTGAACGAGGTTATCATCAGAACTGTTACACTAAAGGATACAAGTGAAAGATAATGTTTTCAAATGTATTAACATTGAATGGGAGTTACCAGACAGCTTAGTCTGTTTTTGTATGTAGGACTAAAGCGGTGCCACACACCACCTGTAAATACTGTAAATTATTTATTGAAGAAAAAAAAATAAAGTGTCATATTGAATTGTTTTTGATGTGTTCGTTTTTGTTTGAAAATCGAAGTGGCTCCACCACATCAGGTAGCATTTTCAGTACACATCGGTGCAGATACATTGAGGCAAGACTGACACCTAAAGGGTGGATTTGGTAAACTCAGGTTACTGAACATAGCCTTTCAAAGAAAGAACAAGTTATGTCTGTTAAAAGATAACACCTAAAGTAACAAGCTCAAAAGACTGAGCAGACGGATTTACCAAAGTTTTTTTTTTAATTAATACGTAGTACGTGTAGATTTACATAGATAAAGAAAACACTACCTAAGGAAAAAAAAACGTAATATTTTGTTGATTTTTTTTCGATTTAACTTACTTAGAACTTACTTTAATCTGTTAATGTTAAAACGTGTTGGAAAATTATATAAAATGTGTGATTTGTCTATGAAATAAGCTACTCACCTCGGCAATTCACGCCATTCTCCTAAAGACTTCCTTGATGCCGTGCACGTGCAAAATGAAGCGCGCGAAAATCTGGCACACTACAGCCTTGGTAAAGTCATTTTTAATTTATTTGCATTTATTTAGCATTTAGATCACTGCTTTTAAACATTTTTGACTTTTGAAAAATTAGCCTACATTAATCTGTGAAGAACATTATACGTAATGAAGTGAATTAAAATAGTATTTAAACAACAGCATATATTTATTTTTAGCTTTTGGGTTTCAACATTTTTTGAGTCCCCCATTGTCCACACAATTAATTAACTTGGACTTATATTACTATATATACATAAACAATTGTTAAAATATAGTTTAAATGTCGATTGTAGTGACTATTTAACTTTAATATTAACCATATAGCTGTTTCAAAAGAAATGTTTTTGGTCTACTTAACACGTCTTAATTTACCATTAGCTCCAAGTTTTTATTTTTTTTTAATCAAATTAAAGCAAATGTATTGGTTTGATTGTTGCAGTGGCGCAGTGGGTAGCGCTGTCATCTCACAGCAAGGTCACTTATTCGAGCCTCGGCTGGGTCAGTAGGCATTTCTGGGTGAAGTTTGTATGTTCTCCCTGTGTTTGCATGCGTTTTCCCCCACAGTCCAGACATGCGCTATAGGTGAATTGGGTAAGCTAAATGTGTGTGAATGAGTGTATGGGTGTTTCCCAGTGATAGGTTGCAGCTGAAATGGCATCCACTGCGTAAAACATATGCTGGATAAGTTGTTGGCTCATTCCGCTGTGCCGACTCTGATTAATAATTATGGGAATAAGCCAAAAATGAATGGATTAATGAATGAATGAACATATTGGTTTATGTTATAGCTTTCTTTAATGGATCTTTTGTCCTTTGAGGAAAAGAACAAAAAGAAAAAGTCAGCTTGAAAATTTGAACTGACATGCTAGATTATTTATGTTCATATTAAACAAAAAACAAAACCAGCAGTCCATGACGTAGGAAAGTTTAATACATATAGGTCTATAAACATATATACAGTACAATTAGTCTGAACAGTGGCTTTTCACAAATATAAATTACTTTAAATTGGCTTGTTTCAAAGCTTAACACGTCCATGGAGTGTGAGCAGAAGCTCGGTGGGCAAGAAGAAACCCATCTTCAGCATCTCATAGCAGACATGTCCACTTTTCACCAGCTCGTCTGCTCCCCAAGTCCTGTCACCGTGATGATCTTTTTTGGAATTGAGCACACCACATTGTTCCCCATTCACCAGAACTGGCTTACCATGCACCTAGTTAAAATTCCATCCTGGCAAATGTTTTGAAATTGTACACAACAGCATAATACTGCACTGTTTCTCACGTCCTTATACCAATTCGGTGTATGGATCTACACAAGAATAAGGCACAGATGGACAAACACAATGAATGAATGGTATCAACCAACATGCCAGTCTGTGAATGTTTTGGCACAAAATCTGCTTCACCAAAAATAGCTTGTGACAACTGCGCTCTCCCTGAACACGCATGTGTCCGTTCATACAGTACTCACATTTCCACTTAAAGGTCAACGGTTTCAGCATACTCGCACTGAGAACACAACTCAACAAAACATGAAATCAGATTAGAGTAATGTCTACCATTACTACATTCTCAAAAACAAGCATTTACTGTCCTTTAGTGCAATAAAAAGATGCAACAGTACAAGCACTGACCATAAAGTGGACTTTATGTGGTACCAAGTGTTACAGTTGCAGGAAAACAAAGACAAAGATAGCTTAGGTGTTATGATTATCTAGTGTTCTGACAAGGTCTACATGGACCCTGAATACTGTTCAGCTTTTTTTTAAACTGTCTTAAATAAGGCTGCTGTCCTGAAACAAGGCATCTAAGCATTGCAATATTAACAAATGCCGGGGTCTGCGATAGCCAAGATGCATTTAGCGGATTCTGTAAATCAAGAAAGCCTTTGAGTAACTGGTGCAGTTGTTGCTCTTCAAAAATATTTGTGACTCCTGTATGATAATAACAACATTCAAAGACAAAAACAAATGTACACAGTTTTTTTTTCCTCAAAATGTCTTATGGTCACAAGAGTTTGGGCATTTCAGAGAGCAAAATCAACATCTGAAGGTGCAATTAAAATGATTCCTTTTTTTCATCTCCCACAAACAAAGGCTACTTTCATCAAATAATCCTTTTTTTCACACAACCAAAACAACACAAAACAAAAAGACACGAACATCAAAGTAAAGTTCGCTTTGGGGATATTCCCTTTCTGCTAATGACTCAACAAAGACCAAATACATGAGGCACTTTCTAACTTAGGCATACTTCAACACTTTATTAAAGTTCATTCATAGTCCATAGGACTAACCATACCTTGTTCTATCTCCTCGTTCCAAAATGGCAGACTTAGCCTGGGTTAAGAAACCTAGAAGAGAGTAGAGGACGCAGTGGCGATAGAGAGGAGTTTGGTGGTGGCTGGTTACGTCTCCTCTATTTATTGCCTGTATGGCCTTTTTGCCACATCCTCTGGCAGTACAGACGGCCTCTGCACTGTCTACATATTCACCTCACGTCTTCCTGTTGTTCCAGTTAAAGTCTGTCGCAGATTTCTGCTCTGCACTTCTGTCCATACCAGGTGAGATCGGCTCAAGAGGCGATTTCTGAGACTGCGGAGAACGTGGGTCAATCAGAGGCGGGGGTTTGTCTGGGTGAAAGGGCCGGTAGTGATCCGGCCCCATGGGGCCATGGTTTCCAGGAGGTCCCCTGTGGTCAGGCATTCTTCTAAAGTCCTGCGGATGCCCTCCTCCTCCTCCTCCTCCTCCTCCTCCTCCTCCTCCTTGGTGGTAGTTTGGAGAGCGATATTCATCCGAGCGCCTTCTCTTTGGGTCCGGATGTCTAAAAACAAAAGTCTAAATTTTAGTGCTCCAGCTTTAACATAACATTGGTGTGTAACGAGAAGTGTTTTCAGGGTGCATTTTGGTTCATCAGATCATAAGTTGACAAATCCTTCCCTTTTGTCCCCATTCAACCACTTAATTGACTGTTTCAGAGTGTTATGGTATGGTACACTTTTACGGCCATTTCCACTATCTAAAGGTATCTAAAAGCGAACAGTACCATACCATTTTTGGGTACCCTTTCCAAAAGGTACCTAGCACAACAAAAGGGTACCAAAAGATGGAGCTAGATGCACAGCTGAACAGCTGAAAATGAAAACAGCCTAGCAGAGGGGTCACCAAGCCTGTTTCTGGAGAGCTACCTTCCTGCAGAATTTAGCTCCAACCCTTATCAAACACACCTGAACCAATTAAGTAGGACCTGAAGCAGCACTTGATAATTACAGACAGGTGTGTCTGGTCAGGGTTGCAACTGAAATCTGCAGAAAGGTAGCTCTCCAGGAACAGGGTTGGTGACCCCCGTACACCATAATAATATATGCATATAATAATGAGCCATGGTCGACCTTGCCTTCATCCTGATGAACAGCCACAAAGGCAAGAAGGTAAACCTGTTGTACTTTTGTTGTTTATGAGGACGTCTAAACAGCTAGCGGTTTCACTTTCTCCAGAGAGCTTGTGATCGATTGCTGCGCTTCGATTTTTGAAATAACGAACCTTTTAAGCTGATGAAAATAATGTGTGCATGATTATTGAAGCGCTTCAGACTTCCGATCCTTTCAGAAACGGACAAACTTTCAAAGAGTAAAGCACGAAAAAACAAAGCAGAAGCTGGAAAAACAAAGGAGCAAATGATTCTTTCAGCAACCTAAAACATGAACAAACTGCCATGTTTAGCTACTGTATCATATTCACCCTTTGGACTATTATGAACTCAGAATGACGGAATTACTTTCTAACAAGCTTACTTGTGCTGTTGAAGATTAAAGATACAGATGAGAGGTTTGCACTAACTGTACGCTATAAGTGTTGTTTTTGAACCCAAATAAAAACTAATTGTAAGTTTTTCTGTAATTTGGTAACATAGTAGGTGAGGGGCTGTATGTTTTCATATCTGTTGCATTTATTTATTTATTTATTTTTTAATTAAATATAAATTATAGAAATTATAATTATTAATTCCAGACGTTACAGTAGGCAGTTATAATTTGCAGTTGTAATCAAATCATGTTCATAGAAAAATTTGTGATGAACATTTCTACACAAGTATTTATGTGTATAAAGCATCTGTTTCACGAGTTCACACTTACAGATGTTTAAGAATAAAGCGTTTTTGGCGTGCTGTCTAGGGAGAGGGCTCTGAGCTCGGGGAAGACACCTGAACTCGTGTTATTCCCCTTATCGGCGGAAAATAGAGAAGTTGGGGTTCGAGCGAGAGTCTAGCCTGGCCGCAGAATGCTTGAACGCTTGTGAGGTGTCTGGGTGGTAGAGGTATGCTAAGGCAGTGAGATAATGCAGGTAGGAGAGCTTTGGTATTTATAGGGGTTGGGTCTAATACTGATTGGATAATAGAATGATTGTCAATGACGTATTGGATTGCTGAAACATCTGCGCATGCTCCTCCTGAAATTTGTTTATAAAACATTACTTTGTGAGAAGTGCTTCTCATACTTCTGTCGTCCACCACGTCCACCATTGGTACCCTTATGGCAGTGGAAATGCAAGCCTTCTTTAGGTGACCCATACAGTACCACTAAGTGGAAATGGGCCAAAAAGAACAGGTGCATGTACAGGCTTCTTCTGATCTTTTATTGTTGATTAAATTTCCATAATTTGCCTATGAATGTCCAAAGAGAAATTTATCCTCATGGCTGCAAAACTATGATGAACACTGAAGATTGTTTTAGAACTAGAAGTGATAAAAACAACAGACATCAGCAAGGATATATATATAAGATCTTGTGTTATACTGTAACTTCAGTATCGGTGAAAGACTGTCCAAGCAAACTCACAAGCAAAAAAATGAATTTGGTTCATTTGCTCCAGACCAATGGCAACGAATAATACATTGCAGCATTTTTGTAGGCTTTGGTTTCTTTTCACACCACATTGATTGCTCGGGTTCTAACCAATTGAAAGAAACTAAAATGCAGTCATGTGGCAACATTGGCCAGATATTAATGTACTAAGTACTTTTTGACAGGTCAGAATGAATAAATATTCCTAACATTACTCCTGAATGTAAACCAAGAGGAGGGAAAGACAACAATGGAGAGATGATTGCACATGATGACTGTATCCCTGGTCATAGTATATTAAATAATTTGTGTACATTATTTTATACAAACTCTGTATGTTTGTTTTGCACAATTTTGTGTGCACTCGTTTGCAATCACTGCACTCATACTTGCCAAAGATGAACCCTAGTGCGATTCAACCAAACTAAATGAGGCAGGCATTAAAGAACCCTAAAATAGTTGGATTTTTAAATATTTCCACAAGTGTTTTGGCTCCTTCACCACAGTATGCTACCATGACAAATGACGTAAGAGAACTGTCAGTACATCATAACCAGTTATGGGCTGTAACTAAACCAACATTGAAAACGATTAATTCTGACACCCTATTCAATAGCTCATCTCATAATGTTGAGGAATTGGGTCAGTAGAAAGAGATGTAGTGGTCCTCAGTGGCTGTTTAAATTTTTTAAGCACATAAGCATTTACAATACACATGCAAACCAGTTAAATACACTTTCAACTGCATCTGGAAGTGGTCGTAAAAGTTTCAGAAGCTGTTTACTCCTGTATTTAGCATGGTCTACTTCTAATTGGATCAACAAAAGTTTATCTTAAAAGGATAAAAATAAAAATTATCACATGATTTATTCTCCCTTATGTTATTTGAAAGATTTATGAGTTTCTTTCGTCTGTTAAACACACTAGAAGCCATTTTGAAGAATGCTGTTCTTCTATCAATTTATCAAACTATCAATTCTATCAAACTATCAATTTCTATAATAGGAAAAAATAAATATGGAAGTTAATGGAACCCAGCAGCTAGCATCTTTCAAAATCTTCAACAGAAGAAAGAAACTGAAGTGAAAGTGAACTATCCCTTGAAAGCCAGGCATAAACAGGGCTTAGTATTTTTATTTATGTATTTCTCATTTACCTTCATTCAAACTGCCTTTAACATATACAATCCTATCAGTTTCCACATTCGCTTGTAATCAAACCCATCACCTTGGTGTTGATACAGGAATTCAATGCAAATGTAATAAAATGCTCCTTTTGCTCACCTGTCATAATAGTCTCGATGACCCCGATGATCTCTATCGTTGCCATACTGGTCATAGGGCCGTTTGCGAGGGGAGCCACTGTTACGGTATCCTCCAGAGCTGCGGTAGTCACCATGAGGACGACGGTCACTGTAGTGATGATCCTTGTACCTGTGAGGCTCATAAGGGTGATGACGGTCTCCTTGCCAGGGCTGATTGCTGTTACCTGGGTAGCCATATTTGCGGTCCCTTTGCCAATCTCCCCTGTCTGTTAAAATACATAGAAGATTCTATATGAGATGCTTGATCATAACAATGACACATGTAATCAAATATCAATCATTTATACCAATGATTTTTAGACTTCAAATCTTATAACTTCCACTGCAACTGTTTTTATGTTGTGTCATTATGATCAGTGTTGGGGGTAACACATTACAAGTCACGTGAGTGAGTAAAAAGTAAAATAACGCATTTTAAAAATGAATGAATAGTGTTTGAGTTATTTTTTTTTAAAAATGTAACTTCAGTTACTTAAAAAATGAATTAAAAATAAAAAAGTCAGAATAAATCCCGCAGTCAATGAGAGAATGTGTTCATTATTTTAAACGCATCGAAGGAAAAGTGGATTGTCTCAGGGGACAGTGATTTTACTTGAGACAAATAGTACAAAAGTAGCAAAAAACATATTGCTTTAAACTTTCAATAATCTGCATATATGTCATATATAGCTCTGGGCTAAGGAAGTTCTCAGATAACATTATCCTAAAATATATATATATATATATATATCTTTTATGTGTTGTTTTTACTAAAGTAAGTAGGTGTAGGTTATAACAGGCATTGTTAATTGCAGTGGTCCTATATTAAAAAAAAGCTAAGTTCTGAAAGAGATAAAGCCTCAGCCAGGTAGTAAAGAGTAATGCAAAAGTAACTCAAAAGTAACATAATGCATTACTAACCATAAAAAAGTAATGCAACTAGTTACTTTTTTGGAGTAACTCGATATTGTAATGCATTACTTTCAAAAGTAACTTTCCCCAGCACTGATTATGATAGCGGTATCTAAATCTACAGATGTAAGTGAGAATATCAGCTCAAAAGCAGTTTGGTGGGCAATATTAATTTATGGTTCAAAAAGTAAAATAGATATTGATACTGTATATTCTTCTCTATTCAGTAATCTCTTTATCTTTTTCCAGAGAATATATAGATCACAATATCCTGAATTTGAATAATTCCCACCCATGAGGATGATCCTGAATGGGTTTAGTTGAAGTGTGTTGTGGCCTTGAACAAGAAATGCAGTCTCATTGACATAATATTCTGACATATGACTTCTTCGCCCACTATTCACATTCGCATGTATAATTATTTAAATGAACATGTGTTTTTTGAGTTTTAATATATCCTTTTCTGTGTACAATTTGTCTATTGACATTACATCCTGAAAGTATTCTATATGTGTAGAAAAAGTACATACTTATATGTGTGTATCCAAAAAGGCACAGCCCTCTTCTTGAAGAAGGTCAGAGATGCAAAGTTTATCTTAATTATAATCTTATATTAAAAGAAAGTTTTGCTTACACCCAAATAGAGCTATCAGTAAGTATTTACTGCTGTAACTTTGAACACATCTGAGAGCACCAGAGGGTTATAATATAGTGGCAGAGTGTCCCTTTTACTACTCAAATACCTTTGTTGCTTGTGTTTGGACATGAATCAAATGCAATGTAGTATCTCTTACCATCATTAGGAAAATGCCTCTTATTATGCTGGTTGTACTGTTCTCTATGGTGTGGAGGATGAGGAGGTCCAGATTGATGGCTGACAGGGGGATGGGGTTTGGTTGTAGGCTGGGCACCCGTTGAATCCCTGCTAGATCCAGACGGTTCAGGCCTAAAGGGCTTTTTCTTAATAGGATCGTCTTTTTTCTTATGCTCTTTCTATAGAAAAAATGAGAAACTGGTGAATAAGTACACAAGGAAAACAATGACAATAGCTTTGTTTCCATCCACATATTTTTATGCGCATTTTGCAATATTGCATTAAAATTGCACTGAATAAATGGAGCAAAAATGTATTGGAAAAAAAAAACTTATGCGCACAACTGGGTAAGAACAAACTTTTTATCAGACAGGAAAAAAATGAACTTTTACACTTTTACCTAATAAACTCCACTATGCACATAAAAACAAGTAGAGGTGTGAACCTACATTGGTCTCATGGTTCGGTTACGATTATCATGACATAGATTCAGGTCAATTAGATATCTTGGTGCATTGATAATGCTTTTCATATATAATTAGATTTTTTCTTCACAACAACAAAATTTTTATTAAAATCTATAAATATATTAATATTTATATATTATTTGTAATACACTTTTGTCCTTTAAAACAAGCAGTTACATACATGAACTGTATCTTTAATTTTACCTGCTCAAAGAAAACACTAAGAATGTTTTAAACAAAACTCAAATACAAAAGAAAACATAAGCATTTATAGCAAATAATACTAATGTAAATATTATCCCGCTTGCTTTTGAGTGCTGTCAAGCGAGTTCTTACACGTTTTTTTTTTTTTTTTTTTTTGCAATTTTGTATTAAGAGAGCAAGTGATAATAAAAATGGGTGTGACAGGATGGCATTAATCAGGCAAATGATCAGCCAAGGACAAAAATGAAGAAAGACGAGCCCTTTCTTCAATATATATTATTGTGCGTTTTTAAATAATAATAATTATTATTATTCTAAAAAAAAATAATAATAATAATATTCTTTATATAAATATTTGTTATTGGTCACAAAATTTAAGTAAAATTTTTGTTTTATCAGTTTAAATATTTAACAGTTTAATAGTCACTTAAGTAATATTTAGGTTTATACATTGTACCTCAATGTCGGAATAGATCCACACACCGTTGCTAGATAGCACCACTAACTCGGTTAGTTCTCGTTTCCACAGAATATAACTTTCCCTGTAATTTAGTCGACCCTTTATTCCAATATGATAAATAAACTACTAGTCATTCAACAACTCAAACTGTAAAAATATTAAGTCCAGTTGAAACGAGTAGCCTAATATACTTTAACATTCCACCAAAACAAAAACAAAAAAAGCATACATTGTAAAGAGTTGATCACTTTCACATTCTTTCGGTCCCTGGTTTTATTAGCCTGGCTTTAATTAATTATAAACTATATATTTTATAAATTTGTAGTATTATCTAAACTTGTGACACAACTTGGGTATTAAATTTGAGGTGCTAGGCTGTAGCACTGAATTAATGAAGACAAAGACAGATGACTTGCAGAAAATATTAACAAATGTGCGTCCTGCAGCTGTATTTATAATGTACATAGAGCGCACTTGGTCATGACATGCAAATACGAGCATGGAAAAAATGCACAGCTGCACACACGATTTCATAATCTTGCATATTTTCAGTGGATTCATAACATTATAGGACTACACAATATCATTATGTTACATACACAAAAGTCTAGGTCTACAATTACATCACTGAAAGACGTCAGGAGTGAAGCGGGTCGTCTGCTTTTGCCCCTCAAAAAAATATTTAAAAAGTTCAGATTTACGCAAATTACAGGAGTCGCCCCATTGGGCGAAAATACGTATTATACAGAAGAATCCCATCCCTGATTAATGAAAAAATGTCATCTGAAGATATTGTACAACATCTGAAATGTTGTTTTGGTCATTCTGAAATGCCTTAGCCAATGTAAATAAATTGGTTTAGTATTATTTATAGGTGGGCATAGATTAATTTTTTAAATCTTGGAATTAATCTTGATCAAAATGGCTCATTTGAATTCTGCCGAAGGCATTTAGAATATGTGTGCTACCCAAATAATAAGTCTTTGAGAATGGGTTTTTCAAGCCAGGTAGCGCATTAGACCAGGGGCTCATCTCTGGTTTCCAAAAGGCTTCACAAACTGCTTGAGAAACTATTCTACTATGATAATTGGTGATGAAAGTAAATGTTCAATAAGATGTACTTGTGTTTACTAATTATTTATTCAGTTAAACATGAGTTTTGAACTGTAGGCCTACATAAGCTCCATACAGCAATTTTTATCACCTTAATCCGAATAAAGTCGAAACTAAACTAAACAGAAATGGAATTAAGACATGTAGTGTATGCAGACATTAGTGGCATTATTGAAGTAAACACCGCAGTCTTTAGGACCTTCAGCCATATTTTTCAGCAAGATCCACACGCGTCTGTCAGTAAAGGACCGCGTGCGCGCACGCACACACGCACGCGCACACACACACACACGCACACACACACGCACACGCACACACACACACACACACACACACACACACACACACACACAATCGCGAAATGCACAAGTTTTTTTTCTTTTCATTTGGCGTACGTTATTAAATTTCATAACACTCTCACCAGTCCTTACTCCTTATTTGCATCTAATACCCCAAATTGTCACGAGTAATAAATGAAATGTTCGTGAGTTAAAGTGAAACTGCCGAACTGCAGTTAAAGTCAGACATCCTGCTGATTTGATTCAGAAGGGCAATCTTTTGTCAAACGGCTCAACGGTCAGGTATACATCCGCGCTAATATATAAAGGGGAAAGTCCTCATAGCCTGCGCAAAATAGACCCGACTTTGGGTATAGATTAACAGTAATTTTTTTCATCGCGTGATAAGAGTCTTGCATTAACGGCCCACCACTAGTATTATTATAACTTTATAACTTATGTCTCAAAAGCCACAGCTCATTCTTTGCGCATTGGCATTGTCCTCTGAAGTGCAAGTCATTTATTATATAAGAAAAAGACTCATGCAGTTTCTCCTACTGAAGCAAATTCTGTTCTTTTTGATATTTGCTGCCAGTTTTTATTGGAAAGTGCCAATTTTGTTCTCTTTGACTCATTGGATTAAAGCGCTGTTTTATTCGCAAATCTTTTAAGCAACATTACAGCTTGTGCATGAAATTTAATTTACATCTTTCCAAGGAAACATAGCTAATGAGAACTGTGGATTTAAGAAAAGCTTACCTCTCCCTCCTGGGAGCGCTTCTTCTGAGCCTTCTTATATAGCCTATGCAGCTTCTGCGCACCAAACTCAGTAAATTTGGACACAAATATCCAGAGGTTTCTGAAAAACAAAGGTGGGATTGAATGTAAAGCTCAGGTGTAATGCTAACTCCTGGATTTGACTGTGTAAATGTGCACCTGCGCCAGATCTTGATGTGCTCGGGGTCACTATATGACTTAAGGCACTCTGTAATGCGGTCTCCGATCTTCAGCAGACAGGTACGTGTGTGCTGCAGCTGGTCCTGCACCGACAGCCCCTCGTCTGGCTTATCCAACTGCTTAAGAGCTTTCTTCACTGGCCGCATCCGCTCCTTACACTGAAGACATAATAAATCACAGTTCAGTGTTTTTAAACCCCTAGAGAATACTGACATGATTTAAAAAAATAATAAATGAAAACATATTCACAACAGAAAACAAATGCAACCTCATACTTACACATAAACAAATTTAACACACAGCACCATGCTGAGTTTAAAAAATAAATATTTTTTATTGTTATAATATTCTTGTCTACGGAGACCCGGAAGGAACGTGATGGTGGGAAAAAAATAGGTGAAAGAAAAAAAATCGGGTGGAAAAAAAAAAGAGTGATAGGAAAATATATATTTTAAAGTTTTTGGGATTTTGCGCAAACCACAAACACTTCTTGTTCACTTCACATTTCAACCCTCCCGTTTTTGCCGGGATTCTCCCATATTTTCCCGTTCTATCCCACAATCATTCTATCATTAAGTATTTTCCTATATTTCTGATATGTTTTTAACCTTGAAAGCACACTGAAATTAATATAAAAAATGTCTGCAATTACCTTTTTTCCATTAAAGCTGTGTGTCGATCATCCACCTACGTATGCAACCTCTGAATCATCAAAGGCATGATTAAGCGCTGATTGACGGACATGCTCCGTATAATAAATTGATCCCAGATCAGCTTTTGTACACGCCATTTAAAGTGACACCGCTGTTATCAAACAAGTGAAGAGCAGCAAATGAATCTCTCGTTTTGTTTTGTTTGATAACAGAGATGTCACTGTAAGAATGCACAGATCTATAATGAAAGCATTCCATTACTTTAGTAACTGTTTGAGCTCATTAAAGAGAAAATTAAATGTGTTTAAAATAAAACTCGCAGGACGAACATATATATATATATATATATATATATATATATATATATATATATATATATATATATATATATATATATATATATATATATATATATATATATATATATACACACATATTATAAAGAGTATTATACTGTTTAAACACACACCCGAATCCCAAAGTGTCATGCACTTTAGCTCCTCTTTAAATGACGTGTATAAAAGCTGATCTGGGATTAGTTTATCATACAGAGCGCATCCGTCAGTCAGCGCTTACGCAACCTCTGAATCAGCGAATCCATGTATATGAAGGGCAATGATCGACGCACAGCTTGGATGGAAAGAAAGTGAATGCAGGCATTTTGATATTATTTCAGCGTCCTTTCAAGATTAAACATATATCAGAAAAATGGGAAAATACTTAATGATAGGATGACAGTAGGGTAGAATGGTAAAATAGCGGAGAATCCTGGCAAAAACGGGAGGGTTGACATGTGAAGTGTACAGGAAGTGTTTGTGGAAAAACTTTAACATATATATATTCCTATAACTCTTGTTTTTTTTCTCCCACCCAGTTTTTTTCCCCCGTCAACGCATCCCTTCCGTGTCTTTGTACATTTCAAAATGAATTTAAATGAAAAAATAAAATGATTATCTATATGAAAATGGCAAATGAGTGGTTGACTGCAGCCAACTAATGTTTTATTTATTCTTTCTAGAGGTTGCACCGACTATTCGACTAACCGACTATTTGACAGAATTTTAACTCACAATGCTAAATGTTTCCTGGTCCAGCTCATCATCTTCCTCTCCAATTGGTATAGGTTCACTTCCTTGAGTGATGTGCACAGGGCCCTGGGCTTTCTTCCCTTTTCCTGCTGGTTTGGCCTGAAAATGTGAGAAGTTCAACTTATAAGAGAGACAGTCATTTTATTTTATTTTGTATTTTTATTCTTTTATTTTGGTCCAAAATTAATTTAAAGAAGATAAAAAATATTAATAAAACTATTATATTTACAGTGCTCAGCATAACTGTGTACACCCCATCTTGAAAATGAATATTTTTTTATCCATTTCTAAGTGAAAATAGGCAATGTATTTTAGTCACCAAAGATATTAAGAAATTGAACGATTAAAATTAAATTAAGCAAAATATTGCAAAACAACCTACAAAATTTCAACAGATTATTTTTTAATTCTCTTGATTTTTCCTTTTTTTTTAATTTGTATTTAATATTTTTCTATAACATAAATTTGGGTGTACTAATTTGGATCATTTTCGCAAGTTATTTTGTTAGATTAGCTCCAGATTTGGCTTCAGTACTGAGTAATGTACATGCACAAATGTAATATTGTACAGCTTCCTATAAAAAATATGAATTTCAAAGATTTATGAGGGGTGTACTTCTATATGCTGAGCACTGTAAATTCTGAAAAGACATACTATTCTGAAAAACATAGTCATTTTATTTTGTTTTGTCCAACATGGATTTAATGAAAAAGAGATAAAATACTCAATAATTCTTAACAAAAGTATTATATTTATAATATTATATGCATAATCCACAAAATTTTATTTCTAAAAAATATAAATAATTAAATATGAGTTTAAGACATTTGTTGATCCAAATACAACCACTGTGCTTTGGACGACAGTGGAATAGTATTCTTAAATTCAAGTTTCAAAAAGAAATATTCTCATGAAGAAACCCAACACAGACGCCAACATAAAAAAAAATACCTTTTCTTTTTTGGGCTTGGAACGCTTTTTGTCTTTGTCCCCCTCCTTCTCTTTTTTAGGAGTCCCTGTTTTTTCTTTGTTCTCTTTGTTGTCCTTTTTCTGTTTCTTCTTTGTGGGTGTTTTTTCAGCTCCATCATCCTGGAAAATGAGAGAATTGTAAAAATGCAGTTTAACTATTAAGCATTGTTGATTCTATGTTTGTAGATCCCAGTTTATATAGGTAATAAGATGCATTTAAAGTAACATACCTTTACCTCTCCCTCTTCTGATGGGTTGTCGGATAGACGAGGAGAAGCGATTTCATTGACCAGTTCATTGCTAGGGGCCTTCTTCTTCATCCGAGGTTTTCTCTTTTTAATTTTGGGCTGGGAGGTTGGAAGATTTATAAATTGTCATAAAACATACTAAACTGATGTTTAATATATTCAGTTATTTCCATTTGCTGTGCCTTTGCTAACAGATGCTTTGTTTAATTTGTGTGTGTGCAAAACTAGTTCTGGTTTCCCTTTGTGGAATGACAATACAGGCTACTGCATTGCGCAGGTAATGAAAGATACATATTGGGCCTGTGTCAGAAAAAATGTATGTTGTCATTTCTGTAGACTGTCATTTATTTGATATGTTCACGCTTAGGATCTTGGCCAGGTTGAGACTATACACAGGCAATGTGTGGTGACAACACAGTCTGTTTTCATCAATGCTAATTCTTTGACTTCAGCTTGGTGTGTCTCAAAGTTTAAAACGCTCATGATCTCTCACCTCATCTCCTGCTTTAATGGCATCTTGGCTTTCCAGGTCTTTCTTCAGCATCTTCAGCAAGTAGTCTGTTCGCATCTGTAACTGCTTTCCTTGAGGTTTCTTTTCAGGGTCATCAAGAAGAATCTACAAAAAAGACATTTGAGGTCAAGTAACAAGCGACATGAATTTTGGAGCAAGCAATCATTTAATTAGATGTACCTTCTCTGAAAGTTTGAGGTCAGGATCAGTCTTGATCAAGTCCCAGTTGCCGTAGCCGTGCTCATATATTCCCAATAACAACTGTGTGTCATCGTGAATATCCCAGTCCACATCAAAGTGAGGAGTTTTCACCCGGCAGGTCAACTGAAATCTGGCAAACAAAGAAAGAAAACATTATTGAGCTAATCCTATGTCATTTTGTGCCTTATTTTTGAATAGGATCAGAATTGGAAAAATGGAAATGTGACAGGGACGAGAACTCAACATTTACAAATTAGAAGAATTACATTAGTCCAGTATGCCATGAATTAATTTAGATTTTAATTTAAATTTTGAAGTGTCTTTCTCTTTTCACAATTTTTTTTTACTATAATTGTTTACCATTCATTCAAACCATTCATATACACTACCTGACAAAAGTCTTTTCGGCTCTCCAAGGTTTAGAAACAACAAATAATAACTCTATTTCTAGTTGATTTTTGGTATCAGAAGTGGCATATATGAAAGGCAAATACCTCAAGATAAATACAATATGATAATGCCTTGATTTTTAATTCACTTAACAGAAATAATGTTTCAAGAGTTCACACTTAGCTGATGATTGATTATAAGCAAGTTTGGCATGCTGTCCCGGGAGAGAGCCCTGAGCTCGAAGGTTCTTGAGCCCTGGGCTCCCTCCCGTTTGGAGGAAGAGAGGGGAGCCTTGAGCTCAGGTGGATCTTGACAACTCCCCCTTAATAAGAGCTGATGACTAAAAATTGAATGCTATTAAAAGATATGCTGCATTATGAGATTACCTGTATTGCAAATTTAGATTTATCAATTTACTTGTTTTGCATGTTTTTGGAATGTGGGAGGAAAACGGAGGACCCGGGGAAAACCCACGCAAGCACGGGAAGAACATGCAAACTACACACAGAAACGACCACCAGCCTGTTAAAGGACTAGAACCGGTGACGTTCTTGCTGTGAGACGACTGGGCCATTGTGCTGCCCTATGGAGGGAAAGGTGAAAAGGTAGGGGTGGAAGGGGGGATTCTTTAAATCGAAGATGACTGTAGTGAAAAAACCCTGGCTCTTTATAGTGGGTTAGGAATGGCCTGATTGGTGGATCATGCATGCTAATGCAGAACCAGCCATGTTCAATAATAATCACGTGCTCCTCTCGAAATTAGTTTATGAATAAACTTCACAAAGTATACAATATAAAGTCATGGTGCAGTGGAAAAATAATTAATATTGTGTATGACTTCCATGCACTTGGACGATTGCATCCATACTTCTCTGCAATGACTCAAATAACGTAATAATAAAGTCATCTGGAATTGCAAAGTAAGTGTTCTTGCAGGACTCCCAGAATTCATCAAGATTCTTTGGATTCATCTTAAATGCCTTCTGCTTCATCTTACCTCATACATACTTAATAATTACTGGTGACTGGGCTGGCCAATCCTGGAGCACCTTGTCCTTCTTTACTTTCAGGAACTTTGATGTGGAGGCTGAAGTATGAGGAGCGCTATCCTGCTGAAGAATTTGCCCTCTCCAGTGATTTTTAATGTAATGGGCAGCATAAATGTCTTGATACCTCAGGCTGTTGAAGTTGCCATCCACTCTGCAGATCTCTCGCACGCCCCCATACTGAATGCAACCTCAAACCATGATTTTTCCTTTACCAAATTTGACTGATTTCTGTGAGAATCTTGGGTCCATGCAGGTTCCAATAGATCTTCAGCAGTATTTGTGATGATGCAGTTCAACAGATGATTCATCAGAAAAACATTCTGCTACTTTCCCAAATGATCAACTAGAAGTTAAGCTATTATTTATTGCTCTGACAACTGGGATCGACAATAAGACTTTTGTCAGGTAGTGTATATAAACATTAATAAAAGACAACAATTAATAAAGAGACATTAAAAGCAGGCCAATACGAATACTAATTAATTGTCACTATCCTTCAAACCACAATGTCCTTTTTTTCCCTTGTTGCTATATAATAATATAATAGCTATATAATAATATTTACTATATGTTTTTATAAATAAATATATAATATAATTATATAAAAATATGTATAAATATATTTTAGTATAATGACTTATTTTCCATATTTTAATAAGTATACATCACACTAAGAATATTGTATAATGTTTAATAAAGTATATCTTCTGCACAGAATGACAGACAATAGAATTTTTTTTAAATATTTTTAATAATTTTCATAGATGTTATTTAAAACATTACTTTTTAATATTATTTCTATGCATATAAAATATATTTTTGTTAAAAAGAAAAAAGTTACTGGACACAAAAATGGGACATCTCATCTGTGACCCAATACTGAGATATAAAAAGTTTCAAATATTTGTATCTAGTGCAGTTATCTAATTTTTTTTTTTTCTGGTCAGATTCTGTTTGTGACCCTAATTCAGAAGCTTATTGTGCATTGGAAATTCCCTAATCAATCATGAAATTTATATTTGTTTCCCCAAGTTCCTCAAAAAAACATTTTGACCCATTTAGATGGGCTTGATTAAATCTCCACCCACAAAGTGCTTGAATTGATTATACACTATTCAGTTTGTGTCTGTTGCAACTGAACTATTTAATAGATCACGGAAAAAAGCTTTAATTTGGACTCACTTGTTCCTTTCAGCAGGATTTGAAGGCACAGCTTTATGCAGGGGCTCAAACTCCTCTTCATGCTGGATAATTGATTTAGCATTGACCTGAACTCCAGAGATTTTTATGTTAATGCCTCGTCTTTTCCCTGGGCCTTTAGCTGCAATGAAGACATTAAACAAATGAAAGACAATACAAAAATGAGAAAAAACATTTTAATAATTCACTATGTTGAATCAGCACTGCTCTGACAACATTCACACACCTTCCACAGGGTTTTCCTTCAAGTGCTCTTCGTGCTCCTGTACTGCAGTCACGCAGCTGTTGTGCACCAGCTCCCCTAGTCGCTTCAGGTCTGCAATGGACTTCTCCACCAGCTCAGAGTCACGGGCAATCGCCTCCAATCTAAGAAAACACAAAAAACATGTTCAGTTCTTATCCTAACTGAGAGACATTACAGTGTCACCACATTAAAACTGCAGGAAAAGTCTATGAATGGGATCAGAAACAAAATGAATTAAGTAAGTAGTTTCTTAAGTAATCATTCAGTGTTTCAACCATTAAACAAATTCTTTTTTTTTTACCTTATAAAATGATTCAACTAATGTTACTTGAAGAGCACAAAACTGATACAGCAGAACCCACGAGCCCCTATTTCACTGCTGTGGAGATCAAATAAATGCTGTAAACTCCATCCCTGCTCTGCTTCTCTCTCTCTCTGTGTATGGGCTTTTGACCTGGTTGTTTGAGCTAACATTACCTCTCCTCTCTCAGCTGTTACATAGTGTTGCTCTGCAGCATGAGTTTTCTTCACTGCGTCTATTTGCTACCCATATTGACCCGCGCATTATAGACTGTAAATGCGGCTGTTTATCCATATCAGTCACTCATCGGTGAATAACCCCAGAGCCATGCTAACCCTTAGAGCCAATCGCAGCTCTTTCTGTCGAGTGAGGAAACACAATGACGAATCACAGGTGTTTAAGAACTTAATCGACACTGCTCAAAACGCAAGCGGGATAATATTTACATTTGTTTATTTGCTATAAATTCTCATGTTGTTCTGTGCATGTATTGGAGTTTTCTTTGAGCAGGTAAAATTCTTGTGCAGTGAAATAAAATGTGTATGCAAAGCATTGTCAATGCACAGTGAATGTCAAGAAATCAATATGAAAAATGTAAAACAATCTAAATGTACAGGTTTTATTTCTATATATCTATATACTTTATATATAATTTATTAAATTGAATTTAAAATACTGTAGTTACTTTCTTAATTTGTCATAACATCTGACAACTTTCTTTGGGAAAAAATGGTTTTAAATAAATAGAAGCATAGTGTAGCGTACATTGTGATTATGCTTGGTCTTTCTTTGGTGCTGTTAAAACCATGACATCAAACGTGTAGCTCTTTTATGAAATTATAGTAAATCATATTTTAAACCGCAAATCACAATTTTGATTAGATAAAACTCAATTAGATTTTTTCTCCTAACCAAATAAGACTTCGAAACTGAGAAAGGTTTTTTTTTTCTTTAGGGTTATACATCTATATTAACTATTAGTTATCAAAGAATTAACAGAAACTACAAGGCAATACAAAATCTGAAAACATGAAGATAAAAGCCAACTAAAAATATTAATAATTACTATGAGTATAAAAATAATATTGCAGTAGAATACAGTTAATTCACACACTATTATTTTTATTTTATGATTCTGATTTTTATTAATAAAACTAATTACTGGATAAAATATTTCCTTGAACATAATGTAAAAATCTGAATTGTCGTGATTAATTTTAAATGTCTTGGTTTATTTCTCACCTCTCAAGTGGAGCTCCAAATTTCTTGTATGCTTTTATAAACCTAAAATAAAGACAATTACGTAAATGCAATGTTCAGAGCAAAGCCTCACTTAAATGAGTAAATAAATGTTTAGTTTATTCACCTGCGGATCTCAGCATCAGTAAATCCCTCCACGTTGTTTTTGCGGGCTCTTGGCCTTCCTCGCCTCTTAGGCCGCTTGTCATCCTCGCTGTCATCGGTTTCACTGTCTGAACCTGAGGATCTGTGCTTTAGTTTGGATCCCACATCACTGTCGCTGTCATTGGCTTGTGCCTAAAAACATCACAATACAGTAGGCATCCCCGTTATTGATCTTTGTATGAATTAACAATCAATTAATTAACATATCAATAACTGTAATATGTCCAATTCAGAGGCACTATTTCACTGATAATGGCAATGACAATTAAAAAGCAAACATCCTCAACCTAAAGTAAAATGCCGTAAAGAACTACTTAAAGAATTAAATATTAATACATTGCAGATGATTGCTATGTAATAAAACTGCTGCATGTGTACATACATGAGCAAATAGTTTTGTTACTAGACGGATGTTATTATCTTGCTAAATGTGCATAGAAAAGTGTATACATTTAAGAAATACTCAATTTTTTTTAAAATGGCGTTTTTTTGTAAGTAAGCTTGAGTTAAACAGTTGAATTTGACCATTTTTAAACCATTCAGCTGATTTTCAGGTCTGGCCGAAGAACGTTTAGCTTAGCTTAGCATAAATCATTGAATTGGATTAGACCATTAGCATTTCAACCCAAAAATTTTAATTTTTCTGTTTAAAGATTGAAGATTACCAAGATAGATGGAGGCATCAAGCGAAATATTGGCATAATATTCTGCTGAAGCCATGGTAAGAGAGCAAAGATTATTATGCCAGATTGAGAGTATAGTTCCTAGCCATATCAGCCTTGAAAATAACAAATAGCAACATTTTAATTTCCCATATGTCTTAGTACACAATGTAACTACAGAAAAGGCAAGCTTAAAATCTGTAAATAATTGAAAATCTTTTTTGAATATTTTAAATGAAATGCTGATGATTTAATTCAATTCAATGATTTATGCTAAGCTAACGTAAATGTTCTCCAGCCAGACGCGGATATCGACTGAATGGATTCATAAATGATCATTTTCAACTGTTTAACTATAGGTTACTTGTAAATATAACCTCACGTGGATAAAAATGTCTACATCAGTGTTTCTCAACCACGTTTCTGGAGGACCACCAGCTCTGCACATTTTCAATGTTTCCTTAACCAAACACACGCGACTCAGATCGTCAGCTCATTAGGACAGACTGAAAGACCAGAAATATGTGTGACAGATGAAGGAGACATCCAAAACATGCAGTGCTGTTGGTCCTTCAGGAACATGGTTGAGAAGCACTGGTCTATATGAATATGTCCATGAGCTAACTGCACCAGTTGAGAGAATTGACGTCATTAGATTGTACATTAAAAGTTTTTACATAGCCAACATATTATCATGGCATTCATTTTCTACTGTTCTTGCCGACACATAAATTTACATACAGTTAAAATACAAAATTATTAAACTCCTGTTGAAATTTTTTTTCTTTTTTAAATATTTCCCAAATTATGTTTACCAGCGCAAGGAAATTTTCAGTGTCTAATAACTTTTTTTTTTTTCTCTGGAGAAAGCCTTATTTGTTTTATTTCGGCTATTAAAATAGTTTTTAATAAAAATAAATAAATAAATAAAAAAAAACATTTTAAGGTCAAAATTATTAGCCCCTTTAAGCTATAAATCGATAGTCTACAGAACAAACCATTGTTATACAATAACTTGCCTAATTACCCTAACCTGCCCAGTTAACCTAATTAACCTAGTTAAGCCTTTAAACGTCACTTTAAGCTGTATAGAAGAGTCTTAAAAAAATATCTAGTCAAATATTATTTACTGTCATGGCAAAGATAAAATAAATCTGTTATTAGAATAATAACTAATAATTCAGGGGCTTTAATAATTCTGACTTCAACTGTATTACTTATGATATAAAAAAAAAAAACAATGCATATCTAATTTCCAGTCTTCAATGGTAAAGCTAAAATACATATTTTAATTAAAACTTTTATTTAATATTAATTTAGAATATTTTGGATAAATAAATAAATACAATATTTTTTTATATTACACTTAAATTAAATATATTTAGTTAACTAAATGAAGAGTAGATTTAGTCAACTAAATATGACTAAAATATGATTAAATCTGAAATGAAATTTTAGTCAAAACACTAAGATTAAACGAAAATTGGCTGTCGAAATTAACACTGGTCTGCATTCATATATGACTTTTTACACAATGCTCTATGGTGCATCCTAGCATCTAGCATCTAGTCTCTTAATGCAAAGTCAGTTTTAGCAGTATTAAAATAGTGGTTTCTCTGAATTCTTTCTGTGGATGTTTCTGTTCTGTTTTGGATTAAATCATCTCTCGTGTAAAGCAAGAGTAATGAGCATGTGGCTGCAAACACACACGGTCTTATCGCCGGGGAGTCCAGTATGCAGTAAAACTTAATGACTCATTTCCAAAAGCTACAATGCCGCATACTTCAACATGTGCTGCCATCACTTGGGAATCCCGCGAGTGGCTATAAAATCTAATGAGTCATTACAGTCTGTGCAAGATATTACAGATCCAGCTCTCACGAGAGGATAAAAGCAGTGAAAAGCCACAGGGAGCACGTCACACGACCGTCAGGTCTATAATCTATCATGTTCATATAAATACGCACTGATATAATTAAGTGTAGTATATGGATTCCTTTGCAAACTGATTATCAAATGAAAAGTATTTTTGATAACTTTGTCATACAGACAAAAAAAGTTGTCCTGCAATGTATTAAAGTTGGTTGCCAGAAGGTAAATTATACTGCTTATTATAGTGCCTTTTGGCCAATTTCCACAGAAAAATGGTACACATACCCAATTGTTTACCATGTTCTACAGGTATGTCTATCCACTGCAAATGAAGGCAATTATCAGATCACATTATTTTTATTGTCGGTTATGAAAGTCACTATGTCAGATTATGGGATTTTTTCTTGATAAAATCTTGACATGGGTAACAAATGTGCCAGACTACACAATCCTTCACGATCAGTCATTCCGTGACGTCTACGTTAAGTGTTATTTCCCAAAGCAGTCACAAGTGTTGCTATAATGATATTTCTTATCTTAAATAAAAATGTTTTCATCTTATTTCAATTATCTTATTTCTCAATAAACATTGATGCTTGCTGACAATAACTTTATTATTTAAGGGCATTCGTTATGACACGTATAGGATCAAGCTTATAATTCCTAATACTAAATTTATGTTTTTTGCCAGGGTTGATTATTAAACACTCCATCACCTGAACTTGCTGCGAGTGAGACAGAGAAAATGAAAGCACATCAGCAGCAGCAAGGAAAAATCAGATGCTTAAGACATAAAATAATGACATATTAAACATTTTGCAAATATATAACTGAGGTTTGTGATACAACAATCACAGTGAAGCATTTATGAGCTCCTTATTTTCCTCAGAGAAAAACAAATCATCCACCCGTACAGTTGAGTAGTGGACGGGCACAAACAAAAATATAATTTGTATATTTTCCTTGAAAAAAAACATATCTTTTTTAAATGGAGTTCATTTGCTATAATTTTTATCTTAATTTTAATGTATATTTTGTTGGTCAGTTATCTATAAACAAGAATAACGAATAACATTTAAGGTGAAGTGCTTCAAAACGAATCTGCTATATGAACCAAAACATGAATTTCCTTGGGATTGTGTTGTTTTGTTAAATAAAATAATAATTTAGCCTAAATAAAATTAAAGTGAAATATTTCAGAGAAGCCTATATTAAACAGTTTTTAGTTTTTTTTCTAATGACAAATTTGAATAAGCAGGAAATGCTTTTACAATGTATTCGCAGCACTGAAGATGTTCCCAGTTTACCTCAGAAGAACAAACTCTGTTGGAAGGATGAGCGAACTCAGAAACTTGTTGTGAGAATGGAGATGTCTGCATGTTTGTGCAAGTATGTCAGATAAAATTGCTTTAAACACCTTGATATTTTAGAAAAGATAGTTAAAGTTTGCATAACCAACGATTAAACGGTTAACGGCAGCACCCACTGAGATAACCGAGAAGTTATGTGCTCCTATTGCACAGTGTCACCCACATGACAAAACTCGTTGTGTAGAACGTGTAATAAATTAAACATGCTAGATTTTCTTCAAGGGTGTCGTGAGGCCTCGCAGGCATGGAATCGGTTGTCGTGAACTATGCTGCATTATACAAAAAAAAATGATTGAATCTGGTGTCATGATGCCCAACTGTCATTTACAAATCCCTACGACACACTACATCAGGGAAATCATGCCCAAATCGTCATGATCTGACCGGGGCTTAAGAGTAATGTTATTACCTGCTAAAATCTAATTTGCTGCTGGAAGCATTTTTTAGCAAGTATCAAGTCATATTAGCAATTAGCAAGTATCAAAGTCATATTAGAAGATATGCATTCATGTCCATTAAAGATAATGCATATCTACTTTCGACTACATGGATCATACAATTCCAGAGTTATAGTGTTTTTTACAACTGTAGAATTTTACAATGCTTTCTGAGTATTCCCAGAATTTCCTGTTATGTGTGTGTCTCATATTTTGTTAGGTCTGGGCACTGTAATCAAAAAGGTCAACTAAACACATATCACATTAAGGTCAACCAGAATAGATGAATAGATACACATATATATATATATATATATATATATATATATATATATATATATATATATATATACACATATATATATATATATATATATATACACACCATGTTTCATGTTAAACAACATAGAAATAAAGAGTAGATTTAAAAAAACAAGGAAAAAAAACTGTTGCAGAAAATAAACTGACAGAAACAGATGTACCATTACTTTTGTGCTATATGTACTAAAATGTACTAAAAACACTATTAGGACAAATATATTTTACTAAAAAGTGAAAATTGGTTGTTTTTGCGTTATTTTGAGCAAATTCGTACTTTCGGTTTAAAACGAATTTTTGAAGCTGCGTCACGGCCATGAGATCTTAGCGTGTATTCCAGCGTGTAGACTGGACGTCTGTGCCAAAAGAAAAGAATACGAATTGTATGAAGATACGGGTCGCCAGTGTTGCTTTCATAATGTAAAGCTTTGTTTCTCATGGCAGAAGTGACTCATGGCAGAAATGTGTTTGGAACTTTTTTTACTCGAGAGCATTTCTCTTCTATGGTGAGATCCGGATTTGCTGCTCGTCTCCTTTAAAAAAAGACGCAGCTCCAGTATGTGTTGATTATCCTGTCTACAGATTCGGTAAGTGTATGCGATCAGCGCCCTTTCTTTGTTCATTCAGATGGCAAAGTTATGGTTGGTATGGTCAGCTGTACTCTTTTTAGTGTTTAAAGACAGATCTTAATCAAAATGATTTTTTAAGTTACTTAGTTTACAGTACGTTAATATCACTACAATATTAAAAAGATCCGCTGTAAATGCTGCTCTCTGTATGTACACACTTGAACACTGTAAGCAAACTTTTGCCAACCGTCGTGTTGAATATTTGCCGCATTTTGTGACAGGATAGTCTATACACACAGCTTTCTGACCTACTGAGTGCATCTGAGTTACAGACAAAATGCAGAGGCTTTTTTTTCTCCTATACGTCGTGCGGTATCAAACATTTCACCGTCATTAAACACACTGCCTTTCTCCCCTGCGTGTGTGTGTGTGTGTTTGTTTTTCATCTGTCCTCAGCGCGTGCCAAAATGGCAACTCCCATTTTTATTCAAACCCTGCCCATTTTCCCTCCCCCGACACTCCCACCCAAACAGAGCTAGACACACTTTCCTGACTTTTTCCAAACTAGAGGTGTGAAAACATCCTGCTGAAATGGGGGTTTCATGGCCCTTTAATATATTACATTATAACTTTGTCAAATATTGTTAACATTGTCTGTTAGATTTACTTATATATCACCCATATACTGCATTCCCAAACATTTGATCTGACTTAACTCTAACTACTCATGAAAATAAAGTCTATCTCTAACTCAAAGTCTAACTCAAATATTCTACAAGCACCTACTTACCTTCTTGTTGGAGCTTCTGCTTCTTGGCAGCATGTAGATATCCTCCATCTCCTTCTGCTTCTGCTCTTCCTCCACCTTCCGCCGCTGCTCTTCTGGAATTATTTCATCCCAGTCCCGGCCAGGTTTTTCATCAAGATCTGGTGTGCTTTCATCCATGGTGAAGTTAGCCACCTGCCAGAATACACACAGTTAATGCTTGTTCCAACTTTAAGGGGCAATATGTACTATAAAAATTACAAAGATTTAATGGAGTACCTTAAACTGAGACAGAAGCTCATCGGTAGCACTGGATCCCTGATCGCTCTCTCTGGTTTCAGCAAGCCGCAATATCTCATCGATGTCCATTTCCTGCGGTTCTGATTCCTCCCCCTCAGCTTCCTTAAACAGATCCTCTGCTCCAAACTTCAAGATCGCTGACAGTTCTTCCTTATTGAAGGGATTTGAACTACAAATGACAAAACACACAGATATTTAGTGAAAACAGAAAAAAAATTAGCAAAGAAATCAGATTTTTATTTCCATTTCATTTCAAGGTTCTTACTTTGAATTTGCTGAACTGTTATCCAGTACGGTTCGACCAGTGGTGTCCATTCTCTGAATGACAAGATGGTCTAGAACCATCTTCTTTTTAGCTCTTTCAATAATGTCCTCCTCCACAGTCCCTTTTGTGACCAGACGATAGATATTCACCTATGCAAAGAATCCACAAAATAAATAAATCTAGATACTGTGGCATTTTTGTTGATCCATTCACAATATTATATTGAAAGACTAAAAAAATCATGGATACACCCATATACCGTCCCCTCAAAGGAACAATTCAAGATAGTAGACAATTTCAGACCAAATTGTATATATTTAAGCTAAATTTGAGATTAAAATCGATTATAACATCTGTAAACAGGACCTTTAAAAGTTCATCAAACAGTTTGTGTGATTATACAATAATATTTAAGCTCTACGTACTTGCTTTTTCTGGCCAATCCTGTGGGCTCTGGCCTGAGCTTGAAGATCATTCTGTGGGTTCCAGTCAGAGTCAAAGATCACCACTGTGTCAGCAGAGGCCAAGTTAATCCCAAGCCCTCCGGCTCGGGTGGACAGCAGGAAACAGAAGTCCTGGTCAAGACACGAATGGACAATGAGAACAACAGCTAAACACATCAGTGTATCCATTAACTGACACATAAATCTCCTATCCCAGGGTAAATTACTTCACAGCCGGCGATTGATCATATTATAATTTTCACTTGATAAAAACTATGACACATAATTAAAAAAGATGCGTTATAATGAACCTACTCAGTATTTTACATAAAATAGTCATATTAATGAGTTACATTACAACATGATGTATAATGTTATGAATGAAAATGTTTATCATTTATATAATAAAATAAATGAATAAAAAAATAAAAAAGAGTAACTGAATAAAATTGATGTAATTGTTTGGGATTTTTGTCACCAAAAGTAATTGGCCGAAAATGTTTTGTCCAAAAGAGAAAATCGGTCAAACTATGCGCCAAAAAAAGAATGTGGACTAGTTTTACTCTTCCTCCAGACATTGTCACTGAGTAGAGTGGAACAGCATTCACACCAGACACGGAAAGCACTTCGCTAAACCCATTCATTTCTATTACTTGCTGTGTGCAAAAGAGATGCAGGAGATGCTGCAGAGCAGCTATTAGTTTTAAAATAGCTCATTCTGCTCTGTGGATATTCTGTTCATGTACTCCTGTACCTTTTTTTTTTTTTTTTTTTTTTTTACATCAACCACACATTGTTACCAGAAAAGCAAAGTTCAAACAAATAACATGCCGTCATGACATTCTTATATTTGTGTGTACTTGTTCCTGCTGCTTGCAGTAGCGCTACCGTGCTGTCATGGCAACACTGGTAAAATGACACCTGGTTAACTATTAATTAAATTTTACTACCAATAAAATGTGGTAATTGAATACACTTTTAAAAAGTCTTACACAATTACTTTATAATAATAATTAAATAAAAATATCATTACAAAGCATTTTCAATTTTGAAATGCATCTAGAACTTTTGGTTTCAGCTCAGAAGTTGATATTTGATAGTTGATGTTTCACTGAACATAATTTACATCTGCATCCTGTTAGGGATGTCAGATGGAAAAACTCTTTACTGACTTTATATAATTTGTTAAAAAATGCAGTGACACAAAATTCACATCTCTGTTCTGCTGTATATTTAATATTTAAATCTTAACATTATATAAATTTTAACATTGATTATTTTCAACACACATGTAGGCCTTTCAGTCCAAATCAAACTAAATCCTTTTGCTCATGAATTACATCCTCAAATCTCCAGATAATTAAATAAAGCCCGTTTTTATTTCCCATGGATCAAGAATTCCCAAAACCGGTACCAGTGCTGTCAACTGAGCTCTGACGCAAAGCGCTGCCTGAAACATCACAACCATAGCAAACATCTGCAGACAGCGAAACTCTGCCCAAACAAAACAAACATGCATGGCACAGTCTGGCTTCTTACCTCAGAGCCTTCTGCATTAAAGTGGTCCAATGCTTGTTTTCGGAGCTCACCCTTGATGGATCCGTCCAAACGCTGATCGTAAGAGAAAACACAGATACGGTTAAGCAATGTCAAGCATGACACTATGACCAAACTAGGGAAGCTCAGATTGATAGGCTCCTATTAAAATCCCGAAACATCCAAAGTTACCACAGAATTATGAGGACACTGAAGATATTTTGCCAGACCAAAACAACATTGAGACGCAAGCTGTGCTAATGCTCAAAGCCACACCGATCAAAAATAACGGTGGATAAAAATAGGCTCAGGGAACTTGCTGTCAGAGCAGACATACTGCGACCCTGACACATGATTCTCTACATCACCAGAGCCAAGTTTATGCACAACTACATCTGAACCTCTCCACAGACAAAACAGAGATTCAGATTTAGAAGATCAACAACTGTATGAGGACACTGCAGAAAGGCATTCATGTAACTTCTAAATATACACTCTGTAACATGCACACAGAGCAAAACAAATATCTTACTTTACAGAAAAATACTTCATACCTAACCTGACACTATTCATATGAGAAAAAACGCTTCTCTTTCACAATGGATTCGAATGTGTGCACACATTGCATGTTTCACCAGTTGCATTATTTAAGTAACCTTCAAATGTAAGTTACAGATTATTCAAGAGGATAAAGAAATCATATAAAAAATTACAATGATTTATGTATTCCAGAAAATATACAATACCATGGAAATTATGGAAATTGGAAATTTGTTTAGAAATAGCTTTGCACAGATAAGTGCTATTAAAATTTAGAATTATAAACCTTTTTCTTTCAGAACTACTTTGTTTCTGTCATTATCTTTTATTTCAAATAGTTTATTTATGAAATAAGTGGTGAAAGTAGATACTGATAAGCAACTTGTACCCAAGTTGTAGAGCTTTTTCTCATCATCATTATTCAGATCTGATCATAACATTATTTTGAAATATTGCCAAAATTTGGATGCGTCTTAAAGCATACAAAACAAAAATTACATTCAATACTTCCATATTTATTGTTGGGCTTTTTTAGTCTATTGTATGAAGAATGTATGAGCATAATATGCCACAGTTTACTTTAGTTTGCTATCCTAACACAGGGTTTCACATGAACACTTTCATGAACAGCAGATTCAATGACTTTTTAAAGGTTTAAGACACCCTGGAGTACTTTTTTGTAATTTGAATAGATTTGTGTGTTGAGCATCAGTTAGCACCTGTCAGCTTTAATTGTGGGAAAAACTGGAAAGCTTGGAGCTTTCGTCAGCTGATTTTATCTTCTAGGTTTAAAAAGATATTTAGAACGGGACCAAAATCAGTGACGTAGCGTGAATCTGTTAGTGGAGTGATGACGTGTTGGTTTCTCATTATTATTCATAGCTTTCTGAAGGCAAGGCAGATCCGCCAAGCTCTGAGACCCAATGATTGGGTGATACCATAACTGCGCACCGCAAGCAGTATTTAGCCGTTCATGAAGGGTTGTATGTGTTTGTTTCTATGATTCACAGGGTTTGTTGCATGTTTTTTTTCCCATTGTGCTGTCAGGGCCGATACAGCAAAGCTGTAGGTTTGCAACAAGCATATTTGTCGGGAGAGCTGTAAGAGAATGTCTTTTATCAGTTTTATCAGAGTTTGTTACCATTCAGACACATTGCCTATATCCGTGCTGCTGTGTTCGCATATTCTTAAAATTGGAACAGACAAGAAAAGACCTGTTACACTGCTCCATATGCATTTAAACCTGGTGATTAAAAAGTCCTCCTCATTTAGTATTTACATGATTATCTTTATAATGATATAACAAATTGTGGTTATGTATGTATAAAATTACGAATAACAAATATTCCAGGGCATCAAATTACTGTTTATTTTTTGCATTTTAACTTTGTAAACTATAAAATCATGAGTCTCCTCAGGTTTGTGTCTCATTTTGTGAGCAAACTGCCTCTGCTCGCAGCTCTCCACGCCCATCATGAAGCATTTTTTTTTTAAATTTGGAGGTAGACTTGAACCGAAAAAGGCGGTTTCATGGCCCTTTAAAGCACTATTCATTTTTAATCAAGCAACTTTGTAATTCATACCCCAGCATATGTAGGGCCATGTCCGTACTGTACTAAACATTTAACTTGCACTTAATATTTACACTAAAAAGTCAGAGTGATTTAAAACAAATTTGACTATTTAAAAAAAGAAAGAAAAGTTATTTTAAAAGAACTTTAATAAAATTTGTTATTTTTGAAAATTTTCAAAAAAATGTGCAATATTTGTCAGTAGCTATGTTTCCATCCAACTATTTTTATGCACATTTTAGATATGCGCATAAATTTTTTGGATGAAAACACCAAGGTACCGAGTAGGATAAACTTTTTATTCGATAGGATGCGCATGAATGCAATGGAAACACTTTTATTGAACAAATTCCAGTATGTGCATTAAAAAAGTCAGGTGTTTTTGTTAGAAAAGATCATGTGATGATCAAAATGTGTGAATAAACAAACCAGCAGGCTGGGCACACTGTAATGTTGTTTTGGTCATTCAACGCCTAACCATTTCAGTATAAGTGTTTTTATATAATCAATTACCTCCAGAACACTCACAAGCATCTGTGCTCTGCATCTCACGCCTTCAAACACCACCACACCATTATATGTCAGCATTTGTCTTCTGAGACCCAAGTAATTTATAAAGTAGAGAAGAGATTCACGCAGCCTCTCCTACCGCAGCAAATACCATCTTTACTATTGATATTTGGCACCAGTTAATCAGGGCGTGATGATTATGTTCTCTTTGACCCATCGGATGGAAACGCTGCTTAATTCGTATCTTTGGATGGAAACATAGCTAGTGTTACTGTACTAGATTTTAAATTAAAGATTTTTCGTTCTGTTTTTGGCCATTAAGTACAATTGTTGAATTAAACAATTTTAATTTCAAATTTAATTTAAGCACTTTTAAGGACCTGTATTTGTTTTTAAGTACTTTCCACTTTGAATCCATTTGTCTGAAACATCAGTACTTTTAGGTCCTTTCAAGAAGTGTGGAAAGCCTACTAAAATATTAAATCCAGTGTCCTGCACCCATTAGTAAAAATACATTTAAATGATATATTGTATCAGAGTAATTTTAATTTTGACTAAATAGCTTAAATTTCTGCAGTGTCACTCGCTGCATTCAGTTATCCCAGTGAGATTTAAGTGCACTATTTAGTAGCTAAATTTATTTCACTTACATTTATGCCAGTCAAAGGCTCACCGGAAAATCCATACGCTAACAGCTTACATAATGTTTTACTACTTCGGCAGTAGACAACCATGTCATTAATTTGAAGATCAACAAGAAAATTATTCAACACTTTGCAGTACTGCTGAGATCATACCTGGAATTGATATCGTTTCATAGACAAGTAATCAGCAAGAATGTCCAACATGCGGACCATCTGAGAGAAGATAAGCACACGGTTGCCTCTGTCCTTCAGTCGTGTGAGAAGCTTGTCTAGGAGAACCAGTTTCCCTCCACCACGCACCAAACTCTGAATCAAATAAATAAAACAAAAACATCAAGAAACACCCTGAAAATGACACGCAATGAACTAATTCAACAAATCTAGAACTGTCATACCTGTAGATGCTCTTGTGGAGCATCATTTTCTCCATCTTCTGGTTGTTTGATGAGGAAAGCGTGGTTACAACACTTCTTCAGCTCCATGACAATGTTCAGAAAGCCAGAAGAGCTGCCTCTAGTGCCTTTAGACAAGGCCTTGAAGTTTCTTGTTAGGATCCATCTGAAAAAATAAATTGTTACATTAAGACTACACTTTAAAAAAAGGTGAGATGGGCAGATGTTCTTTAAACACTAAAAAATGTAACTTTATGTAAAATGTAAAAGATGTAACTTTATGCAAAATTAGGCTAAAACAAAGTTTGTTTCAAATGCTTGAAAAAAACTTTGGAAAAGTACTTTTAAATTAAGTACTACTATTGGTCCATGATGATTATGGCAGGTGTCTCTCCGAGGAACCCTTCTATTCAAAATGAACTGAAGTTGTAATTTTCAGCAAAACATATGCTGTATTTTCATTTTAAATACTGTAAAGCTGTTTTAATTAAACATGTTACAGAATAAATTCACTACAACACAATACATTACTCTGTTCTTTAAATGTGATTCAAATGTTAAAAATATATATTAATTATTTTGCATAAATCAGTTCTTTCACCTTGTTTTTCACCATAGTTGTCTTACACCATAGTTCTTACAGTTCTTGTTTCTTACCAGTCTTTTTTTAACACTTTAAGAACTTTACAGGTGCATTTTCAAACATTTCAAGCACTTTAGAAGTGTGGCAAATTACATATTTACATATATATGCAGTACATACACATTATACCAAATGCTAACAGTTATAGTATTCTATAGTATTTTAGAGTATTTTATAAATATAATATATTTTAGTACTTTTTAGTATTGTATAGTAATTTTGATGGCTTGTTTGTCCCAAGGCCAAAATTGAATTGCTGTCAATTTAGTCTCTTAAATATAATTTTAAATTTAATCTTATATTTAAAATGTAATCTTACTTTTTTTTTTTAACTGTAGGTACATGTGCAGAATCCAGAGTATTCAACTTATGCAAAAGCAAAAAGATTTGTTTATTTTATATAGTTGTTATATCATAATAATAAAACTTATTATGAAAGCAACTCAATTACATTTTTATGCAGTTTCAAGCACCAAGATCTGAGCTCTTTTTAAACCTAGAAACACTAAACTTAAAATGCCAGTGTTTTCAAAAGGTGTCAAACCTTAATATACTAAATTACTTCAGTTTCAAACATAGTTTTTTTTTACTTTTACTGTACAATGCAAACAAGCTATTCCTTAGTAAAATCAATGCAGATATTTTTGATTCAAGATTTATTTACCCAATCATTGGCCTATACTTTCTTAACTGCTATTTTCTCACCATCATTTTATGTGTGATTTATTTGGTTATTGAAAGAAAAGAGTGCACGTTTCATCAGCATAAGCCGTACCATGGCACTAACAAACAGAAGATGTCTGATTATGCACTTCAAACTTCTTTTTTAAATTCTTAGTCGATGATTAAAAAAAAGTACATCAGGAATGTCGTGTATCAAAATTTGGCAAAGCGTAAAAATAATTACTCAATTTAGAGCTGCACTGAAGTTTCAAAGCACACATGCCTGGAAAGAGGCATGAAAAGGGCTAAAATGGTGCTTACTTGTAGAACTGTTTTTGCTGGGCTGACATGTCGACTCTGAGGATTTGCTCCACTTTAGCCGGCAGGGATTTCTCCACATCTTTCTTGACACGACGTAGCAGGAAAGGCTCTAGAACTTTGTGCAAACTCTGATAACCATTATCCCTGCCTTTACCATGCTCATCCTCAAAATCCTCCCAGGACTCAAACCTAAAGGGAGGCAAATTGCAAAGTATGGGTTTGACTTTTTTGTTGCAAGAACCCCCCAAAGTACGCTGACCTCATTCCTAGCAACTACATACATTTCTGTTTAAAGACCCATTTAAACCCTTCATTATGATGGTTCCCTTTAGATTTCTTCTGTGCACTCAATACCTGCTAATAATTTTTTGATTGTTTCCAAAAGACAATCAACTGTTTACTGTTTAAGTAAACAACAAAAAGACACTGGCTGTTTCTCAATTCCAAGAATGCAGAGAACGGACTCTTACCAGGTTACCTCGGAAGAATGAACTCAGGAGACTGTGAGAACACAGAACGCGTCCTGTAAGAAATGAGATGCTGCGTTCTTCCTGAAGGTCACATGACCTTCACGAATTTTACAAAGATTTATTGTTTTTCCTCTTTGTAATATATATAACATGCACAAAAGCCTTAAAAATATACTTTACACAATACAAAAAAAAACCCACAAATTTAAATATGAATTTAAGAAAATAAACCCCCTTTAATGTGTTTATGTATATATAAAGACTTTTATGTTAATGTTTGCTTTTACTATTTCATTTAGGGAAACTCCTGAGATAAATAAGTAATATCTCTGAACTTTAATAATTATATCTATAATAATCTATATAAAATTCTGTTTTTGATGATGACGTTACATGAGAACACGAAGACGCAAGATCGCTGAAGAACGCATATTAAAAAACTGTAATCTATTATTCTAAAGTTCTAATTGATGTTTAACTAACTATGAATAAATAAATAAAGTGAAATTAAGCTAAAAAAAAATCAGAAATTTCAGTTGTTTTTTGAAAAAGTCTCATATTCATAAAGGCTGCATTTATTTAATACAAAGCACAGTAAAAACTGCATTAATATGAAACAATAATATAAAGTAGCCAGCTTTCTTTTGTTTTTGTTACTTTTTTAACTGTTAATGTTAAATGATTACCCAAAATAAACATACACATTATTATTTGTACAGCACAATGTAAAATTACATAAGTAATGTAAATACTAAATAATTATTTAAAATAGGTATGCACTGATATCAGTTCAATACCACATATTTTTACTGGATCGGGTATCGGCCAGCTGGTACCGATTCAAATTCGATCTAGCGCATGAGCTATAATTGATGTGGTGTAATTCATAAGCCAACAAAAGCCATGAAGGTGGCCTACTATAAGGGCCTAGAAAGTTGTCATGTGGGCCTACAATATCCCAAATACTTTGAATCCATTCTAAAGTTTAATGTGAAGCACAAAGTGGTTAAATTATGTTCAGTTCAGTTCTTCCTGCCACAACTAAAAAAACTCTCCAAGACTATTTGTTCCTGTTAATATAAGTAATCAATGGTGAAATGCATTTAGTTTTGCACTAAATGGCTTCATTTTGGCTTCATTTTGACCTGCAACATTGCTGTTTCAAATTATGTTGCGCTGTGTCTGTTAGATCAGCAGATCGCATTCTCAACACTGGGGTAGAGACAGTTATTACCTGCTCTTCACAAACAAAGTAGGGCTGCCTGAAATTTTAAATTAGAAAAGGCTCAATAATACATTGGACAAATCCTCAACGCACTGATTTCTCCCCTTTGTGCTGCTAAGTTTTAAAAGTGTTCGCAGATACTGGAAGTTGTGTGCTGTTTAAGTGATGCATCAAGTGTTTCATTCACGCACCGCCTGCACAGACAAGATGTGCGCCGCTCTGTAACATTATTATGTAATATTGAAAGTTTCTGTTCTCTCATCTCTCCGAATGAGTTCATTCTTCCGAGGGGAATGCTATCAGTGCTACAAATAGTTTGTAAAGCCTGGCTCAATGTGGTCAAAGTAGTTGATTCAATTAATAAAAGTAAAACTGATTGGCGCAATATGGATTGTCATTAACAGAAAATTATTTAGCCTAATATAGGCTACTATGAAACTGTGAATATTTGACTGTAATTTTATTGATATTAATAATTTATTTAACAGTTTGTGTTTTGATTAGGGTTTCAAAGGAAACATAAGCTGGACCACAACAGATCAATATCATAACAAATGCTCAAATAATGTAGCCTAGCTAACAGCACACATCATGTTTAAGCTAGATTGTAGGTCGGTTACTTTTGCTAAAGAAGATATATTATGATATAGATATATTATTACCAGAACTATAAAAAACTGTATTATGCTTTAAAAAGCATTAAAAAAAAACAGCACAGTATAGGAATCGGATCCGTGTCGGTTGATACACACAATTTTGGTATCAGGATCAAACCCAAAAAAATGGTATCGGTGCATCCCTAATTTAGAATTAATACTTTGAGGCCATTTAGAAAATGGTCTTTCTCTTTATTTTCCACTCCTTATGAATCTATATTTGCATCTAAAGACGTAACCCTAACTATGAGTACCTACTTGTCAGACATCAGAAAGTGCAGAAGGGACCACAGCTCTTTGAGGGAGTTTTGCAGAGGAGTCCCGGTAATAAGCAGCCTGTGATTGGATCGAAAGTCGATCAGAGTTTTATACAGCAGCGAGTCGTCATTCTTAAGCCGGTGAGCTTCATCTACTCCAAGGAAAGCCCAGTTTATATTCCCCAGCACTCCCTGAACACACACAACAAGACTCAACTCAATAATGTCCGATTATTGAAAAATGACAACAAACGATTAAATCAAAGATGTGGTTCTCATACCTTGTCCTTCAGTAGAATTTCATATGTGGTCAAAAGTGCATTAAACTTGATCCTTTTTGTCTGTGGATTGATCCATTCATAGTCTCGGATCTGTAATGATAAGAAATTGTAATCCACCTTCCTACATACCATGGTGATTTAAGTGAATCATGAGAGCAACTTCCTTTAAAGTGACCTTATTACGCTTGTTCATTTTTTAAATGGTCAGTGTGCAGTACATGTTCGGGCATAATTACAAATCTCATAGTCAACTCCAAAGGGAAATATTTAGTTTTTAAAAAAAAAAATCATGTATGGAATGTCAAAGTCTCTATTCTATAGTATAACACAACTTTTGCAATACAGCATGGATGCCCACAGATCACACCAGTTGTCCGGGATCGCTAGTTTTATCATTATTTTATTTTTAGATTGTCTTACTGTCTTTCTACTTGTGACATCTCCCAGATACACCACCACATTCATGTCCGGGGCCCAAGTGTCAAACTCCCTCTGCCAGGACGTGAGGGTCGACAGGGGCACCACCACGATGAAGGGGCCGTAAAGTTGGTGCTGATGAAAAAGGTAGGAGAGGAAGGAGATCGTCTGAATGGTCTTTCCTAAACCCATTTCATCAGCCAAGATAACACTGTTACACCTGTACAACAAACCAGAGAGTTGATGAAGAGAGATCAGTTACTTCAATATTATTATGAGCAGACAAAACGTAGACTTAAGTCATCTTAGTCAAGAACATGAAAATACAACATTTTTCATTTTAAAAACTAACTACTGATCGCTTTTTTGCCATAAATGACAGTACATAATATTTTACTAGTTATTTTGCAGTCCACTAGTATTCTGCTTAAAGTGCAATTTAAAGATTAGGTTAATTAGGCATGTCATTGGACAACAGTAGTTTGTTCTTTAGCCAATAAAAAAAATAAATAAATACATTTTAGGGGGCTAATATCATTGTCAAAAGCTATTTTATTTTATTTTATTATATTTAATCCAGCCAAAATGAAAGAAATGAGACTTTCTCCATTGATGAAATATAATAAGACACACCTTGAAAAATGTTCTTGCTCTGTTAAACATCACTTTATTTGAAATATTTTTGAAAGAAGGCTAATATTTTTGTTTATAAACGTACACTACAATTTTTTGTATACAAATGTTGGGATAAGGTTGTCGTGATTGTTTTCTCTTTTTTAATAATGAACCTTATTTTAATTAAATAATAATAATAATAATAATAATAATTATTATTATTATTATTATTATTATTATTATTATTAATATTATTATTAGTATTATTATTATTGTTATTATAACATATAATTAGATTAAACAATTATATTTAATCATGCATCCAGATAGCATTGTATATTAGGACAGTTATTATTTTTATGTCAATATTGTTGATTATTTAATAATTTAATTATTAATAAGGCTTTAATTAAATGAAGTCCAAATGCAAAGAAAGTCTAGGGGGCTCGATTTCAACAATCTAGGCTCAAAGTCTAAAACGCATGGCGCAAAAGCATTAAAGGCGTGTTCAGATCCACTTTTGCTATTTTAAGGACAGAAAAACATGCTTTCTATTTCAGAGGTCACCAAAGCGGAATGGACCGTCAACTATTCCAGCATATGTTTTACGCAGCAGATGTCCTTCCAGCTGCAACTATTGGGAAACACCCAAACACACTCATTTAGACACACTCACACTCATAACACCTCTGGTGCGTTACATACCTGCACCAGGAGTGTGCCAGCCAGTTCACTCCATCTAGCTGGTAATCTCTGAGTTCAAGATTCTCATCTCCAATGTACGATGGCTGCTTCTTTAAGGGCACAAATCTTGGCCTCTGCTTCAACACCTTCCATTTAAACAGAAAAAGATAACAGGGCTTACATAACATACCAGAGCAGTGCTTCAACACCCTTTCCCAAAACATAACAGTGATAAGAAGAAATCAAAGCTCCATCTGCGCAGACTCACCTTACAGTCTTTGGAAGGGACAGTCTTGGAGCTGTTTCTGTTGTGGAAACTGTCAATGCAGGCCTGAAATTTCTTTTTGATTAAAGCGCTGTCCTCCCATGTGCACTCAGCGTACGGCAGACCCATCCATTTACACAGGTACTCGGGCTCACCAGAGCTGCTTTTATGAGCTGTTGAAACATATCAGCCGATGATTAAAGTAGTAAACATCCCTACCGAAAAAGTAGATCTGAAATCTACTTCTGAGATTTCAAAAAACAAGGAAACTTATGAAACTTACAAGGAGTGTCTGAAGTTGCTTGTGATTTGCCTGTTCTTGTTGCTGATTGAGACAAAAAAGAATAATTAACAACAGACCTTAATAAAACATTCAAAGGATACCTTCCAAAATATTAAAAATGAAATATTAAGTAAAAATGACAGGTTTATATTGTATTAAAATGTAATATTGACTCTATTTCACTCATTCAATTGATTCATTCAAAACTTCTGACTCTTTTCCAGTCTTTTTGAATGGATCACTAATATACTAATTATTTTTCTACTGACTTCAATCTCTCCTTTAAAAAGGAGTATATATATTACACTTGTGATTGTTTTTATACAAAGACATTCAAGAAAAAGGCGCTATATTTAATGCCTATTGCTTTAATAACATATGAAATTAGAAATTATAGGTTAATTCTTACTTCATTGCGTAGTAAATGTTTTTGGGTCCTAAAGATTTGGTTTTGTGTTATTAAAACAACAAATATGAAATAATATATAATAAATATTAGGGGTGTGAACCTACACTGGTCTCATGGTTCGGTTACGATTATTATGCCATCGATTCGGTTCAATTCGATATCTCAGAGTATTTGACAGTGCATTGACGATGCTTTCTATACAAAATTTGATTTTTTCTTCACAACACAAGATTTTTTTTTTATTAAAATCTATAAATATATTAATATTTATATACTATTTGTAATACAATTTTGCCCTTTAATCCAAGCAGTAAGATATATGAACTGCACCTCTGACCTAATCAAAGAAAACATTTTTTTTGTATGTATCAAACTAAACTCCGCTTGCTTTGAGCAGTCAAAGGAGGTCTAACAACCCTATGATTGGTTATTGTCTTCACTCGCTCAACATAAAGGGCCGCGATTGGCTTTTGAAATAAAATCGATGTTCACGAATGAGTGACACGGGAAGAACAGCCGCGGTTACATTTTTTTATGTGCATAATACGCGGTTATCACAGGTAATCCATAATAGACACATTGGAGAAAACATCTTAGGCACACTCGTGTCTGGATACACAAGTATCGATTTAACAGCCAAGAGGAAAAGAAAAGACTGCCTTCTACAGTGTCAATAAAAGACTTTGCAGCAAACTCACAAGCAGTTGAACTGTGCATAATTATTTACCTTTTAAAGTAGTAGGAGCATTTTATTTACTCGCCCTCGCCTCCTTCGACATAGTATTCTACTGCGACATCCCGCATAGAAGATAAATGACGCCAGTACGTAATAACCGGTTAGGAATATTACTGAACCAATATCGAATTGTCCCCGTCTGCATCACGGTGCACCAAAAAACAATTAATTTTGACACCCTAATAAATATATTATGTCATAAGTCTGAATATGAATTTATATTTCATTTATATACATAAAAGCCTTGGTGAACTTTTCTCCATAGTCCACCCAAAAATGTAACTTTGCTCTATTTCCTCACCCTTCAGTGGTTCTAAACTTTTATAAGAGTTGAATTCTTGTGTTAAAAAGATGCGGAAACTTCTAACTACGTATTTCCATAGTAGGACAAATACTGTGAAAGTCAATGATTACAGATATCTAACTTTATTCAAAATCTCTTATTTTGATTTCAACGCAAGAAAGAAAGCAAATCAGGTTTGGAACTAGTAAGGTTGAGTAAATGATGACAGAATTTTCAGTTTAAGGTGACCTATCCTTTTAATGTTGGGTTCACACCAAATGCAAAAAAACATGAGCATTGCGCCATTTGCTCTAGATTACTCATGGAATGTTTTTCACATTATGCAAACATTTAACCTGAGTTTAATTTTTATAACTAGCATAAAATATTCAATTGAGGGAAATTCTGCATGTTTGTGACAAACGGATCACGTGTTCCACATCATTCTTGCTATCCAATGGGCATTCGTCTCTTTTCACATGTTTGCGTATTTATAATCTACTCTTGCAAATACGTGAATTCACATTTGGCGTGAACATCGTTAAGGGACTTCTTTTTGAAAAACACAGCTTTCAGAAGTGTAGTTTTTTTTAAGAATAAGAGTTAAGATAAGACTTACCAATCACCCTCTCTATTATCTGGAACTGCTTGCTCAGGTCGTTTGTGAGCTCTTGCTGACAGTTGTAATATTCTAAATCCTCAGGGGATGCTTTTTTCAACCTTTGAAAAAAATGTTAAATTAATTTATGCATGCTTGAAGTCAGTGTTTAGACGTTAAAAATGAGGATTGCATAAAAAATATACTGTTCACACTTTACAGTAAGGTTTTATTAGTTCATATGCCTAACAAACAATGAACAATATTTGTTCCATATTGTATAATCGGTCAACAGTAGGTCATTCCCTAATGCATTATTAACATCTAAATTTATGCTTGTTAACATTAGTTAATGCACCGTGAGCTAACATGAACGAACAGTGAACAACTTTATTTTCATTCATTAACATTAAACATGAATGAAAATCATAATTAATGTATTGTTCATTGTCAAGTTCGTTACTAAATTAACAGGCATTAACTAATAGAACCTTATTGTAAAGTATTACCAAAATAATACTTCAACATAAATCTTGCATCAATTCAACAAAACTACATTGATTCAGGGTTATGGTTAATACTGTTGAAATCATAATTGAATAGAAACAATATATATATATATATATATATATATATATATATATATATATATTGATAATTATATAAATATATAATTTAATCCACAAAAAAAGCCAAAATACCAGGTCCAAGTAAAAATGGCATTCTTGATTGAATGATGATAGAAAATGCCAAATTCTAAAAGTATGTCTTGTGTACACTAACCAGGCATTAAGCTCTTCATTTTTCTTCTTGAAGTTTTCCAGCTTCTTCATGCCTTTGACTTTCTGCTGAGTGAGGGAATCCACACTCTCCCAGGTGTTGTGGATGTAGGACCAGCCTTTCCACTTGATGAGGAACTGAGTTTCTCCTTCCTCTTTCTCCGGGTCAAAGTCTGCTCCAGGGTCCCCGTTTTCCTCAATGGCATAGAGAGTTGTGGAAGCTCCAGTAGCTGTTATATCAAAGATTAGAAAAAAAAGGAATGGCTTTAATAAGAACAGTAGCAGGAGTTTATTACTGAATATTAACATGAATAGAACATCCTAAGGGTTTTACCTCCTTTCTTGCCAGTCCTAGTGTCAACAACCTTCTCAATGGTCTCACTGTCATCATCTTGCTGCTCCTCTGCCCCTTCTGCCATTTCAATAAGGTCATCAGAGTCCGTCTCAAAATCATTCTGGTCCTCTTTGTAACTATAACACATACAGTATTGTTGCTATATTTTATAACTCAATCACAAATAAGAACGTTCATGATAAACAAAAATAAATATCCAGACATAAAAAGGATAAATATTTATATTAGGTCACTTTATTAGGTACACCTGTCCAATCAGCCAATCACATGGCAGCAACTCAATGCATTTAGGCATGTAGACATGGGCAAGATTATCTGCTGCAGTTCAAACAGAACATTAGAATAGGGAAGACAGGGGATATACAGGACTTTGAATGTGGCATGGTTGTTGGCGCCAGACGGGCTGGTCTGAGCATTTCAGAAATTGCGGATCGACTGGTATTTTCACGCACAACCATCTCTAGGGTTTACAGAGAATGGTCCAAAAAAGAAAAAATATCCATCGAGCAGCAGTTCTGTGGGCGCAAATGCCTTGTTAATGCCTTGTTAATGCCAGGTAAGAGGAGAATGACCAGACTTGTTTGAGCTGATAGAAAAGCAACAGTAACTCAAATAACCACTCGTTACAACCAAGGTATGCAGAAAAGCCTCTCTGAACACATCGAACCTTGAGGCACATGGGCTACAGCAGCAGAAGACCACACCGGGTGCCAGTCCTGTCAGCTAAGAACAGTAAACTGAGACTACAATTCACACAGGCTCACCAAAATTGAACAATATAAGATTGAAAAAAATGGTGGTGTAATGGTGTGGTGATATTTTCTTGGCACACTTTAGGCCCATTAGTACCGACTGAACATCGTGTCAACACCACAACCTACCCAAGTATTGTGGCCGACCATGTCCATCTCTTTATGACCACAGTCTTCTGATGGCTACTTCCAGCAGAATAACGCACCATGTCATAAAGCACAAATCATCACAAACTGGTTTCTTGAACATGTCAATGAGTTCACTGTACTAAAATGGCCTCCACAGTGTCAACAGATCTCAATCCAATACAGCACCTTTGGGATGTGGTGGAACAGGAGATTTGCATCATGGATGTGCAGCTGACAAATCTGCAGCAACTGCGTGACGCATGCTATCATGTCAATATGGGCCAAAATCTCTGAGGAAAATATTTCCAGTACCTTGTTGAATCTTTGCCATGAAGGATTAAAGCAGTGGTCTAACCCGGTACTAGAAAGGTATACCCAAAAAAGTGGCAAGTAAGTGTATAAAGAAAATATCTGGATATATGCTTTCATTTGTTATATATATATATATATATATATATATATATATATATATATATATATATATATATATATATATGAGCAATCCCAGCGTTATGGATGTGACATTTGTAGTAAAAACTCAAAACATAAATTCGCATAGAAAGCATATATTAACAATACATTGAAACTTTTGCTTATATTTTCCAAAAACTGACCGCAGAGTTAAGGGACCAGAAAAATATCAATCTGCAAACATTTTTTATATTTTAAATGAGGAAAATAAACATGCGTTATGGATGTGACAAAAAAAGTCTGCAAGATTACAGTATACAGCATACTTTGTAGAATTTCTGTGAATTAAACTGCACAACCCAAAAGAAACAATGCTAATCAAAAGGATAAGAGTTGTCTCTCTATAGAACAAAAAATATTGGTTTTATTTTATTTAATATTTTTAAATTTATGAGGAAAAAGTGTCGTTATGGATGTGACATTTTTCCATTATGGATGTGACAGCTGTGAAATTGCCACTTGTGTTATTTTGGCAAATTAAAAAGAATAGTTTAAAACATTGACAGAGACATTTATGAGTATTTTTAAAATACTTGCTTACAGAAACAGTTTCTCCAAAAATGCCATGTGGTGTAAAACTTAAACATGTGAAGCCTTATAGTCAGAGAACAGTTTATTGAAGTGTTTTTAGTATTGAATATTGTGCTTATCAAATATCAGTGTGTAAAGTTTATACTGTATACTATGGAGATTACGAAACATAATTATCATAATTGTGGGAGCAAAAGAAACATCTCAGGCAACCTATGAGGCCTAAATTAAAAAAAAATGCAATAAATGCATAGTCTGAGACACCATATGTGATACTCAAATTTAAAAATTAATTTAACAAAAATATTTTGTTCACTAATGAAATATGGAAAAAATTTTGCTTGCAATTTTTTAAGACACGAGGATCCTGAGACAAATGTCATCTCATGGAATATTAAATATTGACTAGGTTAAAATCTAGTAAAAATAAAAAACCCTCAAAAGATATATATATACCGTAGTAAGGGATTCAGTAGTTTGCACAATCTACACACAAATCTTTATAAAAACAATCCACACCTGACTTTAGTAGCAGCCCGCCGCCGTGTTTGTCTTTTTGGAGTGTCCTCCTCGTCATCATCATCATCGTCATCATCTTCATCTGAGGACTCCTGCTTTCTCTGTTTTCGTCCCTTTTGTGACTGTTTACTAGCAGATGATTTGGTCTGTGGTCTAAGATAAACACAAACAAATATATACACACACTCTTTCAATCTGCTAGCCTTGCCGCTCTTTGCTCCATGTCCCGGATACGTTTACTAGTGTAGCGATTGATTTTGCCGCCTATCAGCCTTACTCATGAGCCAATAGCCTTGAGACAGCTGTCAGACATTTAAAGCCAATCTAATAGTCCATGTATTAAACGCATTAATCAATGTTTGACTTAAAATATACACAGTTGAAGTCAGAATTATTAGCCTTTCTGTATATTTATTTCCCCAATTTGTGTTAAACAGAAAGAAGATTTTTTTCAACATATTTCTAAACACAATAGTTTTAATAATTTCCAATAACTGATTTATTTTATTTTGTCATGATGAAAGTAGGGGTGACACAGTGGTGCAGTAGATAGTGCTGTCACCTCACAGCAAGGTCGCTGGTTCGAGCCTCAGCTCGGTTGGCGTTTCTGTGTGGAGTTTGCATGTTCTCCCTGCGTTTGCGTGGGTTTCCTCCGGTTGCTCCGGTTTCCCCCACAGTCCAAGACATGCGGTACAGGTGAAGTGGGTAGGCTGAATTATCCGTAGTGTATTAGTGTGTGTGGGTGTGAATGAGTGTGTGTGAATGTTTCCCAGAGATGGGTTGCGGCTGGAAGAGCATCCGCTGCGTAAAAACATGCTGGATAAGTTGGTGGTTCATTCTGCAGTGACGACCCCGGATTAATAAAGGGACTAAGCCGAAAAGAAAAGGAATGAATGAATGAATGAATGATGACAGTACATAATAATTTACCATAGATATTTACATTAGATGTCGCCTATAGCTATTGTTGGAAGGAATAAGTCAATAGAGCAGCCATTTTAGTACAAGGTAGCGCTCCTTTGAAATTAACGTGGGACCAAGGCACATATACCTATGAGTTTTCCCGGTGGTCAAATTATGATTTTACATCACTTTTCTACCTTGATGGATAAGTGATCGTATGGGCATTGTCGACAAAGAGCGTGTGTTTATGTGCACTAAAAATGTATTATCCTCCCTCCCTGTTAAATTTGATTTAATCCATGCCCTAAAGCACACCCTGAAGCTTCCACTTCTCATTTTAACAGAGGGAGCATTTCGTTTGTGAATGAATCCCACTTATGAACAACTTGTTCACTTAGCCGACAATAGTAAAAGTTTCAAGCACCGCAGCGTCTTGTTGTCATATTTAATTTACATTGTTTGCTCATTTTATTCAACAAAACTAGCATAAGCCAAGTATTAAATGTGACTTGGTGCTACTTCGCCTTATCGTTAGTGCAGTAAGTGACTCCATTATCATCAATAACGTTACCTGTTTAACACGAAAGTTCGTAACATAAAAAGCATCAAAAAATGAAATCTTACCTACAGTATGAACTGTTCTGCCTTTGTGCTTTGTTTTCTTTGTTTGCTCGTTATTACACCCGCACACAGCGCTAAAGTCCAGCATCTTCACATTGACTTTAGTCTTGACTAAGTGTGGCTGAATGACTTTTGTCCTGGGAGCACTGTACAAATATGGCAGCGCTACTGACGTACGCTCAGGGTCTTTATGCGATATCTAGTGTATACATCTACAATAGTTTACTAGATATTCTTCAAAATACTAGTATTCAGCTTAAAGTGACAGTAAAAAGCTTAACTAGGTTAGTGTAATCAGGCATTTGGGTAATTAGGCAAGTGATTGTATAAGTATTGTTTGACCTGTAGATAATCGAAAAATATATATAAAGGGGCTATAATTTTCTCCTTAATATAGCTTTTGAAAAAAAATTAAAAACTGCTTTTATTGTAGCTGAAATAAAAAAAAAATACAATTTCTCTAGAAGAGAAAATATTTGAGGAATACTGTGAAATTTTCCTTGCTCTGTTAAATATTATTTGGAAAATATTTGAAAGATTCACAGGAGGGCTTATAATTTTGACTCCAACCAAAAATCATTATGCCAGAAACAGAATATATGCCTTATCAATTTAGAATCCATGCGATAATTTATGAGAGAGCCAAAAAATAATAAATATTACCACCATTTATTTAGCCAAGCATTTTAATTAAAAAGAGCCCATGATTTGCTCATCATTTTGCGTTTATTAAGACAGCCTCCTATTTTTCAAGATGTGCTGTCTGAAGGCCAGGCATCGCTACACTCTTACCTTCTAGCAGGAAGTCGTCTGGATCTAACTTTTTTCTCTTCCTGCTCACTCTCTGAACTGCTGGTCTCTTCCTCAACATCCTCTTCGTCATTTGAGTCATCATCTTTCCAGGTATTTCTTTCAACACAGAAATACCACAGGTTCATCTACTGGACGTCTAATAGCTTTAACTGCTGACCAAACGTGAAGCTGAAAGTCTGTCCGTTTCATTTTTTGCTCCGCACACATTTATACTAGCATTTAAAAAGGTTTGGGTTTTACCAAGACTGTTTTTTTTTTAATTAGAAATACAGTAAGTGTAATACTGTGAATTTATTTTACAAAGTAACTCTGATGGTTAATTTTTTTTTTTTTACAATTCTTTTAGTGTCATATGATCCTTCAGAAATCTAATATTGGTGTCTATCCTAATAATAATTATTAATGATAATTACTATTAAAATTATTTAGAATAATTATTAATTATTGCATTTATTTACAAAATTGTTACATTCTAAATACCCTCACTGTCACTTTTGATCAATTTAATGCACCGCTGTTAAACAGAAGTTTACATTTTACAAAAAAAAAAAACATACAGATCTTAAACTATTGATGGAAAGTTTACTCAAAACTGATGTACTACATTTTAAAAATATATGTTTCATCACCATACAGTGTAACAGATATAATTGTTATAACCTGTACATATTAAAATGATAAAACAAAATGTAAATAAAGGAAAGTGATTTTCGAAACGACTAAATACTTTTTTATGAGAAATGCATTAATATAGTTGTTTGACGCAAAATATAAAAATTTCAAAATGACAAATGGACCTTTTGCACACATCCAAGTTTGTCAGAAGCAGAAGTCATAATAGTTGGCTAAACTTAGGAACAGTGTTTCCAGATATAGCAGACTTTTTCCAGCCCAAAAGCTGTCCAAAACCAGCCCAAACGCACAAAAAAAACCCCACAAAAATATTAGATAACTATATATATTTTTTTTATTTAAATCGAAATTAACCTAGTTACTTTAACCCTCATAACTGTTAACCATGCAACCAACACCAACAGTCACAGAACCACAACAGCCCTCCTCTAACCCACACACTGCACCACCTATTAGAGTGTTTTACTTTCAAAATAGGGTATAAATTCATCCCATTTGGCGTTTTTAAATCTTTTGAACATTAAAAGCTGCTGCTTGTCAATCAGACAATGCTTCTGTTTGTTCTTGCTGACATAAAAGTGTGATAATAAACCGCTGTGAGTTTAACTATGGGTGCTGCGCGATGCGTGTGCAAATGTGTCACTGCGCTCTAAGTTTATCCAACTGAATTTTCAGAAATTTTGAAAACGAACCCAGAAGGGTCTATTGGAAAGTACAACATTTTTGGCATCCCCATTGCTCAAATAGCAAAATGAGAATAGTCATGTGTTTTTATGACACTCAAAAATGGGAATAAAAAGAAGAGTCTGATAAAGGTGCTATAATACAAAGCATAGATCACAGGTGTCTAAACTCAATCCTGGAGAGTCGGTGCCCTGCACAGTTGGACATTTCTAGTACACCTGGAAAGAGGTTGATTAGCTGGTTTAGGTGTGTTTAATTTGGGTTGGAGCTAAAACATGCAGGTACAAGTTTGGACACTCTTGGTATAGATGTATACATGTACAATTACGTTTACTAATCATACAAATAGAAAACTAATAAAATGTATCGCCACATTCTTGTTAAAAACATCCATAAACGAGTATTTGAGCTGCACTGTCATCCTTTAATAGACCCTTTTAATGTCACATATCACATTTTCCTTGTTATAAATATGCCTAACAAGATATTTTGGTATATAGTCTAAACTACTGTTACACTGAATGGCATTTACTGGATGTTTTCCGTATTTAATGTTCAAAATAACAATGATAAAAACAGCAAAGACATTTGACACATGCAAAAACATAAATGATGAATACAAATGTATGTTTTATAAATACTGACATTCATGAAGACTAAAAGGAAATCATAAGCACAACAAATCTATACATACACATGGAAAAAGTTGGACGAGAGACCTGTTTGTAGACTTCCATTACACTTACTCTTTCTTTTTCTGCCGAGAGCTTTTTCGTTTGGAACTTTCTCCCTCTGAATCACTGCTGCCCTAAAAATTAAAACCCATGAAAATCCATTTAGAATACAAGGAACAAGCTAGATCAAACAGCATGAGAGCATAATGTTTTAGATTACTCAAGAAAACAAAGCTTTCAGCACACAGGGTTATGTTTACACAAGTCAAGACTGCAAAGCCTGATCACTTCCGAATCCAAACATAGAGTGTTTATGCTCCACTAATTAACCATGACTGTAATAATTCCTTCAGAAGCAGAACCCGCTGATCGTCAACTCTTCCGACGAGTGTGAAATGAGGATGTGAAAGACTGAAAGCAACCACTAGAGGTCAGGGTTGAATTATTATTTACCTCAGCTCCAATATTAAGGCGTGCAGGCTCTTGTCTACTGCGACTGGATCTTCTCACACCATAAACATCAGGATGTTCTTCCCACATCTACGGTAAGCAGGGAGAAATTCTTTTTAAAAGCTTGCAACCAATTAACTGTCACCTGTCAGACATTTGCACTTACATATTTTAAACCATAATATTATGACAATAATAGCAAGCAAGCTATCTATTTTGATACTATCAAATAATTTATTGCAATCACATCCAAAATAAAAGTTTGCATTTTAATAATATGTGTGCTTAATATATTATGCAGATATACAGTGCTCAGCATATATAAGTACATCCCTCACAAATGTATCTTTTAAATTCATATTTTTAATAGGAAGCTACACTCTCAGAAATAAAGGTAAAAAAGGAAAGGAAAAGGAAAGGTAAAGGAAAGCTGTCACTGGGGTGGTACCTTTTCAAAAGATACAAATCTGTACCTAAAAAGTTCATATTAATACCTCAAGAGTGCATATTGGTACCTAAAAAGAACAAAAGTGTCCCTCATAAAATGTTTAGGTATTAATATATGTTTGAGGTACCAATATGGACCCTTTAAGTACAAATTTGTACCTTTTGAAAAGGTAACACCCCGGCGACAACATGCGTACCTTCATTTCTGTGTGTATACATTATTATATTTGTTCATATACAAAAGATTAGTCAGTACTGAAGCCAAATCTGGAGTTTATTTAACAAAATAACTTACAATAACGGTCAAAAAACTAGTACACCCAAATTTATGTTCTAGAAGAATATTTAAATAGTAAAAAAAAAAAAAGGAAATATCAAGGGAAGCAAAAAAATTGAAAAAATGTAGTTTTGTAGGTTGAAATTGTTTTATGCAATATTTTGATTAATTTTCACTGTATAATCTTTCAATTTATTAATATGTTTGGTGACTAAAATATTATTTTAATAAATATATATTTTTAATAAATTGTTTTGTGTAAATGCACCAAAATACATTATACCTATACATTACTTTATATCATACCTATATTCACTGAGAAATGGAGAAAAATATTCATTTTCAAAATGGCTGTACTCAATTATGCTGAACACTGTATATAGACACCAAATAATATTTTCATATCTATATGTTTTTTACTATTATTTGTATCTCATACACATTTAATTTTGGATTATTAATTTGTAAATGTATTTATTTGCTAAATAACTACAAAAGTATAACAAACGCAGGCTATTACTCTGCAGCAGCAATCTACATGCAAAAAAATAAATGAGTAAAAAAAAAATCTGCAGAAACAGCCAGGGGTGCGTTTCTGAAAACCATCGTTAGCCACAAAGTCACAAGTTGGGTCGTAACAAACATAGTTCGTTGATTTGACATTTCCCAAATCCATTGTTCAAATGAAGATTTGCAAACTGCATCGCAAACTTGTATGCTCTAGAGCTGTAATTAGCTGTGTTCTATTTCCTGTTATCCCCGCTATTCCCTATTCATTTACAACATTCTAATATTTAAACTCGGAATTATGTTTACATAATCATGTTTCATTGTTTACAATTGTGCTCCCGTCGCAGTGCACCTTGAAAACATTGATGTCATTTTGAACACAGCCAGGGCTCCTGGCAAAAGCTACAGGTGACCTATTATTTAAAAGCGGAATTTATGTTATGTCTCCAAAGCTTGTGAAAACAAAAAACAAAGCATACATTAATGCTTTTAATTCATAGTAGGTTATTTATTAAGTATCTGTACTGTATATGACATGGGCCTGTTGGAAAGAACATTTCTTCAGTGGTTTGCATGTCAAACTGTAAAAGTAAACTTTTCAAAAAATAAACAATATCCCACATAATAATAATATTAATAATTAAAGTATTAAAGTTTTTTTCATTTCCTAATAATACATTTTATTTCTTAACAGCCTCATTATTTATTTATTCATATGATTTATATATAGTATTAGAATATGTGTTAGCTTTAGTAAGTGATTTTATGTTTAGAATAGAATATGTAACGTTCTCAATAATATTTGTAAAGGAAACACAGGCCCTATATGTGCCATTTACATTAATTTTAAATATCATTAAAAAGAGTGCATGTTTTTACCAAAACTAATATTGGATTTTTTTAATGCCTGTGAAACAATATAATTTGCACAAAGAAATGATGGGGTTCTTCTCTAAAGAAGTAGTTGCTCCACCCTGTTTAGAGCATCATTATGGCACTTTACGTTATAACTAATGTGGTTCAAGCAATGGATCTGCGACAGAGAAACTATGGTTTTGGGGAAACACTCATCACTACATCGTTCTTTTCCCAACTGATACATCATACTATGATAGTTCAGCCTCGAGTTTGAGAAACGCACCCCAGATAAACTGTCTTCATTGAAAAAAAGAGACCAACATTGTGCTCCAGAGTGTTGAAGATCTGCCATTTAAAGGTTTAGCTTACTTGCAGAATTAAAATTTCCTGATAATTTACTCACAGCCTTGTAATTCAACCTGGTCATTTTTTTATCTATTGAGGAAAACACTAAAGGATTTTTCGCCATATAGTTGGCTTTCATGATGCTCAGCGCTCTGAACTTCATGAAAAGCTTCACTGAAATTTATATAATTCCTCTTTAGCAGGGGTGTCCAAACTTGGTCTTGGAGGGCCGGTGTCCTGCAGATTTTTGCTCCAGCTTGCATCAACACACCTGAATGGATGTTTTTAGAGCTTGATTAGCGAACTCGGGTGTGTCTAACTGGGGTTGGAACTAACATTTGCAGGACAACGATCCTCCAGGGCCAAGTTTGGGCACCCCTGCTCTACAGGTAGAAAAATCCTGAAATGTTTTGTCAAAAACCTTAATTTTAACTAAAGAAACAAATTAATTAACATCTTGAATGACATGGGCATCAGTAAACTATATCAGGGAATATTTATTAAACTAAATCTTCAAATAGTTTTCACTTCTAGGTCAAAAAAAAAAGAGTGTGATAGTTCAGGGGTTAATATCAATGATCAGACTGGCCTTTTTGTGTACCTTCTTCACATCCGCCAGGTTGTCTTTCTTCCTGACAGGTTTGTCTTTGACCTGCGCTGAGCTCTGATGAGATTTGGACCCATTGGATTCGCTGCCTGACTCAGAGTGGCTCTCAGAATCAGACGTGCTGTTGGATTCAGAATGCCGGGATTGTGCTTTTTCACTGCCCTGCTCGCTCTCCGACTGACTTCCAGACTCCGACCCAGAGCGGTTGGATTCCTCGGATGCTGAGTTGCTATAACATTAAAGACGGGCATTTTGAGAAACCAGTAAAATCACAATAATTGGTTCTAAAATTAAAGATTCATTAAAATCTCATTCATTAAGGTTTATTCAAACAAGACAAGAATTTGTACTATTCCTTTTGATCAAACTGAAAAAAGTTCTTAATATTCCCAAACAAGTTTTTAAATATCACTTTTAAAATATGAAGAGGTTTGGGAAACACATTTAGTCTTACTTTATGTCTTGTACTTTGACCCAAATGAAGTGAGTTCATAATTAAAACCAACAAATATCTCCCAATGGTCTTCAGAAGAAAAAATTATAAAGGCTTTATGGAATATATATTTTATTTCAGTAAAGACTCTTTAAATCAGTGTTTATAGGTTTTTTTTCCATTTAAATATCCCCTTTTCACAGTTAGTTGGCTAATTTTAAATTGACAGGTCCTTCTTTTAGGTAAAATCTAATTATCTTAGTCGGTCAAACAATGAAATGTAGACTGAAAGCATGCTGAGACTTTGTCCTTTTCTAAAAAACAGCATTCCAATGATTTAGGGATGGGGGTGAGAATTCCAATACAAACATTGCCTGAAAAACCTGAGTGCACTGAACTGTAAATAACAGCCCTTGTTTAAAATAAATAGCAAACAGACACGAACAACACCTGCAAATTGAAATGACCTTTAATTTACAGAACAGTACAAATAAATTCACACAAATATATATACTCTTAAACAAAACTTCTGTATTGCCAACTTAGCTTTAAGCGCAAAACAAGAAGGGTCAAAATACCTAAAACATGGATACTTTTTTTTTTTTTAACTTCTGATTATTTTACTTTTTATTTTTTGTTTTGTAGTTTCAATTTAGAAAAACTGTCAATTTTTAAGGAGGAATGCACTAAATTATATTTTAATTAAAACTTTTGTTTTAGCAATTAACATTAAATTAATCCAGTAAATCCAGGAGAAAAAAAACGACAACTTTCTCTTTTTTCCCATATTTGTATATCATGTTTTATTCAATGTTTGGTAGTATTATATTTTGTTTTACATTCAGACTGAGCAGCTGAAACGAAGTAAATACAAACATCTTTACGTTTGGACGTCATGATATAGTTTTACACAAAAAAAAAATGTTTCCAAAATCATACAGCAATTATATTGCATCATCTTGAAGTTGGCATTTTGTGTCAGACCACTTCTGCTGTCCTTTGCCCTTTAGGCCTAAAATTAAATGCAAGGACTTCTTCCTAAACAAGCCCAGCCCCTCTTACTATAAATGAAACAAAATCATCTTCCTTATATGGTTAAAAAAATAGAGCAAAGACGACGCTATAAAATCTACTAGATACTCCGTTGCATCATCACTAATTCACACAAAAAAACAGGCTTTCTAAAACCTCGTGTATTGTTCATATAATTCGATCAGATGACACGCATGGAAGCCATAATGCAACCTGAAAGCGAGCAGAGTACAGAAATTAGCAGCCGTCATGTGTCCACCGAGCCAAACAGCTGCTGACAAAGCAGCCAGACTGTCCATATATGGGTGCTGACATCACGAATGGGCGGATCTATCCCCTCAGATAAAATCTCATTGGCTGCTTATTGCTAGGCCGGAAAAGAGCCAATGAGAATTCACTGAGACCACGTGACCCCCAGAAGACTTTCCGTTTCCGGTTCCTGTAGTTCCAAGAAGCTTTTATGTAATGCAGCAACTAATACAAGCTATGCAGCACAAAGCAAGAGCCATTTTGTGCCTTTGAGGACTTTCAGCCATTTAATGAAATCACTCTTGTACAATAATGAAACAAATAAGTGCTCTGTATGTAATATAAAGCATTTGAGAACCTCTGATAAAGTGTATTGGCAAGAAAAATCTCACATCTAGCATGTTTGCAGCTCTTGTTTCTTTTAGGAGCACACATAAAATGGCTGCCACAGTTAAACATCAGTAAAAATGTGCTTTTGAGGGTACAGGACTGATTTAGAATTTCTAGAAGACATTGTAAACAAACTGGATGAATGTAATCTTGTGTGCTGTAAATTCATGATTGCTTATACATTGTCACATTAGCAATGTGTGCAACATTGAATGATAAATCACCTTCAAAATTTTTTTCAATTAGACTCCGTGTCAGAGCAGGAACTGAAGTGGAAGTTACAAGGAAATTCTTACCCACACAACCATGAAATAAATGAAAAATGGCCATGTCATATGAAGTACATACATTAAAACATCATGTGCAACTTTTTAAGATTAACCTTTATTGATGAGGTCTTGGTAAAAAAGTATAAACAAATTAGAGAAAAGGCAGTGTGAAGGTTAAAAAGTCAACTTCAAATAATCCATGATTAAAACATCACTTATATTGCTTTTTGTATAACTTATGTTGTTATCCTAAATTATGACTAGCAAAGGTTACTATAAAGCCCAAAACAATACTGACTACTCAAATAGTTTCAAGTATTTATTTATTTATTTTAACAATTTAACAGTAAAGTTGTAGTTGTGTTTTGTATAACAGACTGACAAAGCTTTTTAAAACTTTTTTTTTTTTGCTGGAAATTATACTTATTAAAATGTATATCTGCATTAGAGAAAGCTTTTTATTTTACTTTAGTATCATTAGTGGTAATGTACAAGATAAGTTAACATTTTAAAGTGGTCTTAAGTTCTGAAGTTCAAATATATGTTTTTTTAAATATCACTGAAAATTATTAAAATGACAATTTTAACAAAAGTCAATAAGTACATATGAATAAAACTAATAAATTAAAATGAATTCTTAAATATACTTATTTTACACAGTTCTGTAGTTTAAAAAATCTTTGTAAAAATGCATTTCTTAAAAATGATAAATTATAATTTTAACAATTAAAGGCCTCTTAAAAAGTAAATATGAATAAAACTATAATTTATATTATTTATAAAATATAATTAGTTTTTTACACTGTGCTCTAACAGTCAATCATTCCAATAGGTTTGATTATTGGAACACCTGAATGAGTACTGGGATAGTATTGCATTAATTTGGTTATGAGGTAGCATACCCCTGCCATTAAGGGTCTCATAAAAGTTCAGCCCATAAAGTCTTTAAAGAATGACTACAACTATTTAATGTCACATATGTGACCTTTAAATCAAATACTAAAGGATTTTTTTACCTTTAATAAAACACTTAAAAACAAGTTTTTTAAAACTATGCAATATGCAACAGCTTGTCAGTATTAACAAAAAGTTAAATATTTCTCATTTGTCAACAAATAATTAAAAATAAATTGACATGTTAAACATTCAAATGTGCCAATGCAAAAACAAAATTTCACTATAAATGAAACAACTTGCTATAAACATTTTATTCATGTGAAATGGATTCCATTCAAATATCTCAGGAAATTAGACCAAACAGGTAATGTGTATAAAACAAACATCAATTTACAACATTCAAATTCTAAACTCTGATTTTATGTCAAAATGTTTAAAATATCATTAACCCTAAACAGTGGTGCAATGCAGCACATGCTAATCAAACAAGGTCATTTCATGCATGACTTTATATGAAAAATATTACAGCAGTATAAAGATTTCAAATCTGTATAAAACACTGTGCATCTCTTGTATAAACTGGAGAAAAAGGCCTATAGGCCTTGTATACACTTTTTAGAAAATCAAACAAAATCAGGGTGTGGCTATACATCTATCCCAAGGTCAACTGTATGAAACTCATCTAAATTTACAGACATTGTGGTTTAAACTTCTGCACAGGTGATCAACCATGCTTGTAAATGTAAACAATCAAGACAAGTTTTAAAAAGAGAAGAAAAAAAGGAAACATCGTACCTGGAAGCATTGCTTTGAGTCGAGCCTTCGTCTTCTTGCTTTTTACTCTTATTCTTCATCATGTTGTTGTTCTGGTATTTATTAAAGATGATCTTTAGTCCAGGTATTAACTGTCAAAAGTTCAAAGTGGGACGAACCATAAAAAACAAGTCATGCCGTAGCAATAGGCGGAGAAGGCTCAACTAAATTCGGATAATTCGACAATAAATAAATATTTCCAATACTCCTGAAGTTAAAAGCATCGGAATCGTAATGACACCTGCTCGACTGTACTCGATGTCAAATATCCATGTGTCGATGGCATTTCAAGGCAATACATTCACAGAGCCACATGCATAAATTCTTACTGCGTCATCAGACAAAGGACGATTAAAACATAACGATGAAAGCAAGGAAAATCGACAAAACAATGTAAACATACCTATTGCATTGACATGAGGAGGACTGCAGTAGTACATTCACATCTGACAAAATATCCGATTTGTTACTTTGGCCATAAAGAACAAAAAAAAAAGAAAAATATTCCAGGATTGTGATTAAAACAACAATCGGAATAATATTCGAAACGAAAAATAATATTGGTAATCCAGCAATGGCTATTTGAATGAAGAGAGAGAGTGAGAGAGAGAGTATATGAGCCCAGCAGAGCGCACTAAAAATGGAGGACCGCCATGGCTGCCAGCGCAAGGCAGGGAAAACAACGACTGGCCACTCTACGCACACAGCACGGCGTTTTTCGACGAAAAGAAGTCACTAAACGTACGCTTTAACGTCTTTACAGTCCTAAACTACACAAAACGAACAAATTCGCGCGTTTAAGGGGCCCCGAGAGGCACTGAAAGTTCGACAAAGTTGAGATAGAAGTGCTATCGAGAGCCCTGCGAGGCTCAACGCTCTCCCCTTCCCAAGGTTCATCCGCCATCTAAAGCTCCTTCCCAGCACTGAGAGCTTAGCCTTTGATTGACGTTCTCTCCATTTACCCAGAGCTCAGGTGATGCACGAAGACCCACCCCTTTTATTTTCAATAAAAACTAGTTGTTTCATTGACAAGTTATCGGCTTAAGTAAGTCCTGCTTTGCTAGTGTAGTGATTGAATAACTTGGTGTTTAAATAGGCAGTTCCTTTCTTTATGTTAATAAAAAAAATATTATTTTAGCCTTCACTTCCTGCATAGACAGGAAATGATACAACAGACTGCCATTTTGCAGTGGGTTCTGGACTACACTGGACACCATTTTAGACAATTAAATTAACTCATTTACATGTAATTTGAAAAAAAAAATTATGCTTAATGCAGCAACACTTTAAAGTTGGATCTTGCAAATGGTTGATTTTTATTTAGCATGAAATTTGTTGGTCTGTTCTTGAATAGATTAAATTAAAAAATAATTAGCGAAACCCTCGTAATTCTGAAATAAAAAAAAAGCAAAGACAATTATTTAAAAACCAGTGGGGTGAGATCAGAATTCGAAAACATCACCCATGACAGTTATTAGTGCAGTTGCAGGTAATTTTGAGGTTAACCAGTTGTTGTTGTTTTTTTTTTTTTTTTTGTTTTTTAGGGAAAAAGTTTGATCTTGAAGAGTCGTGTTGGACGCTTGGATGTAAACCGCAAAGTGAATATTTTGCAGAAATTCATTTTTATATCTTCCATCCAATAAGGGCAACTCATTGTTCAAACACGAACTTTTATTTTTCGTTTCAAAAGACAAAAAGAAGCATTTAAAGTTTTAAAATACAGGCATTTCATTGAAACAAATACAGTGCAGTAAAACATGAAATACATACAACTGTTGAAGCACATTAGCGAACGATTTCAAACATCATAGCAAAATACAAAATGTCTTTCTTTCAAATCCAAAAGCAAAATATGAGCCGCCATCTTCCTCATTAAGCAGTAGTCTCCACTTGACTGTCCAGAATTGGTTCTTAAATGAAATCAAAAAGGAGAAGGAAACATGTAAACCCCAAATGTATTCTTAAGATGCGATGACAGCTTTTCATAAAAATGCTAACGTACTAATATAATACAGCTACAGACAAAACTAAATTGTTTTACAAATCCAAACTACATCCAAATTCTTTTGCATCGTTCTCCAATTAGCGATTACAGAGTTGGAGACAATACTGCAAGGTACCTTTCATATAGTAAATCTGAAGAACAACTTCATTAATATGCACATCTTGCCAATAAAATAGTCGTGTAACAAAGTGATCAACAAAATCCACTATTATCCATATTAAGGCTAAAATGCTAACACAAGAATGCTACACAGTTACTGCATGTTTGTTTTTTTTGCATGACTAAATTCAACTACATTCTATTCACACAATTTCAGAAGCACAATCTCAATTATCAAAGCTACCAAACCTTGAGTTTTTGATAAGTAAAAATATAGTGGTTGGATTTGGTTCACTTTTAAGTTTACTCTTTACACTGCAACTCTAACTATAATGATAGGCCCCACAATTTATTTTAATTCCAGCAAGCCTAAAAATTAATATGTATATGTAAAGCATTTTAATAGTCCATTCTACATATGTCTGTCATTAGCTATTATTTCTCTGAATGTGCTTCATAAAAAAAATACTTTCTTACAATTTTTGCATTTTAATACGTTCTCATAACCATACATTCATTGACCTATTACAATAGGCCTTTTTTTCTCCCCAGAGTCATACAGTCACAAGTTTTGTAATAACCCCTAGAACCACTAGGTTTTTGTTTCTGATAAGTATAATCAATAAGTGCCCTATATAGGGTTAATACTTAATTACCAAAGAACAAAGTTGTATCCCAGTGACGTCAACAAAAAACATTAAAATAAATGAAAACGTCAATTACTTTTGTTTGTTTGTCCTTACTATGTTATAAAGTTGTTATTACAATGTGAGACTTGAGTTGAACTTAAAAATGCAAAGGAAATGATCCGGTAAAATTGTTGCAAATGTTTAAGGATGCTGACATTGGATTTTTTTTTTTTTTACTAAAACAAGAACAAAAAGGTGGCTTAATAACCACCAAAATGAGAAGTGACACAATGAAATACCATGAAATTCGAATACTAGAATGAAGGGATTTTACTAAAAACAAGCCAGAAATTTGATAAAGAAAAACTTATTCCCTAAAGACAGAGGGGGAAAGCAGAAAGCATGAAGTAGATTTCAGAGAAAATGATGAAGAGGACATGAAGTTACATCTTTTTCAATGAATGCATTGCATTTGCTTACTGAAAATGCCAGCAGCCTTATAAAGAAGTTAAGATCATTTCCTTCCAAATTCTTTGAAGCTTTTTCCATCGAGTGTTTCATTACAATAGTTAAGTGGTAGCTCAAATTAAACAATGACTTAATTTGAGGGGAAACTCCTCATGCACTGATGTGCAAATGATTCCTCATGCACTGATGTGTCTGGGCATTTCACAGAATCAAAAGCAGAAAAAGTATCAGCCATCACTCCTTGTCACATAGAAAAAGCAGAAATGCTGTGATGTATTCCAGTTTAAATGTGGCTCAAGTGGAATCTTTAATGCATAATGAAGTATGCAATAGCCAGTGAAAACAAAAGGAGGCCAATTGTGGCACAGAATCAAGAAAGATGTGTAAAACAAGTTACACAAAAGCAGAACAGACTCCACAAGAAAGGAGCCATGGATCTCAAGAAAGGTTTCCACTAAAAACAAGATCCAGTGAACGGAGAACACAAGCATGCTCAGATATTGAAGACAGGTAAATGAAATATGGCTATAACAACTCACAATGAAAAGGCTAAACATTTGCACATTTCCAAGCTGTAATAGGAAGCCCTTTCCCAAGATGCACACTCTTAAATAAAGGTTGCCATTGATGAATCCATGAAGAACCATTTCACAAAAGCTTCTTTATAGTAAACATTTTTCTATACATGGTTCTTTAGAGACCCCAAAACAAATAGGTTCTTCCATGGAATTACTATGAAATTCCCATTTCGATTCTTCCTGGCACCTTTGCTTAAGAATCCACTATGAGCACTATTTTTTAAGTTTACTTTTTTTTTCTTTGTCTTTTGTAATTACTTGCACAAAACTAAACCAATTCTAGGAATCCATATTTTACTATGCATTATACTATACTATACATTTTTTAAAGCAAAAACACTTAAAAAAGCTATGGAGTTTAAAAATGGCTAACATGACAGACATATGTAGTACTATCCTAATAATACAAAAAACACTGTATAGACTTACAGAGCAGTCTTCTTTTTCTTGAACTTTGGTGAAGGTCCTCTACAAGCCAACTTCATCTGCTGGTAGAAATAAAATCAATTAGATCAGAGGTATACAAAAAAAAAAAAAAAAAAAAAACTAAACTTAAAAAATTATAATAATTCCCCACTGCCTATGTTTAAAGACAAAATATCTTTTAAGCGGAAAGAATGAAGTCTTAACCTTTTAGTGGTTTTCCTTGCATCTTCTAAATAGCATTGCCAACCCCCACCCCCTTTTTTACCTTCAAGGTCTAATATTCTCCATATCAAATTTCTGAGTTTGAACATTTTGAAAGATATAACAACTTCATGTTCTTGCCTAAAGCACAAATTGAGCAGGGCGAGTTGCTTACTAAGCTGTAATATTTACGAGTAATTATATGTCATTTGGCAATAATAAACAAGTTATTACTAATTTCCCACAAGCTGTAGTGCTAACTGAAAATTAAAGTAAGAATTGCAGTGTTGCGAAGTTACTCCTGCTTGTCAGTTTAATTCCAAGGTGATTGATGTGTGAGATAACTTATGAAATGATAACTGTTGATAAACTGAACTTGTGTTTTCTTTTGCTAGAAGTAAACAATCTTTTACTGTATTTAAAGACTGTGTGAACTTGAAGTTGTATAAACTTATTTTTAGTATGTTGGTGTACTTCCAACTAAAACAAAATATTGCGTAAGGGCGGGGCATTTTTTTTGCGCATCATTCCCTCAGAGCAAACTAACGGTAAGAAAGGCATGGTTAAGAATATTGTAGCTGAAGCCGTCAAACTGACATCAGAGAAAAACTGCTGTTCCAACCGCAGAGGCAAATGGTTAGATTTTGATTAAAGATTACCAAAACAAACTTTTTTCATTGGATCAACTTGCATGATTTGTTTTCCTAAAAAATAACAATGTGCCCAAGCAAAATAAACAATAAATTTTGCTTTCAAATAGTCTTGAATGAAGACTTAATGTTAGTGAACATAAAATAATGGGTGGGAGATAAACAGTAGTAAACTAAATGTTGAACAACTTTTTCAAAAGAAAAAAATGTTGATGTCTTTTAGTAGAAAAAAACAAACTAAAACCTTATTTACTGCATGTGATTGAATGATTGGCTGAGTAGAAAAATCAGTCCTGTTCTAAATGCGCCAAGTTATGTGCAAAATTTTTCGAAATGTTTTTTACGTACAAATGCTTTTTTAATAAGTGATGTTAGTATCATCTGTTTTTTCTAGAATTAGTTGGAAGTGAATGTTTTTTGTTAAAGATTTGTATTTGCTTCATAAGTAAATTTGTTGTGAGAGAACAAGTATGATACAATGTTTAATTTGTTACTTAAAGTGAAGTATTATCCATGTTCACAAGCAACAAAACGAGAAAATAGTTTTGAAATGTGAAATTAAAAATATAAATACAATTATATTAAAAAAACTGAAATGCCTTTATACTTATCCTTCCTTTTGTTATATTACATAATGACACTAAATAGCATTTTTCCAACACTACTCCAATATACTTCTGTAATATCACCTTAATTTTCTTTTTTATCAAAAACTGCAAATTGTCAAATTTTTGAAGGGTATGTTTAAAGTTATTATTAATAATAATTATATTTTTTATACTTCATTATACTTTTCTATTCAAAGCTTCCAACACCAATTGTAATGTTTGTTTAAAAATATATATTTGTGGTTGGCACAGCAAATTCAGGTTCTTTATATTCTCTGATGAAAATAACTGCGACTTTATTTGAATTTATTGAACATTACTATGTAAACAGAAAATTATATAGATGAAATGATTATGATTGCGTAAAAATCCTTAATAATACTTGAGGCTAAATGAAAGTAACTAATGAAAAAAACGTTTTTACAAAAAGTCAGGAAATTGTTTATGGCGCAGTTATTTCTATAAGGTTCCCTTAAATGAAATACTTACATCAAAATCCATTGTCCTCATTTCTCTCAGACATCTCGAAGATTAGGAACCTTGACAACAAAAGGTTCTTCGTTAGAATGATAATACAGTCTACAATTCAATTTAAAGCACACCCTAGTGGTGGTCAATGATAAGGTAAATTATTGCTAAATGTGAATGCAAGATGTTTACAGTAAATTATTGCTAAATGTGAATGCAAGATGTTTACAGTAAAATTTAAGTAAAGTAATGACACTTACATGTCATAAAAACTGAACGAAACTCCTTCATCCTTCATCCAGTTTTCTTGACTTCTGTACACAAAAACATACGTTTTCGACAATTAGTATTGTAAGAACTTTGCATTGTAACATTTACTGAAGCTTCAAAATGTTTTGTCATTTGGTTTGTTCACATTAAATATGATTTCTGTAGCTAAAGCCAAGGTAAATTCCATGTATTTGTGCTGAAAATTATTCAAAGTACATAATATATCACACCATAAACTAAAGAACATACATAAATATGAAACCTATTTTATTTAAAATCATCAGTGGGTGTTGGATTTATTTTTATTATTTTTTTAAACGCAACATTTGTTCTTGCAAAGTGAACAATTGATTTCATACATGTTTATAACAAAGACCCACAATATTTCAAAGTTAATGTTTCCCCACTTTAAAACAAACTAAACAGTATTGCTTTTTATGTTGAGTCTTATCCAAGTTATAGTAGTAACCAGTACAAAAACTAAATAAAAGTCCAGGTTTAATCTGACCTTTTCATATATTTATTAAAAATTGTGCACAAATTTCAGACATTTAATGATAAAAAACTCTTCTGTTGAGATAAAAATGAACTTAAAACAAATCTCTGAGCAAAACGGAAAAACAGAAATAAAGAAACAAATTTTTACACATTTTTAAAGAACAAAGTCTTCTTGTGGGCCACAATGGGTTAAAAGCCAACACCCTGTTATTTAACATCGAAAAATACAGCATAAACATTTTACAAAACACAAGAAATACAAGTGGATGTGTTTATTTAGGTTCATTCTCAAGTGTAAAAAAAACCATAAATGAATAAACATGTAACTACTACATTTAATCCAAATAACAAAATCTAAAAATAAACTAAAACATCAAAATTATGTATTAAATCCTATGGCAAGTTGACATATTCACAATGTTCTTTGAATAAGTTCAAATCAAATGTACACCCGAGAATAAAAGAAAACATTTTTCAGTAATTAACAGACAATAAATGCATTTAAATGTTTAATAAAATTGTTTATTCAAATAAAATATCAGAAATCCACAAAAGACACTCAAAATGTCGAGACTGGAAATGGAGCGTCAAAAACACAATGTTACAGCAATATTTCGGTTTTAAATATTTTTTCGTTGTCGAATGTTACAAGGACATTTTGTCCTCTCAAGGACAAAGCGAATTTAAAATGCGTAGACAGTTAAATCCTCGGATCTCTTCGTTGCTGTCAGTTGAAATCTTCACAGTTTTCCTGCAACATATCAATGCACTGTTTTCCGAACGATTTCACGATGTTTTTACATCAAAATCGTCGATTAAACCGAAGAAAAGCCAATTTTCAGTACTTGGCAATGGCCCCATCATGGCCATTTTACAACACCTCGTCGAAGGCTCTCCTTTTCCACCATATTGGTGCGCCTGTTCCCGCGCTCAAACAAGATTATAAGTTCAAACCTATAAAGAAATCTTACCATATCGCCACCGCTGCGATCTGTTCTTTCTTCTTGAGCTGTCGACGCCATTGCATCGGTGAGATTTGTCGGTTTTAGGGTGTTGTTGCTCAGCTCCGCCGCTCCACATCACCGTGTCCGCCTTGAGCTCGTCTCTCCTCCGCTGTGCGCGATCTCTCTCTCCGCCTGTGCTGTTATACTGATCCTGAGCTCAGCCCTGAGCCTCAGCGTCACACACACTACTTCCTCTCCCCGCAGCATTCTGGGTAGAAGAAACACAGCATCCATGATTGAGGATTTATAATAATGTTTCATTTCAGTAAGGGTAAAAGCGGATTTTTATACTAGAATATTGAAAATTCCATGCCAAAATACCAATGATATAACAACAAAGCATTCACGTTTTATACAAATACAAAACCTGTCCAAGTGTTCAAATTATTAGGCTATAGTTATGCTATATGAAGGAATGATAGGCTATTTAGAAAACAGTGCAACATGTAGAGCTCTTCAATTCTGTTTGGTTATAACCAAGAAGAAAGTTTAATTTATATAGTCTACTGGAATATTTTTTATACTTACTTTGCAGATTATAGCCTGCATTCAGGAATAACATTCATTTTAAAAAGAAAGTAAATAGCTTAGATTAGCTATAATAACCAAGAAGAGAACACATATTTATACAGAATATTGAAACTAATATTAATACTAATATAACAAATGCAAAAAAATATATATATTTTTTTTCATATGAACCGATAAAATAAATGTTCTACTGTTCATGGTTTGGGATGACATAAAGTCAAAAAATTGAGTAATGTTGCTAAAGCAAAGCGGGATTATTTTAGTTCTAAACAAGAAGAAAAAGAGTTGGCATTAAAGTGGATTTTACACTGATACTAATATTTCAATAAAGGGTAAAATATTCTTCCTTTACTGTACAAATTATTTATTTTATTAGGCGATTTCACTAACTTACATGGAGTTATAGTCATAAAACAAAGTAAAACAGGAAATCTGTTTAGTTTTATAGCCTTATCAGGAAGTAAATCTGCATTAATGTTCAAACCTAAAATATTGACACTATACAGTAAATACTGACATTTCAACTTAAAAGACTACATATTTCATTATAACTCATCAAATAACTATTTTGCTTATATTTTTTTACTATAACTTATAAGAAGGAATGACATTCATAAAAACCAAAAGTTATATTAAAGAAAATGTAAACAGATCAGACACCATTTTAAAAATAAAAACGTTAAATAATAATATTAATAATAACAATTAAAAATAATAATAATAATATATATTATTATTATTTATTGCTGAAATGTGTCAGTTGTTAAGGATCAAATAGAGAATCTTAAAAAGTGATAACCATGGGTCATATTCAATATTTTTATTTATTTTAGTCATTTGTTTATTTGATATGTACATCACAATAACACGGGACAAACCAAATACATTTGTTCAAGTGTTTTACAAGACTTGCTAATTCTTAACACTTGTCCAAGGGAGGCTTAACATTCATTCATTTATTTTCTTGTCGTCTTAGTCCCTTTATTAATCCAGGGTCGCCACTGCAGAATGAACCGCCAACTTATCCAGCAAGTTTTTACGCAGCGGATGCCCTTCCAGCCACAACCCATCTCTGGGAAACATCCACACACACATTCACACACACACTCATAAACTACGGATAATTTTAGCTTACCTAATTCACCTGTACCACATGTCTTTGGACTGTGGGGGAAACCGGAGCACCCGGAGGAAACCCACGCGAATGCAGGGAGAACATGCAAACTCCACACAGAAACGCCAACTGAGCCGAGGTTCGAACCAGCGACCTTCTTGCTGTGAGGCGACAGCACTACCTACTGCGCTACTGCCTCGCCCAGGCTTAACATTTAAAAGTAAAATAAAAATAAATAGATATACAGAGCATTATACTTTTTAACATACAACAGCTTTAAGGCAAAGGCAACATGATCAAACAAACTAATTATAGACTATTATTTATAAATACTACTGTTTGCTGAATATTTCTAGAACTGTGGTTCTTAGAAGTACCTAACCTGAAAAAAAAGACTTAATATCTCAGACCCCAAACCAGCACAAATGTTCATTTTTGCGGCACAAATCAGCACAAACGAACAGCATAGTTTTGGGGATTATTTTGTTTTTATGGGGTGCCAACTTCACAGAGGTGCTGTGACTGTGTTATGTGCAATAGCCTATTTAGTTAACAAGCATTGTAATCACCTGGTCGACATTTCATCTATAGGCTATCATTATTATTTTATTCACTTATTACTATTTATTAGAGTTGTGTCAGTATATTTATCCAATGCAAGCGTGGGACAATTTTTATTTTTTCAAGGAGTGCACCTTAAAAGGTTAATGTCTATTTATTTATGGAGATTTATTTTATTTAGTTATGGTGTATACATTCATGTGTTAATGTTTTTGAATGAAAAATACTGATATATTTTCATTGAAAATATGCATTTAACCAACAGTTGTTGATGTTATCCCAACTTAAATATGGACAAATATATTAATATGCCTATACACACATTATAAAATACATTTGAAAATTTCTTTAAATAGGATTTTAATCATTTGAATAATTGTCAACTAAATTTTGAGACAGTTTAAAGCAGAAAGGCTTCTGTTATTCATGTCAATAACATAATACATCTATTAAAATTTTTTAATATTTATCAAAACAATGTATGAATTATTCTATTTAAAATATATTAATATTCCACAACTTGTTGTTGAGAAAAGTGTCTGCTAAATAATTAATGTAAACATGTTTTTTTTTTTTTTTTTTTTTTAGCAAATGTTTTTGTTTATTCACCTTAAAACATTGGCTGCTGCATTATACACATTGTCTAAATAAATTACATGAATTATCCACCAGCTAAATTTTTATAGAGTTCAACCTAACAATATAGAGCTCTTTTTAAACCAGACATTACGCAAAAAAGAAAAAGGTTTCAACGGTCCAAATTAAATATCCACACTTCACATCAGAAGCATCAGACCAATACCCTTACATTATAAATAATATATTAATGTAACGTATCTGCATGAATTGTTCTAATATTTATACTTTCATTTAAAAAGAATGGCACTGTGTTTCAGCAAATGGCTGTGTACAGTACAGCAGAAGGGCTCATTTCTGTCCTGGTAGGCTCAGCATACCACAGTCTGTTTCTTAGCAACTGTAATTGGATCAGGCCTGCATGGCACCTCCCCCTTCTCTAAAGTCATGCCACGTACACACTGGCAAATATGCCATGCAGGACTATTCATGGAAGTGGCCTCAAGCTAAACTCTATTGATTATTTGTTTGTACAAGGAAGATAAAAAAAAGGAAAAAAAAACTGGCAAATATAATTAGAAAGAGGCATCAAAGGTCTGAAATTATGTCTCTATTTTGTTTTTCTCTTTTTTTCCTGAACTACAAAAACATGTTGGTATTATAGTATGGCATTATGAGTCTTTATGTCAAAACACAAATCTGCAAACACAGTTTTGTAGTGTAGTAATAAACACAACAACAGTGTGATGGTAACAGCTAAGTGTTGAGGTGAAATATGGAGATATCTAGGAGCCCTCTTGTGGCCTGCTCTGAAATATGTACTGTGAATGCCAATGAAATGCTTTTCATGTGATATATCAAATCACCAGAATCTAATACATATTTCATTTGGGTATATGCATAATTGTGCTTTAATAAAGGTCTGAACCTAAAAAAAATTATTCTACCACCACCACTGCTAATAATAATATTAATAACAATAAATATTAAATAATATTTGCATTTGTCTAAATCTTTATATGATTGAGGTATTATTCAGTTCAAATAATTTAAATAAATATAGAATACTTTTATAGTCTTAATTTTTTGGTTTAGTGTCCAAAATGAGGAGGTTTGCATTCAGGTATGTAAATAAATAAATAAAATCGTAGTTATATTTTTCCTCAGTCGCTTTGTTGCATTTCTCACAACACTATTTACATTTGCACAACAGTTAATGCATTTCTCAAAAAAAAATTGTGCAAACTTCAAAACGTAGATGATAACCTGCAAAAGTGTGTCACATGCTCAAAATGGATAGCTCATTCCTCAAAAGCAAGTATTCATGTCAATGAAAGTGTCAGTGTCATAATGATGAAAAGTCCTGACACCATTGTTTATGAACAAAGTCAAATGGCTGTCATGTTTTCATTATGTCAGTTTACTCTACATTTTTTTCCAATGCAAAAAAAAGTCAGATTTTGGTGACACTTGCTCAAAATGCTCAAGACAACACTATGTACTGTTTGCACAGCCATTTGAAAACTACAGTAAAGTTAAACATCACTGAGTACAAGGCACTGAATATGTGTGTTTCACATTTTTCATGCGTATGGTCTGCGTAATTTGAATTTATTCACAGCATTGTGCAAAAGAATAAATACACCCTGATCCACTACAAGCATGAACACCCTTTGGGTAGAACTGTGCACAATTGTAAACAATATTGCAGTACATACTGGAACTGAACCTACAACATACACAGGTCTGTAAATCATTCATGAAATTGTTCAATTTGGAAGATATTTTTAGAAAAAAAAAAAGATTACATTTTTTTCTAAAATTTGCTTGACAGATTTTGACACCTAGTTCAGTATTTTTGTATGTAATGACAGTAATGAAATGAGGACTATTAGTTTAATATGGAATGACTATTCAGCATTCCCAAGTTTAGTTACTTTTGAATTACATGACATTCAAATAATAATGTTATAAAACTGCAGAGAGTTGTATGAAAGCAATTGATGCATGTCCAAAAGCATTTGCAATTTATTGGAAGGAATGAGAAACTGCTACTATGATGTGCACAAATGACTAATTGTTTTGAGAAATACATTTACTGTTGTGCAAATATAAGTAGTGTTATGATAAATCCACCGAAGTCACTGAGAAAAACTAACAACAATAATAACAATAATATTATTATTAATTATTAGTTAAGTTACAGTAGTTACAGTTCTAAATTCGACAAGGCCTATTTCCATTTTCCTGTTTGTAGTCAAAAAAGAACTGTCTCTGTGTAGATTGCGCCATCACGTGGCAACTACAAGTATATGCACTTTAATCATCTCAACTGTTTCTGTCTTTAGATTTGTTAAACATTGAGAATGATTCAATAGCTTATCCCAAAATCCATGTTCTTGGTTGTTGAAGTTTATAGCTTAACGTGTGATGCACAAAAGGATATGTTTATCTTTTATTTTAATATTTTTTTGTGTTAAAATGATTTTTAAAACACATACTATGGGTATTTCGGCTAAGTAGACCATGCAGTGGGACTTCCCTGTTTAATATGTTAAATAACAGGATGGGACGCAGGAAGGCCAAAGCTTAATCCTGCAATAACCCATTTCCTTCTCTTGTGACCTTAAGGGGTCAAATCGTGCATTTATACTGCCCTGAAGTCCACTTATAATGTAAGAACAGTTTATTGTGATATAAACAGCTAAATATTTTTCACAGCTTTTTTTTCTGATGTAAAATTATGCAGCATGTTGGGTAAACAGAACTTTCACATACTGTAGTTTAAATGTTTTATGTGGCTGTTAATCAGTTTTCTACTGACACAACAGTTTCACCTTGAACATGCTACATCAAACTGATTCAGAAAAGGATATGCACAAATTAATCCAGAAATAATCTGGGAATAGATTGGCAAAAACATCAACAATCATAATCAGGGACTGGATTGAAAAACCGATAAATAGATAGACACATTAGACAACAGACATATCAGACAGAGAGACAGACATATAAGAAAGAAAGATAAATAGATAGGCAAACTGATGATTTTATTTCAGATAGATAGATAGAGAGAGAGAGAGAGAGAGAGAGAGAGACAGACAGACAGACAGACAGACAGTTGAAGTCAGAATTATTAGCCCCCCCTGTTTATTTCCCCCCCAATTTCTGTTTAACAGAGAATTTTTTAGCACAATTCTAATAGTTTTAATAACTCATTTCTAATGATGTATTTTATCTTTGCAATGATGACAGTAATTAATATTTTACTAGATATTTTTCAAGACACTTCTATACAGCTTGAAGTGACATTTAAAGGCTTAACTAGATTAATTAGGTTAACTAGGTAGGTTAGGGTAATTATAGGCAAGTTATTGTATAATGATGGCTTTTTCTGTAGATAATAATTGTAAATAATTGATAATAATTGTAATAATTTTGGCCTTAAACAGGTTTTAAAAAAAATTAAAAACTGTTTTTACTCCAGCTGAAATAAAACAAATAAGACTTTCTCCATAAGAAAAATTATCAGACATAATGTGAAAATGTGGTGGTTCATTCCGCTGTGGTGACCCCAGATTAATAAAGAGACAAAAACGACAAGAAAATGAATGAATGAATGAACTGGTAAAATGTACTTGCTCTGTTAAACATCCTTTAGAAAAAGATGATAGACAGACAGACAGACAGACAGACAGACAGACAGACAGACAGACAGACAGACAGACAGACAGACAGACAGACAGATAGATAGATAGATAGATAGATAGATAGATAGATAGATAGATAGATAGATAGATAGATAGATAGATAGATAGATAGATAGATAGATAATCTAATTTATTATCTATAGGATAATCTTTCGCAAAAATAAAACAAAAACAAAACCATCCTTATTCATGTGCTCTTCCTCCATAACAGCGCGCTGCTGCCAAACAAACTCTGCACATTGGTCCTCGTCTGGACCCTCCCGGAGCTCTTCCGGGTGTGGATAACCCACATTTCCTCCTGCCGACACGCATTCCCAAGAAAACATCCTGGATAACGGACCGAGCAGCGTGTGAGTGGAAACCAAAGAATAAAACCGAGCCCTCGAGGTGGAAAACAAATAGCAGATACTTGAGATACTGGACATGATTGGCGAGCGAGCTGTGGACTATTTGAGATGTCAGAGCATCATTTACACACATCATTCGTCAGACAGCTGTTCTTCGCGTTTCGAGTTGTAGCGCTCAGACCTTCTCTGCACTGACTCAATTCAAATACACGAGACATTGAGAAGAAAGAGGTTTAAATCGGGAAACAACATGTGGCTATATACTTTTGCTGTAGCGCTTATTGTCATTGCGCAGGAGATAAACGGAGAGCCACATACGCGTCCATCCTCCGCAACGCCGCTGAATGCAACATTACCGCCTCAAGAAGAAGGTTCAGCACAAAATACAACAGATGCTGCGGTTGGATCCCGCCTTTCTACAATATTGAGGGATCTTCCTACCATCAAAAACATTTCGATTTTCATCTGCGTGCTAACAACCTTACTTATCACGTGCCTTGTCATAAAAATATGCAGGTAACATCTATTCTGGTTTATATTTAATACATTATTTTGTGTTCTTTGATTTGTATTTACAATCTGTTTTGTTGTTACAAAAAATGCCACCTTACTAAAAACATGGCATCACGACTCATTGGTAAATTTATGGCACTATTTATAAATTGTTATATAAATTGATGTGTAATCCAGTTTTATTAAATTTTTTTGTTTATTGTTTGTATACTATATATATGGAACATTCTTGAATCTTTAGTAACGTTGACTCGTTATCCCTGATTTAATCCTCCGCGTCTTTGGTAACAGATGGTTCTGTAAGGTTGGATTCTAAGAACCGATTCTTATTCGTAGCGGAAAGCCTTTTTAAAAACACCGCATTCGAATGATTTTCACGACGTTCAGAATTGGAACGTGAATTTCTCTGATAAAGTGAATGAAGCTAAAATACTGAAATGAGCTGACACTGCTTCTACCTCACTTTTATTAGCACAGCACGACCAGTCCGACCCCATGACAAATGACTCGTTTGATTCGGTTCTTTTCATTAATGCAAGCTGAAAGAACTGTTTTACTGCGTTTAAAAATGATTTAAATTAGTAATTTACTTGTCCGTATGACACCATAATTGAATATTTGTAGAACTGTTGTTACATTTTATAAAAATGAATACATGATGTTACCATATGTTAACATATGTTGTATTTTGTGCATTATTAGTCATAACACATGACTAGGAGGATCAGTTAATGGATCACATTTCTGTTACCTTTAAAAGTGGTTTGCAGTGGTGGAAAGAGTACTGAAAATCATACTTAAGTAAAAGTACCATTACTTGCCTAAAAACGTAGTACGAAGTGAAAGTATCTGTTGTAAATATTACTTGGCAGAGTATGAGTAATATTTTGCCAACATGTAGTTTAAAATAACCCAGAATTTTTAGAGCTAACCCCAGGGTTAACATTTTTTATTTGGTGGTTTCAATGTTGTTAGGTTGTTTAAAAGCTATCTTAAAGGAATATTTCACCTAAAAGTGAAAATTTACCCACCCTCAGTTGGTTGTGATAGGATGTATTTTGTGCAATATTGTATAACATATACCAGTTAATGGATCACATTTCTGTTACCTTTAAAAGTGGTTTGCAGTGGTGGAAAACGTACTGAAAAATCAACTTGAGTAAAATTACCATTAGTTGCCCAAAAAACGTAGTGCAAGTAGACTGAAATATTACTCAGTGTATGAGTAAAAAAAGTACTCAAGAGTAGTGAGTATTAAACTGTGAAAGGTTGAAGTGTTTACATGTAATTTGTGCATGTGTATGAAAACGTTACATTCTCTAGTTTTTTAGTTATTGTTTAAGGCTGTTTGGCGATATCAGTCATCATACAGAAGACATCCTCATCTTCTCACCAGTGACATGCAGTCTAAACAGTCTCTGGTCATTGCATGTAAAGATTTAGGACATCTTCTTGGACACTTTTAATGCTTCCAATCAGTTAGCTGCATTTATAAAATGTCCATGTGTTAATGTTGTTCAGTATGATGCGATTTACTGTCTTATGTGTGATTTGATTGGCCAGGAATCTCACAGCTGATTTTTCTACTTAGCCAATAAAACCATAAACAAGAAAATGTAAAGTAGTGACTGCAGTTTGAAGGAAAATTGTGCAGAAAAATGACTAATTCTGCACTACAAATCTACACAAGGGGAAGTAAAAGTACACATTTTAAAGCTACTTTGTAAATTCCTGAAAAAAACTACTTAATTGCTATCATTTGAGTATTTATTATTTGTTAAAGTTTTTCACATCTGAATTCCTGCTTCACATTGTACACTGTTCATACCTAACCCTGGGTTCAAAATGAATCTAAAGTTACTCTAAAAATACTGGATTAATTTAACCCAGTGGTTGGGCTTGTCCATATTTGACCAAAATTTAGTTTGAAATAACCAAGCATTTTTTTTGGTAAACTCTGGGTTAACTTTCTTATTTGGTGGTTTCAGTGTTCTTGTTAGGTTGTTTAAAAGCTCTACTTGGAGTAGGCATGGGACGGTATGAGATTCTGACATATGATAACCTTGGATAGAAATATCACGGTATCCCGGTATCACGGTATTGTGCTCACTGCTTTTTTGTTTTATTTAAAAATGTATTGTTTTTAAATGCTAGTGTAAATAAAACAAAAACTTTTTTTCCCCTTTAAACACAATATATTTATTTTTTTTGAAAGCAGGCTATTTTGGAGCAGTAAACATGTCAGGCTAAATAATTCATAAGATTAAATGACTTCTGCTGTTTTTATATGTTTTAAAAACAAACATCTTTGGATGTTTTTTTTTCTGCTGGAGATACTGTTGTCCTGAAATACAAAATACAAAAATGTAAAAAAAAATCTTACACATACCTCAGGAACGGTATTACAGTATTACTTTTCCAAATCGCGGTATAACTTGAAATCGGTTATCGTCCCATGCCTAACTAGAAGATCTTCATCTTAAAGGCATAGTTCACCCCAAAAGTTTAAATTTACTCACTTTCAAGTGGTTCCAAACATTTACAAGTTCCCTTTTTCTGCAGACACAAAATCAGCTGTTTTAAGAAATGTTAGAAACAAATTAAGGGTTCCGATGCAATAACCCCCAAGTGCAGTCTGAAGTATCCATTAAAAATGAGCATTATTTTCAGCCTCATTTGTTTATGGTGAGTTATTTCACTTTGAAGACCATGAAAAAAACTTATTTTTTGCCATAAAAGAGAAATTACTGAACCTACACACAGGAGCCTGGTAAAAATGAAAATTTTAGAAGAAAATTTCAGACAGCATTTAGAGGTTTTTGCATTTGAACTTTTCAAATACTATGAAAGTTAATGGTTACAGCTTTCCAACATTTTGTGTTCAGCAGAAAAAAGAAACTTGAATTGGTTTGTGACAAGTCACAACCTCACCTGTTCTTTCTGTCCCTGGTTTGAATAGATCAGCAAGGAAGATCAGAAAAACAAGAAAATATGACATCATCACAACTCCAGCAGAGCGGGTAGAGATGGCTCCTTTAAATGAAGAAAACGACGAAGAGGACGATTCCACTCTATTTGATGTCAAATACAGGTGCATTACCACAACACGATTTATGTGTAAATAACCTAAATAATCAAATATTGCTTGTATTAAATTGACTTTTTGTAGAGATTTGCTTGCATTTGCTCGCTTGTCAGTGAATTTGACATTTAAAAAACAACTTGGATGGAGGAATTGTGGCATGTGGCTTTGGGTCAATTCTGATTTTTTTTCACATCTGCGCATTAAACACCTTCGACCTTGACAAGAAAACAAGATTCTGTTTCTTCCCACATTCTTTGGGGGAAATGCAGTCTGCAGCTACATGTTAAGCTACATGTTTTTTTTTGTTTTTTCCAGCAAACACTAAATTTTTTAAAGGTTTTGATGAATGGAGTAGGAGTGCAGTGGGAGTGACAGGGAGCTGTTGCTGAAAAATAGAACCAAGGCTGAGTTCTCGAACAACTTTTGTCTCATTAAAATGAAGTATTCATGGAAAATGGCTCAATGAATTTTTTAACATCCTGCTAAGGAAATATTTTTTGAATATTTTTCGGATACTTCTTGCCGCTAATAAAATTATAGTGTTGCATTTTTTTTGCTTTTATTTTGATTCTATTTTTACATTTCGTCACCTTAGAATTAGAAGGTTCTATCTGACATTTTTGTCACAATTGAGTTATTGACATATTCTTATTAAATAACAGCTTAATTACAGTATTTAGTTTTAGTTTGTTTCATTAAAGTCTTTTTTAAATTTGACTTTTCTGTTTTGTTTTTATAAAGTATAGTTAGTTTTAGTCATTCTAGTTTTACAGAGTTAACAGAACACTTGCAGGGTGGACCAAAGCAAAATATAGATTTTGCACAGTTTACATGAACTCTTGTCCAGTAAAAATAATTAAAATATCTTAATAATAAATATAATTGTTTTAGCAAACACTTAACCCCAACGTATAAAAGAAAAAATATGAAGAATTAAAACAAAGTTTTTTATATTAAAGAAAATGTATGTAGTTAAAAAAAATCATGTCTCATTAATATTTTTGTTAACTGAAGAAATTTTTATGTTTATATTGAAAAGATATTTCTGTGTAATCTCACGCACAGGCCTGTAGCCAGGGGGGCCCTCACTGACAAAGGTCTAGATTTTTTTTCCTTATATGAGCTCATTTGTTCTATTTTGACCCATCAAATTCTAATTAATTTAAATATAATTTTTGTTATGCATGAAATTATAAATGTACTTTTTTTTTACAAGAGAGGCTACAAAAATTGTGAAGCTCTACATTATTATTATTATTATTTTTAAAATTATTATTATTATTATTACTATTATTAATATTATTATTCAAATGGCCAAAATCTGACTCAGGGAAATTTGAATGTGCTGGCCAGTTTATTTATAATTTGCCTAATAAATGACAATAAGCTTGTTTTTAAAAAGATAAAAAGATATATGATGTAATAAATTTTTATTTTAGAAATACATGTTTTTTCATATTTCTATATTCTAAATCTAGTAAATATTTTTCGTACATCAAAAAGTGGGTTTATGATGACCATCCGACAAGCTATTCCAGCTAAAAATAGTGCTTAAAATGTATTTAAATTTCATAATCAAATAGAAAATGAGGTGTATAACTGCCACTTTTTGAGAAAAAAACCCACCCCTTTCACCAAGCTGGCTACGGGCCTGACGCTTAACTGATGGGTGTTTGGTTGTAAAAGCTCCATCCACATGTAGTTCCGTAAAAGTCGCAACAGGTTAGATTTTCCACCAGTACTGAATCACAATTATTTTTTGATAATTATTTCATTTCAGTTTCATTCAGCTGTAGTTTTTTTTTTTAATTCAGTTAATGAAAATGTTTTTTGACCTTAGTTTTTGTTTACTAAAATACCTTTGTGTGCTCATGCTGTTAAAAGTAAACATTTATTGTTAAACTCCTAGCATCGTAGCTGGCTATGAACTCATCAAATAAGAGGCGTGCGTTAGTTGTTTATTGCCTGAATGTTCCTGGCGAGTGACCTCAAGGGTCACAATGGAAATAGTTGTGTTATTTGGAGGGTTAGCGAGCGTCAAGAGTCGACTTCTCCCTTCCGTCCAATTGTTCTTTGACAGAGAACCTGTTTCCTCTTTGCTGGGCAAGGCTCCCTGTTTATCAGCTCTTTATTGGCAATGTGGCTGTTTGATAGTGAAGCAAACCAGTTCAGACCAGTTTGACAACTTTTTCTTCACATTTGAAACTTGAGATTTTAGTTTTTTTCAATTTGCTTAATCCTCTTATTTAAATGCTTTGCTCTCTCCTAGGTGAACGGTATAGCACTCTCGGAGTCATTGTTGAAGGTCTTGTAAAACCCCCTGGATTCCTGCATGAACACTTCTATACAGGGAATGAGCTCCTGCACCTTCGATCCATTTCTCCAAAGCCGTGGAACATCAGTGGAACCGGTCAGGAAATTTTATCCGATGTTTCCTGGTGTGTGCATTTGTTCTGACATTCCAGACCAACGAAGCACAGAATCTTAATCAAATATTGATGAAAAACCTTTTCTTTGTTGCAGGGAAAAGAAATATTAAGCTTAATCCTCCAAAAATACGTTATTGCACAACCTTTTGCTGTTGTTTTTTCCAACAAAACATTCCATTTGTTAATTAAATAAATATGCATAATTGCCCTTGAATGTATTTGGCAGCTTGAATATTTCAGTTACATTATATCACATTGAGGCTATTATATGTCATATTTAAAAAAAAAAAAGTTTATACAATATTTGATGATTGATTTTAAAAAGTTATACAGTCACATTGGTTTTAGCTGTGCTTGAATCAGCCCAAAGTTTCAAATCAAAAGAATAAGATATATTTGTTATATTATAGTGATATTTGCTTATCGACGATGTTAAAAGGATGTTTATGGTCCAATACTGAGAACTATTCTATATTGTTGTCTGTATATATTGTATGCAAATTATTCCTCTGAAATAGTTTATTTTTTAGAGAAAAAAAATACATATTTTGATTTAATAAGTGTAATATGTTTCAAACATCCCTATATTTTGAAAATTATTAATGTACTAACCACTAATCGTGCATATTTACTGTTTAAGGGTTGAATGTATGTGTGAGAGAGGATGTGTGTGGAGTTGGGAGAATATTGTTTCCATATTGCTGCTCTCGAAAGTTGTTTTATTTTTTCGTCGCGTATGCACACCTCCTTTTTTAATTACCGTACAATTTACAGTGGAACTTTGCAGTGCCACACATCATGAAGGGTTTCAGCACATATTTTATTATTGTTTAATATATTTTAAATTAGAACAGCAATGAAAGAGTATCTTTTAAATATCTTAAATCTACAGTGATATGTTGATGACATTTTGTATTATGTCTTTTCCTTAACTTCAGTGTGACTTTCTAAGCATCAATGTGAAGGACTTGTGTCCAACATCTAAAGGCCAATAAGAATGTTTATTGAGCTATAAAGTGTTTATGGCATAGCTATTCTTGTCTGACTATAAAGTAGGATTCTCTTTCCATCTTCATGTCTTTTTTCTCTCTCGGTTCCCAGATGTATTTCATAAAATGTAATTTTGCAGTCAAGGACAGAATTAGGAAGTTAAAATGGATATTAAATGCGAATGATTACTGCTTGAAGTGTTATTATTTGCATTGTCAGTGCTGTTTTTTTCTTTAGTATCCTGCGATAATCAAACATGTCTTAAACTACATGCTTTCCCCTGGTTTGTCTGTTTTGTTAGTCTAAACACTGGACAAGATTAATGTTTTATTATCGACAGCCGCATTTCTTTCCCAACTCTGTGTCCCAGTGTCTAAGCTAACTGTTAACCTGTTTTTCGAAAAGTACCCAATCATAAATGTACGTTTCTTGGTTATTGATTAACAAAAGTACATTTTGAAATGCAATAAAAAATATCTTCATCTTAAATTTGTATAAGAATGATTTAAACAAGGTTTTTGAAGTGTATTGTTTAAAACTAGGTTTGATCATGTGTGCCAGTCGGCATGTTTTAGATCTGCCACAATCTATGGTTCAAGCACAGAGTCAAACTCAAGTCAAACATTTTTTTGCATATCCTTATAGCTCAGTATTTAGTTTGGATAAAACTATTTTAATCTCTTTAGTATATCTACAATTTGATTACCCTCCTAATATTACTTCAAATTCTTAGAAAACTGATATTGTTTATTTAATAAAGTATGATTGGTGATGTGTAGCCATTCCACTTTTATTTACAGACCATACCCAGAAAGTGTGCATGTGTGTACTGGTTTTGGTGGTTTATAAAGGCACATTTGTATAATGACATGGGTATGACCTAGGGATTACTATGTTGCTGTGGTTTATAAGGACAAGCCATGTGTCCTCGTAATTCAAAAAGCTTAACAGGGTCTTTTGACATTTAAAATTTTGCCACAGGTTTCCTGTGGGGGTTAGGGTAAGGGGTAGAGGAAGGTCATATAATAAGCCATTTTTACAGTATAAAATTCATTACGCCAGTAGAGTCTTCATAAACCACCCAGTGTGTGCTAGCTACAATGTGTAAAAGAGTGGGGAGGAAATATAGTTTTCTTTTTTAGGTATAGTACTATATTTTCATCGTTTAGGACTGCTTTGAAAACAGTATGTTATATAACCTACATACTTAATGTAATACAACAGCATAATACACAATTTTCAAACAAGATCACTTTTTCTTGCATAAACATTTAATTTATGATGGAGAAAAATTTATTTGTCTTCTTGTAAACTACTTATATTGTACACTAACTGGCCACTTTATTAGGTACACCTTATCAGTACCGGGTTGGACACCCTTTTGCCTTCAGAAGTGCCTTAATCCATCATGGAAATATTCCTCAGAGATTTTTGTTTATGTTGACAAGATTTGTCAGCTGCGCATCCATGATGCGAATCTCTCTTTCCACCACATTCCAAAGGTGCTCTATTGGATTGAGGTCTGGTGATTGTGGAGGCCATTTGAGTTGGTAGTAATGGGCCAAAAGTGTGCCAAGAAAATATCCCCCATACCATTACACCACCACCCCCAGCCTGAACCATTGTTACAAAGCAGGATGGATTCATGCTTTCATGTTGTTGACACCAAATTCTGACCCTACCGAATGTCGCAGCAGAAATCGAGACTCATCAGACCAGGCAACATATTTTCAATCTTCTATTGTTCAATTTTGGTGAGCATGTACAAATTGTATTTTCAGTTTCCTGTTCTTAGCTGACTGGAGTGGCACCCGGTTTGGTCTTCTGCTGCTGTAGCCCATCCGCCTCAAGGTTGGATGTGTTGTGTATTCAGAGATGCTCTTCTGCCTTGGTTGTAACAAGTTGTTATTTGAGTTACTGTTGCCTTTCCATTAGCTCGAACCAGTCTTAATATTCTCCTCTCACCTCTGGCATCAACAAGGCATTGGCATCCACTGAACTGCCGCTCACTGGATATTTTCTCTTTTCAGACCATTCTCTGTAAACCCTAGAAATGGTTGTGCATAAAAATCCCAGTAGATCAGCAGTTTCTGAAATACGCAGACCAGTCAGTCTGGCACCAACAACCATGCCAAGTTTAAAGTCACTTAAATCCCCTTTCTTCCCCATTCTAATGCTCGGTTTGAACCGCAGCAGATCGTGTTGAGCATGTCTACATGCCTAATGGCTTTCAGTTGCTGCGATATGATTGGCTGATTAGAAATTTGCGCCAACAAGCAGTTGGACAGGTGTACCTAATAAAGTGGCAAGTGAGTGTAAGTGGGTCTTACACGGATATTGGGGAAAAGGGTAAATATATTTTACAAAATGATTGTTTTAAATAATATTTTACAAAGGTATACATATACAAGTCCAAAATCATCTGAACCTGATTTAAATTTGAATGGTTCAATTGTGAAAATATGAAACGGTGTTAGTCACTGCTGCATTCACAGCACTTCATACAGCAATGCACCATCAAAAACAATGGTGCAACGATTTACAAAACGATGTTGTCAGTTTCTCTGAAAATGTAAGACTCGCTATATCATGTGAAAACTGCCATGTCACTTCATTACTTGCAGAAGGCAGACACATTTTTTTCCACACAACACAGTTCTGGCTTTGAAAATTCATTTGAAGCTTTATGTGGAACTTTGGTGTTAAATGAGCCCTCCATCCTTCGTGGCTGCTTTCCTCTCACTTGTGAAGCACCACATATATGGTAAATTCCCTTTCTGCCTCACTTCAAGGGCTTTAATGAAACTATTATTCTTGTTTTTCAAAGCTGAATCATTGTACAGATACAGCTTCTTCTCACACTGGTTACCCACAAGCCCCTAAAACACACCACATTTCCAGAAATTACTCTGAAAACACACCACTTCACATATTTCTCCAAAAATATCAGCTAAAATGTGGCTCACTTTTTTTTCTTCTTCAGACTGGGCATGTTTTATTGCATCCTGTGCTGAAATGTTTTTCTCCTATTTTCTATTAAAGAATAGAGATAAGCCTACAGTTTCATTGAGAAATCAGCATTTGAGAGGACACAACTAAACGTCAAGAAAAGATTCTATGTGCTAAGTTTCTGAAGATGTGAACGAATTCAAGTATCTTGGCATAACTCTCGACGTGAATTTAAAATTTGATAGTCATGTTAAAAATATGTGTAAGGAGGTCAAACCAAGTGGAAATTGTTTTCATTATATTTGAATATTTTTAACATATCAAACTGCAAAATTATACATGCATGCATGATATTCTCACACTTGTGATATTGCATTACATCATGGTTACAAGCCTCTTTAACCACATTGAAGCCTATTGATATGATATTATGGTTTTTAAATGTTTTAATAATCATGTTCCAATGCTGTTTTCAGATCTAATAAGTAGGCATCAAACCTCTCACAGAGTCACTGCAAATGGTAACTATCTAATGCCAAAGTGTAAGACCTCTTTTGGTCAATCTGTTTTCTCTGTTAAGGGAACCAAATTGTGGAATGATTTACCTGTTAGCCTAAAATTAGAAAGTAATGTAAATGTTTTTAGTAGTGTACTTAAGAAGTAGCTAAACACAAAATACTAGTGCTTATGTTTACTATTAGTTTATTTGATCATGTTGCTTTTGCCTTAATGTTTGTAATAGTGTATATGTATCTATTTTATTTTCATTTTATGTCAAGCCTCTTGTGGACATGTGTTGAGAATAAGCAAGTCTGCTAAAACACTTAAACAAATGCCCATGTCAAAATAAAGAAACAAATTGAAACATATCCATAAATGAACAGTTTTCTATATTTTTAGATTCATATTTGTTTATTCTTCTTTCAGATTATGAAACCATGATTGTTTTCCTTCAAGTTTTGGTGTTGAAAAAAAGGACTTCTATTGACGTTTGATATAGTTTGAAATGGTATTGTCTGGGTTGTTGTTACCCAGTAATTAACTGCCAGTATTTTTTTGTTATTTTATGGACTTAATCATCTACATATAAATTCTACAATGTATTTTTGTCACACTACCAAAACGTCTAAAAAAGCCACTTTGTAATTCTACACAGTTGCAATTTTAAAATGTGCATTTTTATCAAACGTCAACAGATAAGAGACAAAGGTCCCATAATGCAATTTATAAACATAAATAAACAGGGGCAAAAACAGTAAATCAGGAAAAAACAGAAGCTCTTATTAGATTTTTTACAGTGTGGATATCACCAAACTACTGTTGATCTGTCACTTTGAGGTGATTTCCTTGAT